AAGTAAGTACAATGGATCCACTGTGAATGTCATAAATAAACAAGTAAATCAGACAACATTCCAGTATAAAGTAAGAACAATGGATCCACCGTGAATGTAATAAATAAACAAGTAAATCAGACAACATTCCAGTATAAGGTAAGTACAATGGATCCACTGTGAATGTCATAAATAAACAAGTAAATCAGACAACATTCCAGTATAAAGTAAGTACAATGGATCCACCGTGAATGTAATAAATAAACAAATAAATCAGACAACATTCCAGTATAAGGTAAGTACAATGGATCCATCGTGAATGTAACAAATAAACAAGTAAATCAGACAACATTCCATTATAAAGTAAGTACAATGGATCCACCGTGAATGTAATAAATAAACAAGTAAATCAGACAACATTCCAGTATAAGGTAAGTACAATGGATCCACCGTGAATGTAATAAATAAACAAATAAATCAGACAACATTCCAGTATAAGGTAAGTACAATGGATCCACAGTGAATGTAATAAATAAACAAGTAAATCAGACAACATTCCAGTATAAAGTAAGTACAATGAATCCACTGTGAATGTCATAAATAAACAAGTAAATCAGACAACATTCCAGTATAAAGTAAGTACAATGGATCCACAGTGAATGTAATAAATAAACAAGTAAATCAAACAACATTCCAGTATGAAGTCAGTACAATGGATCCACCGTGAATGTCATAAATCAACAAGTAAATCAGACAACATTCCATGGATCCACCGTGAATGTCATAAATAAACAAGTAAATCAGACAACATTCCAGTATAAAGTAAGTACAATGGATCCACCGTGAATGTAATAAATAAACAAGTAAATCAGACAACATTCCAGTATAAAGTAAGTACAATGGATCCACAGTGAATGTAATAAATAAACAAGTAAATCAGACAACATTCCAGTATGAAGTCAGTACAATGGATCCACAGTGAATGTCATAAATAAACAAGTAAATCAGACAACATTCCATGGATCCACCGTGAATGTCATAAATAAACAAGTAAATCAGACAACATTGCAGTATAAAGTAAGTACAATGGATCCACCGTGAATGTAATAAATAAACAAGTAAATCAGACAACATTCCAGTATAAAGTAAGTACAATGGATCCACAGTGAATGTAATAAAATTATGTTTCACATCCTCAAAACTCTACACAGATTTGTGATTAAACTGAAAATTGTAAAATAGAAGTGTACCTATAAAATTGAACCTACGTCACATTAACAATATTTTTATTTTCCAGTTCCTCTGCTGTACAATATTTTGGTACCAATCCTGTATTTGTTTGTAAACAAGTTAATTTTTTTTGATACAGTGAAACCTGTTTAAACCAAACCTGCCTGAATTGAAAAAAAATAGCTAGCCAGAACTCTTGTACCATGATATACCGGTACAACGAGTATTCCTGATTAATCTTATTCAAATTAAATGAAACAACTGTCTACTAAAAACAAAATCATCAGTCCCGAAAGGGTTTGGTTTAACCAGATTTCACAGTAGATTTAACTTTTACATTATTTTTGTATTTTTTCTCCAGTACGGTGAAGAAGGTAACCATAGATCGTTTGTACTGGAGATTTCTTGGACAGATGACTATCCAGAACACAGCCCTAATATAAAGTTAGATGCTTTCTATAATAAACACATGTAAGATATTACAATAAACTTCGTAACAGTAGCTGGAGTTACTTTTAAAGTTGGATGAAATTTTTGCAATTGCTTTATTATCACGTCATTCACATGTAGAAAAAACCGGGTAACGAATAATTTGATCATGTTGTTACCATATACATGATATATAGAAATGTTGATAACTGATATCTTTTGGGGATGGGATAGAAATGACAATTGATAATTTGTTTGGCACAGGCATGTGTCAGGATAGAAATGTTGATAACAGATAATATTTGGACACTTGATAAACATGATACTTGATAATTGGGAATTTTGGGGATAGAAATGTTAAAAATTTATCCTTTTTGGGCACTGGATTGAAATGTTGATATTTAACTTTGTTTTGGCACTGGATTACAAAAGTTGATAATAAATGATTTTGTTTATTTATAGATTAAGTAATGTGAAGGAAACAATAAAGAATAGTGTAGAGGAACAGGTCAGTATTTTAGGTTTTTTTTCTTGTTGCTATGGATACACTTACAAAACAGATATCAGAGCAGTTTAACTGATAAGAATTCTGAAGAATATCACACAGTCTTCTGCCATTCCAAAGTGAAAGTGTCAGTTATTTTTAACATTTTGCATCAGATGTCTTTCATTTCTAACCCATTTAACAATTTTCCTCCTGAAACCAATACGAAAGTTCCAATATAGTCCACTTCTCCCATTCTGATCTCATTTAACATAGCATGTAGCTTCGTCAGAATGTTAGGTGTGGTAAGAAACAACAACATGCTGTCTGCATGAAATATCAACTTGTGGGTAATGTCACCTGATCATAGGTTTTCAGCAGGATGAGGGTTTCAAAATAGAAAAGTTGTTGAATATTTTAAGTGGAAATCTGTTAAACTCATTCCATTTGCTGAAATCAACTGTGAGAAAAAATAGGAAGATGTGTAAAAATATATCATGTGATGCAACTTTTCAACCTCCATTTTGAAAAGGCCACTAACCTGGAACTTTGGAATTGAAATCAATTTTAAGCGTAATAATCCAAAGTGTCTAGTTTCAAACTTTTATTCTTTCATTCTGCCGACCAATCAATATGTTTGTACTAACATGAAATAGAAAATATGTATTAAACTGTTTAAACAGACAAAAATTATATATCTATTATTTCTGTCCCTGTATATATAATAAGCTGATTTTAACAGTGTTCATGTGAGTTTCATTCCTGTTGAACTACTATTGACCTCATAAAAACCTATAGGTTGCACTTCTGTAAATACAGGCAATGCAATTTCCCATAAAAACTCCTTTTACGGCTAAAACTGAGGCACTGTTACTATGAAGTTTCATAAAATATCATATCCTGGAATGTAAAGTTCATATGCATTACTATTTTTTGCAAAGGTCAAAACATAGGGCTGTGCAGCATATTTTCAACATTAATATGCCTTGGAACTTCTAAGAAGTCAAACTTATACTAAAATTCTGTACTACCCCTCCCTTTACTTTGAGTCTTCCTGAGAATTCAATTTGTCCGATATCCAACAGCATTTATACTGGTAAAACTCCCAAGTTGCATCTCTATGAGATAAAACATGGAGATCATATCTGGGAACCAGCAGGTAAAGAAAAAAAACTAATATTAAATATCTACCAAAAAGAGGCATGGTTTGTGAATCAGCTGTATTTACAAAGTGCAACCTTTAGATTTAATTAGCATCAGACCATAAACAACTGTAACTTTGTGATACTTATACAGATCCCAGATTTGATTGGCTTTGCCATTACTTGAACTTTATTATATGACAGATCCCAGATTTGATTGGCTGTGTCATGACCTATGCCTTATTATATTATAGACCCCAGATTTGATTGGCTGTGCCATGACCTACACCTTATTTGAATATGTAAAAGAGAATTATCCTGAACTGATATCAGAACAGCCAGAGGTCCCGTCTCTAATACAGGTATGGAGGACATTACTTATTATTAGTCATGAATTGCCCCACAGTAGTCATCACTTATTATTTTATGCCCCATGACAAAATGTTGAGGGGCATATTAATTTACCTCTGTTCGTTCCCTCTGTCCGTCCGTCCGTCCGGATATAGATACATGATTTGTAGGTTGTACACATAAGGGAAGTGAACATGTCCACAGGATTCAGAGTTTTTTCTATTCTAAATTTGCCAGGTATTTGGACTTAGTCATAAAAGTCAGAAAGGGTGGGGATTAGATATTCACAAAAACCAATAGTACAACTTCATTTCCTTCTCACTCGCTATATAATTGAAAACATGGTTTGTACTACTACCATTTAATGTCCCTAATGCAATAAATAAGATTTTTTCGTATTGATGAATATTTAATCAATACCAGGAAGTTGACCACTAGAAATAGAAAGTTGAATCTTGGTGACTACTAAAACTTGAAAGTCGAAACCTTTTGGCTGGACATTCAGTCCTGCAAGTGTAGACATTCAGAATAAAAATAAAAGATAGATCATCATACATAGTGTTAAATTTATAATTTCTTATGGTCAGACGGGGGCATCATTTGTGTCTTACAAACAGCACAAAGAAAGTGGTGCAATAAGGGCCAATTTTGGACTAAAAATTGAATTACAGTTAACTCTTGTTGTCTCAAACTCGGTTGACTTGAGATTTTGGATGAGTTGAAATTTTCCCTTGGTTTTGTGTAAAGATAATTGATGTTTATAGGTAAAGTGTAAACAGTAAGGAATTAGTAATATTAGGAATATTTACCTAGATTTTGTGGTCGATAGATGGATAAATTATTTTTTTGTACAAAAAATAGCAAAATTGCATATACTGACACATATTTGTCAGTCTGAAATATTGAGTCCATGCAAGTACCAAATAAATATTTACATGACAGGTGATGTTCGTGCAGGCAAACATCCTGGTAAGTTATTTAGTTGGTACTTGTATGCTGTCTGTATTTGAGGGTAAAAAAAAACCCCAAAAATTTGTGAATTTTGCACAAAATTTATTATGACGTCATGAATGGTTAGCTGCCTGTTTTTGATTTCACATATTTTAGAATAGACATATATGGAAATCTTGAATTTAAAGTTCAAATTTCAAAGATAATTTAGGCAGAATAAGTCCTTTATGGCTCGATCCTTTAAACAATTTGGCGAGTGTTGTCAACTTATCACAAATTTTAACACCATGCAAAACAGATATATATGAGACAGGGGCAATTTGTAGGCATTCATGTTTACCTGTAATTCTGACAAGTTGTAGGCATCCATGTTTACCTGTATTTCTGGCAAGTTGTAGGCATCCATGTTTACCTGTAATAGTGTATTTCTGGCAAGTTGTAGGCATCCATGTTTACCTGTATTTCTGGCAAGTTGTAGGCATCCATGTTTACCTGTATTTCTGGCAAGTTGTAGGCATCCATGTTTACCTGTATTTCTGACAAGTTGTAGGCATCCATGTTTACCTGTATTTCTGGCAAGTTGTAGGCATCCATGTTTACCTGTATTTCTGGCAAGTTGTAGGCATCCATGTTTACCTGTATTTCTGACAAGTTGTAGGCATCCATGTTTACCTGTATTTCTGGCAAGTTGTAGGCATCCATGTTTACCTGTATTTCTGGCAAGTTGTAGGCATCCATGTTTACCTGTATTTCTGGCAAGTTGTAGGCATCCATGTTTACCTCTATTTATGGCAAGTTGTAGGCATTCATGTTTACCTGTATTTCTGGCAAGTTGTAGGCATCCATGTTTACCTGTATTTCTGGCAAGTTGAAGGCATCCATGTTTACCTCTATTTATGGCAAGTTGTAGGCATCCATGTTTACCTGTATTTCTGGCAAGTTGTAGGCATCCATGTTTACCTGTATTCCTGGCAAGTTGTAGGCATCCATGTTTACCTCTATTTATGGCAAGTTGTAGGCATCCATGTTTACCTGTATTCCTGGCAAGTTGTAGGCATCCATGTTTACCTCTATTTATGGCAAGTTGTAGGCATTCATGTTTACCTGTATTTCTGGCAAGTTGTAGGCATCCATGTTTACCTCTATTTATGGCAAGTTGTAGGCATCCATGTTTACCTGTATTTCTGGCAAGTTGTAGGCATTCATGTTTACCTGTATTTCTGGCAAGTTGTAGGCATCCATGTTTACCTCTATTTATGGCAAGTTGTAGGCATCCATGTTTACCTGTATTTCTGGCAAGTTGTAGGCATTCATGTTTACCTGTATTTCTGGCAAGTTGTAGGCATCCATGTTTACCTGTATTTCTGGCAAGTTGTAGGCATCCATGTTTACCTGTATTTCTGGCAAGTTGTAGGCATCCATGTTTACCTGTATTTCTGGCAAGTTGAAGGCATCCATGTTTACCTGTATTTCTGGCAAGTTGTAGGCATCCATGTTTACCTGTATTTCATGATTTTTTTTTGGCTTTCATGTCTACCTGTATTTCATGATATTTTGTAGGCCATCCATGTTTATCTGTATTTCACAATTTTTTACAGAATGATGAAGATAAGTTTCAACCAGATGTTGCTAAAAAGAAAGAAAAGAAAGAACAGTTAACTAAAAATCAGAAGAGAAAAATGTATGAAAGAATGAACGCAGCCGGAGAGAAACCAAGGGGTTATGATTGGGTGGATATTATCAAACATTTAAGTCAGAGCGGTGTTCAAACTTAATAAATATATCAGAAACTATAGATATTTTACTTATACTGTGGGTTTGTTATTATTTGTGGAGGTACTAATATTAATGGCTTTAGCAGGTAAAGGTGAACCAATTATTCAAATATTAAGGGTGTTCGCTTGTCATGTTTTGGAATTTTTGTCAGATTTCGGAATCCTATGATTTTATCCATTTGAATGCCTTAAAAAACTTTGCCCACTTACCCCTACTTTTCTTTTAATTACACATAGTTTAAAAAGCCATATTTGAAAATCCTATTAAATCCTTGTTATTTTTTCATAATTTTTAAAAGAAAAAGGGTGCCAATGTTAAATGTATGAAAAGTCTAGAGAAAATTATATCCTGCCAAATTTTCAATGGCTTATATCTCGAAAACAAGCACACAGACCCTTCATTTTTTTCTGTTTTTTTAATTCCTTTGTTTATATACTATCAATTTATAACAGTCTTTTAAAAAGCTTGTTATTTTAATACAGAGTAGCGAACATCCTTAAATGAAATACAAATTTCCCATAGACTTGTTTGCAGATTTTATCCTGACCAAAAAACAAGAATCCACAAAAATACAATTTTTCTCAATCCACATTAATTTGTGTACTCAAGAATATAACTGAATGTACAGTAGTATTAAATAGTACCAATTTTACTACATCAGATGTGTATTTTGAGAAATAATATCTTTCAGTGATGGTCAAGGACAATATATATATGATATATTGGAAACCCAAAGTCTGATGAAAATGTTGAGTCATATAATAAACCGAAAAGGATTAATATTTTAACCAGACCTGGATAAGGAATTCAAACATATAAGTGGTAAAAGTCTTTTAAATACATTAAAATGTTTTTTTTCAAAATCAAATTGTTTATTTCTGAATTTTGATTTATTCATCAGATTTTGTGCAAGAACTTGAAGTCAGTACTAAAAATATTTTACAGATACTCTATGAAAAAGTCTTAGCTGTTCAAATTGAGTTACATAAGCCTAATACCTTCATTCAGGTTACTAATGCATATGTTGGTTCATTCGCAGCAATTCAGATTTCTTGGGCAATCAGTTTTTGTCTTGTACAGTTTTGTACAGTAACATTTATGGTCCCAATTTTACTGCACCAGATATGTATTTAGATAATTAATGTCTCTTCCCTGATGCGTACAGTTTAGTTTTCTCGTTTGAAATGTTTTACATTTGCCATTTCCGGGCCTTCTTTAGCTGATTATGCGGTATGGTTTTTATACGACTGCAAAAAAATTTTGAGGTCGTATATTGGTATGACGTTGGCGTCGTCGTCCGAAGACACATTGGTTTTTTCACTCTAACTTTAGTTTAAGTGAATGGATCTCTATGAAATTTTACCATAAGGTCAATACCACAAAAGGAAGGTGGGGATTGATTTTGGGGGTTATGGTACCAACAGTTAAGGAATAAGGGGCTAAAAAGGGGCCAAAAATAAGCATTTTTGTAACTTCCAGACATAACTTGTGTGTTAGTGTATGGATCTCTCTGACATTGTACCACAAGGTTCCATATCACAAAGGGAATGCTGGGATTGATTTTGGGGGTAATTGCCTCAAAATTTTAGGAATTAGGGGCAAAAAAGGGGCAAAAAACAAGCATTTTTCTAGTTTCATGACAATAACTTGTGTGTAAGTGTATGGATCTCTCTGACATTGTACCACAAGGTTCCATATCACAAAGGGAATGCTGGGATTGATTATGGGGATAATTGCCTCATAATTTTAGGAATTAGGGGCCAAAAAGGGGCAAAAAACAAGCATTTTTCTAGTTTCATGACAATAACTTGTGTTCAAGTGTATGGATCTTTATGAAATTGTACTACAAGGTTCCATATCACAAAGGGAAAGCTGGAATTGAGTTAAGGGGTAATTGCCTAAAACGTTTAGGAATAAGGGGCCAAAAATAAGCATTTTTGTAGTTTCCAGACAATAACTTGTAATCAAGTGTATGGATCTCTCTGAAATTGTACTGCAAGGTACCATACCACAAAGGGAAGGCTGGGATTGATTTTGGGGGTAATTCCCTCAAACTTTTAGGAATTAGGGGCCATAAAAGGGCCAAAAAACAAGCATTTTTTCTAGTTTCAGGACAATTACTTGTGTGTAAGTTTATGGATCTTTATGAAATTGTACTGCAAGGTTCCATATCACAAAGGGAAAGCTGGGTTTGAGTTTGGGGGTAATTGCCCTAAATGTTTAGGAATTTGGGGCCAAAAAGGGGCCAAAAAACAAGCATTTTTCTAGTTTCCAGACAATAACTTGTGTTCAAGTGTATGGATCTCTCTGAAATTGTACTGCTAGGTACCATACCACAAAGGGAAGGCTGGGATTGAGTTTGGGGGTGATGAATCATAAGGGGGTTCAAAAAATTTGGGGGGGGGGATTTTTTTTTCCTTTTTTTTCTTTAAAATATTCCATTTTAAATTGGTTATTTCTGATTTATATATAAAAGCAAATAACAATGATATGGTTTGAAAAGGTAAATTAAATTTTTTTAAGTTCTTAGACCACATTCATTCTGTGTCGGAAACCTGTGCTGTGTCAAATATTTAATTACAATCCAAATTCAGTGCTGTATCAAGCTTGAATGTTGTGTCCATACTTGCCCCAACTGTTCAGGGTTCGACCTCTGCGGTCGTATCAAGCTGCGCCCCAGCGGAGCATTTTATTGTTCATTGTTGAAGGCCGTATGGTGACCTATAGTTGTTAACTTCTATTTCATTTAGTCTCTGGTGGAGTGTTGTCTCATTGGCAATTATACCACTTTTATTAGCTCACCTGGCCCACAGAGCCAAGTGAGCTTTTCTCATCACTTGGCGTCCGTCGTTGTCGTCCGTTAACTTTTACAAAAATCTTCTCCTCTGAAACTACAAGGCCAAATTTAACCAAACTTGGCCACAATCATCATTAGGGTATCTAGTTTAAAAAATGTGTCCGATGACCCAGCTTTCCAACCATCATGGCCAACTTGGTTAAAAATAGAACATAGGGGTAAAATGCAGTTTTTGGTTTAAATCTCTGAAACTAATAAAGCATTTAGAGCAAATCTGACAGGTGGCAAAAATGTTCATCAGATTTAGATTTATCTGCCCTGAAATTTTCAGACGAATCCGACAACCCGTTGTTGGGTTGCTGCCCCTGAGTTAGTAATTTTACAAAAATTTTGCAGTTTTTTGTTATTATCTTAGATATCATTATAATATCTAATATCTAATACTGTTAATTATGATTTTAACCTTATTTTACATGATTTCCAAAGCATCAGTAAATACAGGTGAGCGACACAGGCTCTTGAGAGCCTCTAGTTTTTATATGCTGTTGCATTAATATCCATATGTTTAATGGTTCGATGATTACAAAGAATTTTTTATGATAGACCATTGATATATAGTATGCTGTTGCATTAGTATCCAGGTTTCATGGTTTGGTATTTATAAAAAGTCTTTATGATAGACCATTGATATGTTAACGGCAATAAGTAAAATAAGGCATTAAGCTTAAATCTTAGGCAATAAACTAACGCCTAGGCATTGAGTTATTGCCTGAAATTTTCAGGCATTAAGCTTATTTCCTGAAATCTGATGATGATTATTCAACCTATTGCCAAATATCATTTCAGGCAATAAGTGAACTTTTGGGATTTTTGCTTTATATTCAATGTAAATGTACATTCGGTGAAATATTCTTGATGTAAAGTTTATTTTATATTATATTCCAAATATCAATATACATTAAATTAGCAGATCTGCAAATTTTAGTATTTTTTAATATCCATTACGGAATTAACTTGTATTTCTATGTGGTATTACAAATATTAATATGGGTCAAACAAATGATTGAATCTAATGAAAAGAGGGGGATTGATGATTCTGTCTGAAAATTATTTGAAGAAAATTTGCACTTCACTGGTTGTGCTGTTTTAGGTCTGATCAAAAGTAGACAAATGTAGATATGAATTTATGCTCAAAACATCTTTCCATTGATTTTATTGGATATGTAAAACATCTTGTCTTTTTCACTTCATAATCTGTATCATTAGCATTTAAGTGACATGTCTACTGAAGACAAATTTCTTGAATCTTTGCGGGTCTAATTTAAATCAGTGAAAACAAGGAACATATACCCAAGATAGTACAATGATCTTTTGGCAAAGATTGAACTTTTACCTTTTAGAATCCCCAGAAAACACGGCAACTATAGACTACTTCAATTAAAAAAGGTATGACATTTTTAGCATTGTAGGCTTTGAAAGGTAAAAATTAATGTAAAGTTGAGTGATCAGGAAAAAAAAAAAAAAGTTTTTCTAGACGAAATGTATGATACTTTTGAAAAGCACATACACTGGTCATGACTACAGAGACCATATGATTTATCCAACTTAATAATGCCTATATTTCTGGTAATTCCATGGCTATGCAAATATGTCGTGTGATTCCATGGCCATGCAAATATTTCTCTTGATTATATCAAACTACTAGTATTTCTTTCACTTTGTAAAAATTGTAACATGAAGAAAAAGTATTTAGGGAAGGAAGTAGTAGTGGTGAAACACATTTTATGCAAAGAGTTCAACAGTAGAGGACAGTTTGATTTATAATGAATTTCCGATGGAACCTAGATGGAAACTATAAGTTTCTATAAAATCACCAAACCAAAAAACAAAAGTTTGTAACATTAGAGCACTCACGTCAAATTGTGCTTCAGAGGTGACTTTTGATTTTATTGATGTTTTCACAATGTTCGGTACGCCTCATGAACTGCTAAGTGACATTGGTCGTCAATTCAAAGCTTTGGCTATATCCCAGTTAAAACTAAGGTGGCCAGAACTTGTGAATTTATTTTTGGTGATTGACATTCTAATCTACAGTTCTTACCAGGTCTTAACATGCTATTATGTATCTAATGTATTTAAACTTTGAATATTGTCATTTTATTTACTCGCATTTACATTTGACGTTAAGATTAATGCTTGAACAAATTTTTCAGGATTTAATAATAATGCCTTACATCATTTAGGCAATAGACCTACTGCCCAGGCGTTAGCTTATTGCCTAGTATTTAAGCCGAATGCCTTATTTCACTTATTGCTGCTAACAGATATATAGTATGCTGCTCCATTAGTATCCATGTTTCTTGATTAAGTGTGTTCATAAAGAGGTCTTAATGATAGACCATTGCTACATAGTATGCTGATGGATAAATATCCATATGCTTCCTGATTAGGCTTTTTTTACGAAGAAGTCTTTATGATAGACCATTCATGGTATTGTGTTGAATAATTATCTAGATGCACTTCAGTTAAAAGAATACTATACTCAAGCTGAATCCTTCTCCAGTTTATAAAGAAGCACTGATACTAATAGACCAGCGGTGGGAAGCTACAGTTTTTGCAATATTAACACAACAAAAAAGATTACGCTTAAGAAAGATTATCAGTTCCTCCCATATAGCAAACAAACAACTACATACACATCATATTATAGGCAGTTGCGTGTGTGTCATATTAAACATTTACTGACTGGTTACAATGAGGGAAATACAAGTTTGCTTTCCCTTCGATATCAACTATTGACTTCACCGGCGCCAAGACCAGAAAACCATGGATAGATAAAAAAAGTTAAAGCCGGGGTAAGAAGGAGGAACAAATTATACAATCGAATGAAGAAAACAAAACAAGCATCTGATTTAAGGAAATACAAAGAGAGCAAAAAAATGGTACAAAAGACAACACAGGGATCGATCCTCTTAAAGACAATGGACGATTATTAAATTCCGCAATAGACAAAGTTAACATCTTGAACAGACAGTATTAATCAGTCTTTACTAAGAAAGATAACAAGGACATACCAAAGCCAACACGTAAACAATACCCACCAATGCCAGAGATTATAGTCACAACAGAAGGCGTCAGAAAGTTATTAAACAAATGCAACCCGAGTAAAATACCTGCAAGAATTTTAAGGGAATGTGCTGACCCTTTTATGCATTGTATATAATGCTAGTCTTAGATCCAGTACAGTACCAGAAGACTGGAAACAAGCAAATGTTATTGCAATATTAAAGAAAAGAAGCAGATACGATGCAAGCAACTATATAGACCTGTTACACTCACTTTAGTACTGTGTTGACATGAATTATCATTGATATGGTCACACTTATAATTAACTGTTTACAAAACTTTGAATTTTTGAAATACTAAGGCTTTTCTACCTCAGGAATAGATTACCTTAGCTGTATTTGGCAAAACTTTTAGGAATTTTTGATCCTCAATGTTCTGCAACTTCGTACTTTATTTGGCTTTTTTGACACTTTTTTTATTCGAGCGTCACTGATGAGTCTGTTGTAGACGAAACGCGCATCTGACGCAAATACAAAATTTCAATCCTGGTATCTATGATGAGTTTATTTAGGGGACGACCATTTGATATTCTGGTGGGGGCCAGGAGGATTTGTTTTGGATTGGTTTATTTTTGTGAACTAGAAGAAGAGATTATCTATTTTCTGCACTGTTGAAGCATGATTTTTCATTTTCATTAAAACAAGGGACTGATTATTTATTTTCAAAATTATATTTATAATATTTGAAAACACAATTTTTAAATTTTTTTTTTTATTCCTAAATAGATAATACATGTCTAGTCAAATCATTATGTACCATTAAATCAGAATTAATCCTCCTCCTCTGGAAGTGAATCTTCCGAATTCCAAACTGCATTTATTGTATACATACAAGGTATTAAAGTGGGGGTGTAACTAAGCCTCTTTTAAAAGTAATGTCAAACATATTTGCCGAGCGGAGCTAGGCAAAAAAAATCGGCGAAGGTTTTGGAAGCCGCTGAAGGCCCCAAGAAGATATAGAAAAATGATGCAAAATCTTGCTTTCTCTGCTTTTCCCAGATCCTTTCGTAATCTGAAACGCAAGTTCTGTTAATTATTTTTTCAACAATATTTTGGTCTCACAGCAAAATATATAGATTCAGTGTAAGACTTTTAGTTTTTTATGGGACAACATCAAAAGACCAATATGTAGGATAAAGCAAAAAGTGTAATTCACAAACTTAAGTATGAGGCTGCTTGTTTTTTTCTTCTTAGTGTTTTGGCTTGCAGATAATATTTTTAATATACCTGTCAATTATGTGTTTTTTTTCTCAAATTAAGTTAAGAGGGGCTGATTATCATTGCTATAACAATGTCAAGTAAATTTTTATAACACATTTCAATTACAACTTGATGAACTTCCTAACTGAGATACAATTTGAAATACATGTAGTTTGTAAAATTAGATAAAAAGTCCTTAAATAAAATAAAACTCAAGTTTAGAAAAAATTACTAAATTACAAATGGAATGTAACACTAAGTGAATAAAGAAGGGCAATCAATGAACAAAAGACAAACCCTGGAAAAGATAAAACAACAAACAACATTATAGACAAATAACACTGAAAACTAAAGTTAAATGAGAAATATGGATCCTGAAAACGGGGGCTATGTCAGAGGGTAAACAGAACTTGCTTCTTGCAGGGCGTTCGAAGTAAAAACAAACTGATATGAAGACAAGCTTTTGTTTTTGAAATTTCCTACCTGAGGCATTTGCCTCAATTTAGTTACAGCCCTATAATGAAAGTGAGGTAAATGTTCCTAAGATAATATACATCTAGTTAAATGAAACCCATTTTCAGACATTTCAAGTACATTAATACTTATACAATGTATTATAAAAAAAAATTGGTAAGTTCCCGAATAAAAATAGGAAAAAAGACGAATTTTGGAAGAATCTTGTGCCATTTCTTACTTTAGAATAACATTTATAAAATGGCTTAAAAGACCTGCTGAGTTATTTATTTTCAATACATTGTAGGTCAGGTTATTTATTTTCAAACTAACACAGAACAAACCATTCATTTTTGTTATTATCAAGGCTGAGTTATTTATTTTCAAAATCCTCCTGGCCCCCCCCCCAGAATATCAAATGGTCGTCCCCTAACTTGATCTGTAACTTATCATGGTGTTAAATTATTCAACGAATATCAAATCAATATCTTCAAGCATGTCGGAAAAAAGTGTGGAAACTGATTATTTTCATGAGCTTTCTAAGTCTGAGGACCATAACCCTGCAAAATAATCCTCCAAACTGAACAAATTCGAACTTGATCTGTCACTTGTCATGGAAAAACTATATATACCAAATATCAAATCAATATCTTCAAGCATAACAAAAAAAGTGGGGAAAACTGATTTTTTGCTTGAATTTTTTTTTAAGTCCGGGGACCGCAACGCTACAAAAAAATCACCTGAACCAAACAAAATTCAAACTGGATTTGTAACTTGTCATTTTTAAACTATACACCAAAAATCTAACCAATATCTACAAGCATGACAAAAAAAATGCGGAAAACTGATTTCTTGCATGAATTTTCTAAGTCCAAGGACCATAACTCTGCACACAATCATCAGACCGGAACAAAATTCAAAAGTGATCTGTAACAGGTCATGATAAAACTATATACCAAATATCAAATCAATATCTTCAAGCATGAAGAAAAAAGTGTGGAAAACGGATATGCCGTTCTGACTGACGGATGGACAGTCAGATGCACACCTATAGTCCCTTCTACTTCGTCGGTAGGGGACTAATAAGAGCAGGAAAAACTATCAGTTTCTATTTTATGGTACCTATAGTGGGTATGACAAGCTGAAACCTTGTTATTATCAGAGGTGTTTATTCTAGTAGCTGAGTTGAACAACTTGTTTACATATTCTGCGGATCCAGTTTAGACAATGTTGGACCTGGATGGATACAGTCAATATGAATTTTGTAGTTAACATAGTATTTGGTTCTTCGATGAGGAAGTTTTGTTTGTCTCAGTACATCAGAAGTGATGTTTCGGGAAATAAAAAGGTTTGGTTTGTCATTGTTTTTTGTACGGTTGTTAATTGGATCTGCTATAATTTTTTTTACCTTGGTTGTGATTTTGGGATTTTCTGCATTTATGTACCTGATTTGCTGTTTTAAAAAATATATTTGTAGTTCTAATCTAGCTGACTGACCTTGGAATATTTCTTGTTTTGGATGTTCTTTGCCTGTATTGTACACTCGAATATTATACGGTGGGCACTCTAGAATGATAACTGTTGCATGCTTGTACTTGTCTTGTATTTGACCTTTCCAATTTGATAGTGAAGTTGCAATTTGCTGTTGTAATGTGATGTTATTCCTAGCTCAATATTTTTCCAGGGTTTTTATTGCAAGTTCACATGAACCTATCCATAAGATGTTTACAGCATTTTCCTTTTTTCTTATGATTCTTTTAAGTTTTGGCCAGATAAATGGAGCATCATCAGTTGACAGGCCAGGTTTTGAAAAAAATATTTCTGACTTTAGGTATGACATATGCTTTTAAGGTCATAATTAGATCTGTCATAATTACTGATTGATTGGTAGATTGGATTTGGTGTTTGATGCAATTTTCAGCACTATTCATAATCACTGAACTTAATGTGAATTAATGAACCATCAAAAGGAGTTGATTAACTAACTCATAAAACTGGCCCTAAAAATCTGAAAATTTTCAACAGCAAAAATTTTTTGAAAATATGATGAAAACATATGTTGAAATGTCCAATTGTTTAAATTAAAAAAGACTTCCAACAATAGCCTCATTAGCGATGTATTTGTGATGTCAAAAATGTAGGTGACTTGTTTAAACCTGGTTTTCTGCATAACTTTCCAAAATTTATGACAGTTTTCTGAAAAATTAAGTGATGCCACCCCTCGCCCACAATTATTGATGCTTAAATATTCTTTATATTCCATATTCTTTACTTTTCAACTAAAATGTCAACTGTCGTGGGGTGATGCCACATATGAAATCATGAAAAAAAGGTAGAAAAAATTGACAAATTATAGAAAAATGGACAAAAATGAAATCTATTTATATTTCAGGCTTATATATTTATAAATATGAATCAGATATAAAATTTTTCTTATTATACTTTAATCAAAGTGCTTTTGAGCACTGAAGGGTAAAGATTATTTTCGTTTTGCTATTTTGTAAATTCAAAATAAAACATTGAGTTGTATTTAGCTAGGCAAATTATAAATTTGAGTTGGATTATCTTTCTTTGTTCATGATTTTACATTTGTAGTTGAACCTATTTTTATCACAAACTAATACACCATGGATTACTTATGTAAATTCTAATAAAAAAAATTCTTCTAGATAAGTATGGTAATTCAAATACATATCACATTGTAACTTAAATATCTTAAGTATAACATATCATTAAATAAATGTTTGACATTGGCTGGATAGGATGTAAAGAATGATAACTTCACTGCACTATTTTGTTTGAACTATCAAAGGTAGTGCTATACCTTGGAAGAAAAAGATATCAAGTCAGTACCATAGGGTTTTGATTTCATTCCATGCAATCTTTACCCAAAAAATAATAAATTTAGCAATACAAACACATTAGATTTACTCAGACAATTGAAGTTAAAAAAAAAACCACCTTTTCAGGGTCATTTATTGGGGTTACTGGCTCTTCTCCTTTGGCCAAAGCCAGATGATAGTCAAATGAGATATGCACCATGTCAGGCTATCTGTTCCATGTGTCGGTAGATAGTGTTGTCTGTTGTACTGTCCAAATTTTTTTGTGATGCATGTTTATAACCTTTAATGTATTATATTCACCTAACAATGATTCCATTGACCAAATATAGTTTGACCTAGAACTCATGGTAAATCAGAAAATGACTTAAACACAAAAACTTAACATTTGCCTTATTGAAAGTAGGTATATATCAATAAGACAACACCAATAACAAAAATACGAAACATCCAAATGTCAAACATCTGCCATCATAACTGAATGGTTTAAAGGACAATCCACTTAGTAACTAAAGAATAGATCCAATAAAAACAAAAGCTAATGGGTTTTATAGTCTTTTTCCTAAGTTCACAAAATGTTCTTGCTCTCTATTTCATAAGTTCACAAATATTTCTTTCTCTCCATTTCATAAGTTTACAAATGTTTCTTGAAATCTAATTTCAATCTTTTCATGTTATTGACAAAGAAGTCAGGAACATAAGCTGTGATGTTGAGATTTCTACCGTCAATGAATTCTGGGATAACTAAGGACCTGGCATGTAAATGTAATGGTAGGTAACGCACTTCAGCTTGTCGTATCCTCAGGCGAGTCAGCATGTCAGGAAATATCTTCTGTAATGAGAACAAATTATTGAATGACTACATCATGTAAATTCTACACAATACCTTTTAATCAATTAGACATACACAGCATGTGTGCTGTTTTAAAATGATCAAGCATGTGTCAAACAAAAAGTGTATCAATGTATAAACCTGTTTATGATGTCACAAGTATTCCTACACAGGTGAGTATTCATTACACATTTGATATCTGACATGAATTTTAATTACATTCTATTAGAATTATAAGTACAATCAATCTCTTATAACTCTTCATTGTTAATTTTAGTCAAATTAAGTTTAAAGGATGTGAAGAAATCTACAACAAATTGATGGGTCAAACTAAAGATACCAAGTCTTGAACATGAATGAGATATTTGGTACTGGACGTAAAGCAAATAACTATCAATCAATCTTTAGATACATACTGCATTTGACATTTAAGAAAATTTTAAAGTTTTATTTCAAATCAAATCAAGTTTATTGTACAATACAGGCCTCATACAATTTTATTTGGATAGTATTCTTTCACTGACAAACTGCTACATACAACCTACAACAGTCTACCTTGTACTATTCTACATACCTGTGGAGTCATTTTGGTTATATGTGAATACTTGTGGTCTCCAAGGATAGGGGTGTTCTATAGTCTACCTTGTACTATTCTACATACCTGTGGAGCCATTTTGGTTATATGTGAATACTTGTGGTCTCCAAGGATAGGGGTGTTCAATCCAAAGAACATATGTGCTCTAATCTGATGTTTTACACCTGTAAACAGACAAAATAAGTTTTAATCTACACAACAACTCATGTTGATTTTGACATTTCCACCTTCACTCATTTTTCCAAATTATTTAATAAAAAATAAAAAGATGTGTTATGAATGCCATTTAGACAACTATGCACCTACAGCACAGAACAAGGATGTTCACTGTATGGGCTTCAATTATAAGCAAACCCATAATGTATATATGGTAAACTATTCAAAATGTATCTATCGTAAATTGGGTTATTTTGGTTGTAGTTTTATTTTGGTTTATTTGGTGCCTCCAATGAAAGTGCCAAAATTAAACACACGAAAATAAAGCAAACACTAAAACTTGAAACGCCAAAACGTGTACCCGATACGACAAAATCGTAATGTTAATTGTTGGGGAAAATGTTTTATGATTTTATATCTTCCTTATATTTCCTACAATTCTATACATAGCCAAATCTGCAAATTTAATATATACCTGGTATAATTAGACAACAACACTTATATAATTTTTACAAAATTGTCAATTTTCTGAAATTGTTTAGAAAACACAACATGAATTCTTATTCACACATGTCATAAATATGCCAGGCTATTGCTGATTAGACGCCGTTATTGGTTATTAGAATATTTAAACTTCTTGTAATCCTTTATCTTCAATTAATTAACATGTACTGCTAGAGGCATAAGGATTAAAATTAAAATCCTTGATCTCAATAGAATAACATGTACTGCAATAGAGATAATTAAAATTTATTTCATATGATATTTGTAAAAAAATAAATAATCTATTTAAGAAGTGATTTTAATGTTTAAGATTTTATTTCATATTTTCTTTCAGCTTTGAACCACGATATACGGAATTATTTGAAATTGCATCCGTATCTTATTCCTTCATTAAGTTAACTTTGCCGTGTTTCTAGTTTGAGAAATTCAATAATATTTTTTTAATTAAACAGGTAAATAAAGGCAAATATGAATGAGCTTGCTCACTACTGTTGTTCCAAAATTAAACACATCAATTGGACGAACCACCAAAATTACACACACCAAAATAAAACACATGCCTTTCAAGAGAAAACCGCCAAAATATCCCGACACCAAAATTTCCCAATTTACGGTATTATTCTTGTATGACGAAAGAATCATTAAACAGTGTTTGCTTATATAATTAACGCCTAGTGGCAAATATTTCTGTTACCTATTCTAACATCAGACTCAGACTTCTTTTAAACCTAATTTTACTCTGTGTATTGTTGCTGTGTGTTTTTTATTCCACATTGGTAAGGGATATAGGGGAAGGGTTTAGATCTAACAAAACATGTTTAACCCCGCTGCTTTTTTGCACCTTTCCCAAGTCAGGAACCTCTGGCTTTGTTAGTCTTGAATGTTTTTTTAAAATTTTGGTTCATTTATATGTTTCGAAGATTAGTGTGAGGTCTGTTTTTGCTGAACTAGTATACATTATTGTTTGGGGGCCAGCTGAAGCACGCCTCAAGGTGCGGGATTTATTGCTGTGTTGAAGACCTATTGAGGCCTTGGGCTGTTTTCTGCTCTTTGGTCAGGTTGTTGTCGCTTTGGCGCATTCCTGTTTCCATTCTCAATTTTAACCAAACAACACTTTATCCTAAGAAACCAACTATATTTCTACAGAGTAACTATGCATCACTTACTTGTCAAGGGAATACATTCTACTAAAGCAGCATTGCCTGAGGTTGAGAATACTTTATACTGAGTTACTGGCCATCACTTACTTGTCAAGGGAATACATTCTACTAAATCAGCATTGCCTGAGGTTGACAATACTTTATACTGAGTAACTGGCCATCACTTACTTGTCAAGGGAATACATTCTACTAAAGTAGCATTGCCTGATGTTGACAATACTTTATACTGAGTAACTGGCCATCACTTACTTGTCAAGGGAATACATTCTACTTTAGCAGCATTGCCTGAGGTTGACAATACTTTATACTGAGTAACTGGTCATCACTTACTTGTCAGGGGAATACATTCTACTAAAGCAGCATTGCCTGAGGTTGAGAATACTTTATACTGTGTAACTAGCCATCACTTACACGTCAGGGGAATACATTCTACTAACGCAGCATTGCCAGATATTGACAATACTTTATACTGAGTTACTGGCCATCACTTATTTGTCAAGGGAATACATTCTACAAAAGCAGCATTGCCAGAGGTTGGCAATACTTTATACTGAGTAACTGGTCATCACTTTCTTGTCAAGGGAATACATTCTACTAAAGCAGCATAGCCAGAGGTTGGCAATACTTTATACTGAATAACTGGTCATCACTTACTTGTCAGGGAATACATTCTACTAAAGCAGCATTGCCAGAGGTTGACAATACTTTATACTGAGTTACTGGCCATCACTTACTTGTCAAGGGAATACATTCTACTAAAGCAGCATTGCCTGATGTTGACAATACTTTATACTGAGTAACTGGCCACCACTTACTTGTCAATGGAATACATTCTACTAAAGCAGCATTGCCTGAGGTTGACAATACTTTATACTGAGTAACTGGCCATCACTTACTTGTCAAGGGAATACATTCTACTAAAGCAGCATTGCCTGATGTTGACAATACTTTATACTGAGTAACTGGCCATCACTTACTTGTCAAGGGAATACATTCTACTAAAGCAGCATTGCCTGAGGTTGACAATACTTTATACTGAGTAACTGGTCATCACTTACTTGTCAGGGGAATACATTCTACTAAAGCAGCATTGTCTGAGATTGACAATACTTTATACTGAGTAACTAGCCATCACTTACACGTCAGGGGAATACATTCTACTAAAGCAGCATTGCCAGATGTTGACAATACTTTATACTGAGTTACTGGCCATCACTTATTTGTCAAGGGAATACATTCTACAAAAGCAGCATTGCCAGAGGTTGGCAATACTTTATACTGAGTAACTGGTCATCACTTACTTGTCAAGGGAATACATTCTACTAAAGCAGCATTGCCTGAGGTTGGCAATACTTTATACTGAATAACTGATCATCACTTACTTGTCAAGGGAATACATTCTACCAAAGCAGCATTGCCTGAGGTTGACAATACTTTATACTGAGTTACTGGCCATCACTTACTTGTCAAGGGAATACATTCTACTAAAGCAGCATTGCCAGAGGTTGACAATACTTTATACTGAGTTTCTGCTTTGGAAGTTCCTTTAGGTCTGTTGAATCCTTCAGGTTTCAGAACCATCTAAAAATATTAAACATAATTTATGATTAATTATATTTTTATTATTTATTATTAATTGATATAATTTCTTTTTAAAAGCAAAATTATTTTAATGTTTTGAGTCAACCTAGTGAATCTTAGCGAAATTTATACAGCTTGTGAAGAAGACTGGTTCTTGTTGTAATATAGTATATCATAAGACATATATACCACACAGTACATATCTCTTTATATCTTACCTCCTATACATTTCTAGAAATATGATTGGTTAAAAGCAACTGTGTGGAGACCATGTATATTTCATGTGGGGTTAGTAGGCATGATTTATTTCAATACACAGTTAGTAGTGGTGTAACGTCCCTTTGTAAAAAAAAACACGGTGTTGAGGAAAAATCTGAAAGGTTTCAACAGACGAAGAAATTGATGATGAACAATTGAAATAAATTCATAAAACAGGTTTAAAGCTAACAAGATGTTATTGTTGGCATTTGCTTTTGTATAGACTGATGGAAGTAGGTTCTTAATACTAAGGATTGTAGACTTGATCACTTTGACACACTATGTAACTAATAATATTCATAAGACTCTACTGTTTATTATGATATGTGTTTCAAAGACCCTACTGTTAATTGCAATTTTTTACGAAAAAGGAGTGATCAAATTTTGTGTGTTTTCTGAATATTGTTGTCATTTTTGGAATAGACGTACTAAATTACCCAATTGATTTCAAAAATGAAATAGACAAACATATTTTTCTATAAATATATTAAAACAAATGCATAAAATTCAAAGAGTTTATATCAATACAGAATTTTTCACTTCCAACAAATTTATATTGCCAACTGACAACTTTCATGAATCACAGCTGCTATCTTAAAAACCAATTATTGTCATGTTAGTATTGGTGCCATAAAGGAGCTGAGGCAGCAATCCACCAACAACCGTATTACAAAACAGACATATTGTCTTGGTTTTTTGTGTTGTTGGGTTGCAGTTTTTATTTATTGCTTCATACACTGTATCTCTTTATATTCTTATTTTAACCCCTTACCCTGTATTTACCTATTTTAACCCCTTACCCTGTATTTACCTATGTTAACCCCTTACCCTGTATTTACCTATGTTAACCCCTTACCCTGTATTTACCTATGTTAACCCCTTACCCTGTATTTACCTATTTTAACCCCTTACCCTGTATTTTCCATCTATCTTGCCTTCTGCAATTGGTATGTCTATGACACCTGAAAAATATAATCACATCTTTCACGCAGATATTAGATCTATTTATTTCTCGACATTGTATGCAAAAATAAAAGAATTCCTCAATGTTTCATGTAATCTTCATTACAGTCAGCATCAACTTCCATACATCAATCAATCCTGTTACTGAGAGAATACACAGATGAAAATTAAACAAAGGATGAACTTTTAGAAGTCTGACTGCATATAAAGAAGTGTCCATATGAAGTTAATATGCACTTTCAAAGAAACTATAAAATAAAGGCAAACTTTTGTTATTCCAACGCCAACAGACCAACGAGGTATCAGTTCCTTATTTAATCCAGCAAAGGATGAAACACAATTCTCCCATATACATATTTTGAAAAGCTACTTTAATCAATATGCTCAGGTTATACTTTACCTTAGGTATAGGGGGAGGGTTGAGATCTCATAAACATGTTTAACCCCGCCGCATTTTTGCGCCTGTCCCAAGTCAGGAGCCTCTAGCCTTTGTTAGTCTTGTATTATTTTTAATTTTAGTTTCTTGTGTACAATTTGGAGTTTAGTATGGCGTTCACTATCACTGAACTAGTATATATATTTGTTTAGGGGCCAGCTGAAGGATGCCTCCGGGTGCGGGAATTTCTTGCTGCATTGAAGACCTGTTGGTGACCTTCTGCTGTTGTCTGTTCTATGGTCGGGTTGTTGTCTCTTTGACACATTCCCCATTTCCATTCTCAATTTTATCAATATACCTGTTCTCTCTTCTCTCTTAAACACAATTTAAAATTCATCAATCATAAAGCTGTCAATTCAGCACCCATGTTTTATTCATATTTCAATATGTTCATTGTACAAATATCTACAATGTACATGTACCATTTTATAATCATCACATGAATCTGTCACTTTGTATAAGTATCTGCAATGTACATGTACTGCCTTACAATCATCACCTGAATCTGTCACTGGTATGTGTGTAAGTGCATAAGTGTGTTGTGTGAAAGTCTGTTAGTGTGTAACAGTGTAATATGTGTAAGTAACTTATGACTTACCTTCTTCAGGATTAGGAATGCCTTTGGTCAAAACAAAGAATTTCTTTATCACTTCATTTTTCTTATAAGCTTCTGTCAATCTGAAGGCCATCATTTCTGTTCTATAATAAAAAGAAAATCAACAAATCATTAAACAAAATTGCTCTTAATAAATTTTGTTTACTTTAGGCAAATTCTTTATTTACCTTCATCAGCAATGCTCACACCCAAACATTCAAAATCCAGGGATGTATAAATACCCAGAAGCATAACGAGCTATATGACCAAAATGAATCTAAAAAGAATAGCCAAAGTCATTAACAGTTGTCATAGTAAAAGCTCAAACAAAAACAAACTACCTGGACAACTGTCAACATATAGTATTGCATTCATTCATTTTGTGTGTCCATATATAGTCCTGATAGTCTAACAGTTGATGAAATACTACCTATTTATCTATTTATTTGGGACCGTTTCAACAGTCTTTTGCTCGCAACCCATTCCAGAGGCCTTGAATTAGATCTCATGATGGGTTATACAAGATATAAAATTAGTATTTTGCTGCTTCTCCTCTAAGCAAATGGCATGAAGGAGTAAGAGCAATGACTAGTCAGATCATACTTAGAATAATGTTTCAATCTACGGTGACATTTCTTTCTCTGTACTGTTAATTTGTGAACAGGCACATTATAAAGCCTGCTTGAGGTCTTTGTCTAGTACAAAGCAGGATTCATAAATTGTCTTTAAAAGTTGGGTAAATCACAAAGACAAAGTCTTTTATAGTGTACAGCAACTTATGTATTGACATGTACGGCAGCTTGCATTTTACCACCTCTCCGCTTCAGCTAGTACCACTATCCAATGTTGCTCTCAAACGGAGTACAAATAGAGAATAAAAAAGTTGAATACTACTTAATTTTACAAAAGTTAACTGATTGCTAGATAAAATCACATATTACCGATATTTGAAATTATAACTGTATGATAATAAACATATGGTTATGGTTGTCTTTCTGGTATTGTTTAACATCTCACCCCTTATTTCATTTTATTGATTTTGTATTTACATTGTGTCATAGATCAAATTTATTCGTTCAGTGTATGTTCACTTGTTTTTGTTAATATGTCTTTTGATTGAGTTAAGCCATTTCAATTGATATTTTATAGTGTGTGTTTCTATGTTGTGATGTTACACTATTATTTCAGGTAAGGGTGAAGGTTGGTACCTATTAAAACATTTAAACCCGCTGCATTTGTTTGCACCTGTCCTAAGTCAGGAACCTGATGTTCAGTGGTTGTCGTTTGTCGATGTGGTTCATAAGTGTTTCTCGTTTTTTTATATTGATTAGACCGTTGGTTTTTCTGTTTGAATGGTTTTACACTAGTAACTAGGCCCTTTATAGCTTGCTGCTTGGTGTGAGCCAAGGCTCCATGTTGAAGACTGTACTTTGACCTATAATGGTTTACTTTTAAAAATTGTGACTTGGATAGAGAGTTGTCTGTGAACTTGTCTCATTGGCACTCATACCACATCTTCTTATATCTATAACATACTTTGCTAACAAGATAATCCCTGTTGAATCTCTGTCTAAGTGAGTAATAAGGTGGAGCTTCTTCAGTTCTGGGTCAACATGGTTCTTTAACTTTTCTAAACAGTTCTGTACAGTTAAATGAATTCCAGGGCCATCTTAAAATAATTAAAATATAAATACTCTAAATACAAAGAAAACATACAAAACCCCAACTTGTAAAAATGCAAGAGTCAATGTACTAATTCAAACCTAATGAAATTTTGTTTTTGTTGAAACTTTATGACATTTGATTCTGTATGTTGTCATTAGCAATTACTAGGGAGTTTTAGTGCTCTCATTGTTTATTAACAAACAGTCATGGGGTAAGTTAACTTAAGATTTATAAAAGCGACATCTACCAAATTTGAAGTTGACCTATGTTTAGTGGTAATAAGCATTGTGTTTAAGTTTCATAACATTTGGTTGTGGCAAAATACAGTTAGAGTGTGGAAAGGGCAAATTCACCAATTTTTCTAATTATACACGAACATAATTTGAGAACAATGACACCTCACAAATTCAAACTTGATCTGTGTTTGATGGTAATAAGCATTGTGTATAAGTTTCATAACATTGATTGAGGCAAACAAGAGTTAGAGAATGTTACCAATTTCTGGACAAACAGATGGCCATACAGATGGAGACTTACAGACAAACAAGGGTAAACCTTAATGCCCCTCCGCCAAGTGACATTGTGGCATTACAAATCTTCCATCCTCTATCCTGCTCTGCCAATCTAACAGTACCTTTATATTCAATAGTTTAATTTGTATTAGTTCTGAACATGCATGAAATATTTGCCACTGGACAATAAGCTATTGCCAATCAATTAATCAATATTTATTGACACTACATGTGTAAGTCCATAAGGTTACTCATTACTTCCGGCAAAAATATGAATCTTGTCATGGGCAATTAATTATATATTATACCATCTCTGACGAATATCACACTTATTTACGAATTATATGTCTATTGGTTTGACTGACTGTAGTAACCTTGAATTGTCTCCCCTTAAAAAACTTACCAACACAAGGCATTCCATATGGTTTACTGATGGCTATTAAATCATCTGATTATCTCCCCTTTATAAACTTACCACCACAAGGCATTCCATATGGTTACAAGAGCGCAATTATTTGTTGAAATTTTACCAGCAAGTTTTTTACCCCAAGATGGTACTCAGAATAGAATCCTGTACGGCTTCTGATTGGATGATACATGATCAAAATTACTTTTTTATCAAAAGCTTATCCAATTAGGTTTAAAAAATCCAGAAAATCAAATTCACATTTTACAAAGTATAGAAAATATCTTCTATTTCTGCACGTCGGACCCATTACAAATTTGACCTTTTCATTTAGCGAAAAAAAATAGACGATCTTTTTCAACTGCATTTTTAGTCAATTTTTGACGCATGACCATATGTATTTTTTTGGTTGTTACGCAACACTGGTATTTCTAGTAACAGGAACTGCTACTGTTTTTTTCATAGTTTGTGTAGTCATCGAGAAATAAAATATGGAACACCACTGGTACCCTATGGAAAATGCATTACCAATAATTGTGCTCTTGTAACCATATGGTTTACTGATGGCTATTATATCATCTGATTATCTCCCCTTTATAAACTTACCAACACAAGGCATTCCATAGGGTTTACTGATTGCTATTATATCATCTGAAATAAAAACTTCAAATTAATACTTTTACATCTTATTCTTAAAATAGAAAGCTGTCTATATGTCAAGCTTTAATAAATCCAAGTTGGAAAAATTTGAAAGTAAATTTAACTGAGATGGGACTATCAAAGGTCTGCCATTTACACCAAATTCCAAAATATGATAAAAATCTTCATCTTTACGGTATGACTTCTTTTTTATAGATTGTTAAATTTAACTTCAAGTTCATAAATTATGTTCATCATACACTACATTGTAGAAGTCATGTCAACTATATGTTGACCTTGGATTCATTACAATTACATGTGTCATATATACAATACTGTGATAAAGCTTGCCAAAAACCTCTGTAAAGGTCATATCAAATAACCTTTAACCTTGGTTTGTTTATTTACCTCTATCATTTACAAAACTGTATTAAAGCCTGCTTACAACCTCTGTAGAGGTTATATCAATTAACTTTTAACCTTGGTTTCTTTAATTACCTCTATCATATACAATACAGTGAGAAAGCTATTAATTTACTTTTTTAATCATGGATACTTTTATCACCTAAATCTTGCACAATACTATGATAAAGCTTGCTAACAATTTCCGTAGAGGTCATATCAATTAACCTTTAGCCTCAGTTTCTTTAATTACCTCTATCTTGCATAATACTATGAATCTATGATAAAGCTTGCTAACAACCTCTGTAGAGGTCATAGCAATTCACTTTTAACCTTGTGTTTTTTCGATTACTTCTATCTTGCATAATACTATGATAAGCTTGCTAACAACTTCTGTAGAGGTCGTATCAATTAACCTTTAACCTCAGCTTCTTATTTACCTCTATCATACACAATACTATGATAAAGCTTGCTAACGACCTCTGTAGAGGTCATATCATGTAACTTTTGCTTCATTTCTTTGTTTTGCCTGAGTTTCTTTCTTATTGGTTCTGCTGTTTCTGTAATACATAAACATAAGGTCAAAGGTTAATTTAGCTATAGAATTTTAATTTTTTTTTTCTTAATTTAAATTCAGTTATAATTACAATGCAATGCAAGATTACTTTAATGAAATATAATAAAATTGAACTACATGTATAGCTATGATAGCCAAGTGTTTTTTTGTCAGTCAGTTGGACAATAAATAGTTATTTTTAAAGAACAAAAAATCCATATCAAATGTTAACATTCAGACCAAACTGTTGCCACACAACAAGATCTATGGGTAAAAGATTAAAAGTATTTTGCAATTCAGTTGGATTTGTTTTTTAAATGAAAGGTAAAAGTGCAAAAATTAAAAGAGGTGAAATTTACATTTGTTAAGGTTGCAATTAGTAAAGGAGTATTTTTACATCTTGGATCACAAATGATTGGTCCAGATTTTAACTGAAATAAGCAAATTCTGTGCAGAAAACACAATTTATTTTTGTAAATTTTCATTTAATAAAATTCTATCTGTGGGTAATAATATAGTTCATAATTAAAGAAAAATTGTGCTACATGTATGTAAAAGAGAAGCAAAAGATACAAAAGTGATATTCAAACTCATAGGTCGAAAAACAAACTGACAATGTCATCATGGTCATGGGGGGATAACTCGGATAATTTAATTAAGAGAAAAGAATACTGGTATACATGGTATATATGTATGCTAAATTTATAAATTTTGTTTCATATGTAGCAAGAATATTAAGAATTGTATACTGCAGTTACCACATTTTTTTAATAATTATTTTTTAATGCATTACATAAGAGCTACTTTCTCAAATTTCATCTCAAAATTCTATTATCTATCTTTTTTCTAGACACATGATATTGTTATTTAGTATAAACCTGAAAAGATGAGAATTGTGCACAGCCTGTAAGCATGGTAAGCTTGAAAACATTCATGAGAACCTTTTAGCATTTCATTACTACTATGTCAATAACTGGTAAAATATTGGAGCTGAAATAAATTTAAGGCAATATCAGCATGATCAGTCATACATTAATATGTATGATGATGTGTACATGTATGACACCTATGTTACAAAAATTTCTCTACATTTTTTTGGGTTCAAAACATTATATCACATGATACAAGTGTAACCAGAGAGCATGATTTTCATTACAAAATCGCCTGTCTGCACCTGGACTCAAACCTGGGACCACTGTGTTATAAGGCAGTGTGTTAACCAACTGAGCTAAAGAAGTACTTCCTTAGCTCAACCACTTACGGCTGACTAAGTATCTAATACATATACTAAGGGAAGCAATTCCGTCACACTCCCCCCACCTCAAGAGTCATCATACCATAATGACTCTTACAACACAAACCCTAGCTAGAAATCCTCTCTAACTACCGTGGGTTTTTTAGTTGGGGGCCAAATGTAACTGGAAAGCATCTCTACTGTTACACATATATGCATACAATTAAAATGACAAATTCGAAACAGGTATGTTATAAAACACATGTACCTTTAGACAATATAGATGTATCGTCAAGCTCATCTCTTATTTTTCTGGCAGCTTCCTCAGCTGTAGAGAGACTTTTCTCGTTATGTAGTTTTCCTGAAGAGACATTTTGATTACGTTTATAAGCAGATGCCTGTTGATGTTCTATGGTTAAATCAAGAGTAATTTTACTTTGATTTATATCATTTGGATTTCCCTTTTCTATTTCTGACTGGTGATTACTGTTTGTCTTTTCTGTTGTATGTAAATTATTAAAATACTGACTTTCAATTGAAATTTCATGATCATTTAATTGGTTATAATCAATTTCTTCAAGTGAAACAGCCGATAACTTATTATTTTCTTGTTCATGTTCTATACATTTACGATCAGTTAATATATCTGGTTTATTGTTGGTATTTTCCTTTAGACCATCTCTATCACTTTCATGCTTCAGTGCATAATCAAAATATTGCTGATCTATAATGTTACTTTGTGTTTCACCAAAAGATTCTGATTTTATGTTTGCACTGTCATGACTGTGATCTGAAATATTTGAAACATTTCTGCTTGATTCACATAGAATATTACTGTAAGGTTCCTGGTTATGCACAGTGTCAAAATATTGCTGGTCTATAAAGTTATCATGGTTGTCTTCTGTCACAGATTTAGCTTTAAGATGGGAGTTTTCCAGTGTGCTCTCCTGCTTTAATAGATAGGGAAAATATTGTGTCTCAACAGTTGTAGATGTGTTGTTAGACATCTTTGTTTGTTTATCCATCCCTAGGTTTACAGACGAATCAAAGTAGTTTTGATCAATATCATTAGAGGGTCTATACTCTTCATTAGTAGCAGTTTGTCTTTCTGATTTACTTTTGGCTGGGTGTTTCATTTCATAATCTCTCTTTTCTCTACTTAATATTGCAGCCTTTCCTTGTCTAGTTGGCTGTAGTCTAGGATTTTTCAAATTTGATGAGAAATTTTGTAGGATATCACCATTTTTGTCTGCTAAATCAGAATCTTGTATAGAAACATCTCTGACTACTGGATAAGACTCCTTATTAATTACCATTTGCATGTTGTCATTTTCTAAAGTGTTTACATTTTTCACTTTTCTTCTTTGTCGCTTAGTTTTAACATTGTAGGATTCATTTTTATCAGAAGATTGGCTCGTTAGGAACTTATTTGAAACACCTGGATCTAAGCGAACATATCCATATGGCACTTGAACTGTGTCAAATTTTTTCTTTGGGATAATATTGGGAATGTTGTATTTTGTTGCCAACTGTTCTGTTTTGAGGGACACCTCTGGATTTACACGAGGCTGAAGTGATTCATAAAATTCATTAATGCCATAGATATCATCTTCCTTACAAAAATCATTTGTGACATTATTATCAGATGTTTGCTCTTCTGTCTTGGTAATTTGAGAAGAAATATATTTGTCCTCAATGTAGTGAATGTTAAGATATTTATTTCGTTTAAAAATAACTCTTAGAGTACGAGTAATGTTCGATCGTTGTGCTAAATTCACCACAACACAACTCCGCAAGGGCGCTGACATCTTGAAAATACTAAATAACAAAACTTTAGCCGGTGCCCGGAATTCCTCTTGTCCGTCTCCTACCTCGACTGGATAATAGAAATACCATAAACAAACCGGCCTAAACAAACATGGCGGGATTAAGTGAAATTTTTGAAAAATATTGCCAACAAAGTGCTTTAATTGGGATAGTGTTGATTTATATTGTAACATGCATCTTTACATATTTTGCTTTTATTTGGAGGAAAGTAAAAATCCCCAAATTTCCACGCAAAATACTGCTGATTACAGCTCACCCAGACGATGAATGTATGTTCTTTTCACCAACAGTTCAAGCAGAAACTTCAAAAGGAAACTTTGTATATGTTCTGTGTTTATCTAAAGGTTAATAATATTATTTTGATTCAATTAAAACACTCTACAGCTGAAAAAACACTAAAATGCTTTACAGTTTACTTAATACATGTACATGTATGTATGTACGTAACTTCCTCCGATATGCGAAGCATCTATCAAGAGCTTCGAGGGTACAGTGGAATCCATGTACACTCCCTATAAGTATAAGGATAAATGGAGATGTGTCACTAACTTAGATACAACCCACCACCACTGATTATCCCCAACCCAACACCAAGGGAGTGTTAGGACACATTTCTAGACATATATGCTGTTATTATGGTGGAGGAAGTCGAAGTAAAATGTACATGTACTGGGCTTCTCGGAGGAAGCAAACGAACCGAGGAGATATCTACAGATTGATCACCTGGTGAAAGCCAGGAGCCACTTTGACCTATCTAGTTCAAACTCTGGTCTAAGTACCATGTGAGTACCAGAGATGTGTGTGGGAGGGTGAAAATCTAAGTCTGGATCAATTTCTTATTTGAGGGCTGCCGAATCAGAAAATTAGAGTTCCAAAAGGGATTATTCACAGGGGTACAATAAGGAACTCTTACCCCCTTGGTTCATTCAAATTATATCATTACTGTAACAATTATAAAACAAGACAGAACACAAAATATTAATGAGATGGAAACGGATTAAGGGAAATCATGAATATTGACAAACAAGACATGCAAAAACAGGGATGAATTGACATGATTTGAGCATCCTTAACTGTTTATTCTAGTCTGGATAACATAGTGTTTAAAAAGGAGCTTTCAAAGTAAGTCCATGTCAGAATGACAAACAAAATTATAACCAGGAAGAAAAGACATATTAAAAAAACCCTGAAATTAAAGTAATCGTTATTCTAAGTCAGGTTCTTCATATATAAAAATTAACATTGTACAAAAATGTACATGAGCTCTTTTTAGCTCTTTTAACTGACTGGTATTTAATAATATAACATAATCATCATAATCAATCAATGAAATTAAAACAGTAGTCAAGAGATTGCTCTGTTGCTGACAAAGCCCATTCAATATAGAAAAATGGAACTGCAGACACATACTAGATTACTAGTACAATGTACTGTCTGGAAATCAAAATAGATCCAATGTCAAGCAGATAAATCGCATACCATTTATTTTTTGTCCATGACTACATCACTGTTAACTTTTATTCAGCAATGAAATATAACCTGTCTGTAGCAAAAACAAAATCTTCAATCCCCCCAACATGCCCAAACTCCATTTTCAACAACAAACATTTACTTTGCTTTCTATGTGATATTGTGATCTCATGTTATTTCCTCTGAGAATTCGTAATCATGCAATGGGAGAAAATTTATATCCTGGTATCTATGATGAGTTTATTATACAAAAGTGTTTCTATGTGCTAATTAAGTAGTAATTTGACCCATTGGATGAAGAGGCAAATCAGGAAAATGAAAGAACATACATTTGTAGTCCATAATTGAAAGTTAAAGCCAAAAAAGTTGTTGCTACATGGTGTATGATTTATCTGTTTAACAGATTTTAATTTTAGAAATTTAGACAAAAAATTAATACCCCAAGTCCTCTTTAATGATTACTCTTTGATGTCCAACAGCCCAAGCAAGTCCCAAAAGGACTGTCAGACATCAGTGTAATCTCGATTTTAAAAAAAAAAAACAGTCCACTTTGAACACAATACAGACTCCAACTAGACATTGTGCAACACAAACAAGTTCAGTTCAGCTTCTTGTAAAAAATTTACATAGGTGACAGGGGCATTAAGTGTTACCCTTGACCATCTGTCTGTCCCATTTTTGTTGCTAAGCTTGAGCGGGGGCATTCGTCTCCTCAGACACATTCTTCTTTTATTTTACTATAAAATGGCTTATCAGCATCTGATTCAACCTGGATGGCTGCATGCACCTGCTGACGCTAGTTTGTCCAGCAAAATATTGTTGAATCTATGAAATCTAACTATTTTCATAACACTCATTAGCATGTTAAAGTTACATTCTTAGGCATTTATAATACAGTCAAACCTGCCTTTATGGTCACCTCGTTTCAGCAGTCACCTGTCTCCAACGGTCACTTTCAGACCCTCCCAAACATTTACTGTATATATATATAATTTAACTCTTTTACGCAGTCACCTTATTTTCTCACATTATTAAAACTTTTAACAACAGTCATTTTAATGTTTTTGTTTACCAATATAAGCAAAAAATATATGAGTTCAGTATTGAAGTAAAAATGAGAATTGGAACCCATTTGCCACCGAGATCATGTAAGCGCAGGGGAATTCTTGATTCCCTCATGTTCAATTCTTTCACTTTCCATTAAAAACAGTATCACCGACTTATCTCTCCATGAATATTTACATAATGTACTTTAAAATGTCTGTGTTTATGTTTGATGTTTTTCTGCTTTGTATCGATCTGATGAGTTAAGCCTTTTTCAACGGATTTTTACAGTGTGTTCTTATGATGTGCTGTTACACCACTGTCCTAGGTTAGGGGGAGGGTTGAGCGCTCACAAACATGTTTAACCCCGCCACATTCTTTATGTGCCTGTCCCAAGTCAGGAGCCTGTAGTTCAGTGTTTTTCGTTGTTTCATGTCTGTCATATTTGTTTTTCGTTAATCATGTTAATTGTTTTGTTATAAATTAGGCCGTTTGTTTTCTCAATTGAATTGTTTCAAATTTTTCATGTCAGGCCTTTTATAGCCGACTATACGGTATAAGTTTGTCTCATTGTTGAAGGCCGTACAGTTACCCACTTTATTTGAACTTTGGTGGATAGTTGTCTCATTGGCAATCATACCTCGTCTCCTTATTTTTATGTTTAAAAGTTTTTTTCAATTTACAACTTCGGAATCCACCATTCTTTTTATTTCACTGGCCCAAGAACGATAACTCTACCAATTGAAAACACTAAAACTATTTGCCGTGTACCTGGTCACGATCATTGTCGGAATTGGAATTTTTCAGAATCGCATTTAAAAGGTCACCAGTCTTGAGCAGTCAATTTTAATACTTCCCATGAGTGAATGCGTAATACATGTAATGCAGGTTTGACTGTTTACAAAAATATATATGTGTAAGGCTGTTTTTTTTTAACACAGATCTACATGTTGTGGTCTGTTGTGTTTTTGGATATTCCTGCTATCCTTTCTATGTATTTTTTGTAATTATTGGAATAAGGATGTAAATAATATTAATTTTACTTATAGGTGATTACTATAAAATAGGTGACAAGCGCACGAAAGAACTGATAAAAAGCTGTAGTGTGCTTGGAATTCCTGAAAGAAATATACGCCAAGTAGATCATGCGTAAGTACCAGCTCCCTAAAATATTTAGTGTGAAGTCCTTTGAATTTCTAAAGTCTTCAGTCAGAAAAATAACAAGCTCTCTATAATCATTTTGGAAACCCAGGCTTAGGAATACTTAGGTGAGAAATTGGTTCTCATCTTGGGATTTCCAAAATCTAGCAGGGACTCCATTTCTAAAATATGAGCGGCAGAGATCCATGTACTCTCCCTCTGTTAAGACATGCATCACATGTTGTTATTCCCTTATATAAAATAAATTTTTGCATAAGTATCAATAAAGGTTTCTTTGCTCATCATTATACCCCAACAAAGTTTTAGGGGTATATAGGAATCAGCCTGTCGGTATATTCAGACCAACTTTATCTTTGTTTAATTCACCTTAAATTTTGTAGAATTATTTATCTTAACATTCAAACATCACCATGTTGAAAGCATTTATGATTCTGTTTGCTTAATCCAGAATTATACCCCTTTTACCTTTTAAATTTTGACCAGTTTCAGAAGTTATCAGAACCACTGTTTATCGTATCTACATGAAATTTTATACATATACAATGTAGTTAGATCCATCTTTCATTGTCTTTTTCAGCAAGTTACAAGATAGTCCTGGTTTATATTGGTTTCAAGTCCATAATTTTGTATGCATCTTTCATTGTCTTTTCCAGAAAGTTACCAGATAGTCCCAGCATCGATTGGGATGCAGAGGTTTTAGAAAAAGAAATAATAGCCATTATATATGGATTACAACCTAATAAGGTAAACATCTAAAACAATTTTCTAATCAACAAGTCACAAGTCTGGAAGATTTACAGTCAATTACAGTATGCACAGGAGGTTATTGTTGTCATACTATACAACACAATTTTCAATCTTCAGGAATGACTCTCTATGGTTATCTGTATAAAATGTATATATTTAAGGAATGACTTTAATATTTTTTCTGTCTATGAAGAAATAACCTAAAAAATGTGGTGCACATTGAATAACCTGTGTAGCGGTTTATTTAAAAGTGTGAACCACATTTTTTAGGTTATTTCGAAAAGACAGAAAAAATATTACTGTCATTCCTTATAATTTAATTCTAAATTCCGTTTTTAAGGTCTAAATTTTGAAAAAAAACAGTGACGTCATGGTCACATGACAAAATTATGTCTATGAGCTTATAGGCAAAACACTTTCAGCCAATCAGAAGACGTGTTACATCCAAAATTAAATTATTTAGCTATAATACTATTAAACTACAACAAGTCTTTACTATTTTGTGTGAAAATAAGCTTGAAAAATCATATTACCCAGTATTGCCCAGCCTGTGAAAAACCCAGGTTTTCCTGCTCGGGTAATACTTTGCCAACCCTGCACAAAATCTTGTAAAAACTGAATATGTAGGAGCAACACAAATGACATTTTGCTGCAAATAATATGTAGACAAGGAACATGATTTTTGTCAAAAATAGACCAGCTTGAAGGACAGCTAATAATCATGATAATATTGTATAGAATTAAGCGATTTGACTTGTTATTTTTCACAATTTATGAACATGATGAAATGATTGTCAAAATGAGGTAAGAATTGCTGATCAATTTCGTCACTTAAATTTGTATGAGTAAAACAAAATTGTTATGAAATTTAACTTGACAACAAGAGAGTTGAGAGATACTGGTTTCGGCATTAGTGAGCAGTTTCCTGAAGAAATTAATGACAGACGAAAATCGTTATGGCCATTCTTCCAAGAAGCACGAAGACAGAGTAAAAAAGGCATTCTTTAGGAGGGATCGCCTCTTCATAGATGGAGTTGAATTTTTTCCACCAGAGAAAACCGATCAGCAAAATTCTGGAGTGTCAAGACAACAACCGAGATGAAACTAATATGATGAAGGCGCTTGCCCAAAATCAACGCCAAGAAATAACAATGGCAGACGTTTCAAAAACAATATTAGGACAACCTGGAGGCAAAGATACAGAACGAAGTGACCAGTCAACCGATACCTGTGACTTTCACCTTCGTGATATGAATTTAACTGTAAATAAAACTGACAATATCATTAACCTGTTATGTTTAAACGTATGTGGTATTAAAAATAAATTACTTTACCCTGGATTTAAATCCCTATTGTGTAATCATGATATTATCTGTCTTACAGAAACTAAACTAGATGATTGCGACTTAATCAATTGTGATGAATTTATTTTTAGTTTTAAAAATAGACACAAACTTTCTAACCATAGATCTGGTGGTATTGCTTTAGGTTACCGGAAGTATTTAGAAAAATATATTAAACCTATTGAAACTGAATGCAAATTTGTTTATTCAGGGCTCGACAATAACGCTTGTCCGATTGTCCGGTACCAGAGGAAAAAAAGGTCGGACAAGTAAAAGCTAGATCAAGGTTGTCCGACGGGACAAGTAAAATCATTTTGTAGAAAATAAATTAAATCCAACTTTGATGAACAAAGTATTGAGTAATAAACAAAAAAACAAGAAAAGATAAAAACAAATATTAATTTGACATGTTTACCATGTTTACATATCGATAATTTAAAACTGGTTCTTTGACTGATACTTTATAACAGATAAAACGCGTAATATTCTCGGAAACCAGTCTTGGATGAAATCAAGAATGCGCTTTGTAGATAAGGTAACAAGACAGTTCGGCACCGGCACGGAAACCAATCCTTCCATGTTTGATAGACAGTGTGGCACCGTAGGAGACATTTCGGGACCAAGCCAACCAGTACCTCATTTCCCTACCCTTTTCTGTTGCTTATAATAAATATGATAAATTTTATTTAACAAAAATATTTTTTAAAATAAAAAATGAAGAAATTATTGACCATAAAATTCACAGAATCATATTTCATCATATGTAGACAAAACAATACTTGATTGCGTTTGAATAAACATTTTAATATATTAAAAACAAAGCTGTTTGTTGTAAAGCATTAATCATAATAATCAATATTTTACCAACATGAAAGACCAGGATACAAACCAAATGAGTGTAGACTGACAGGCCTACCAGACTGTGCCTCATGTGCAGAGTCTGATGAGACTTTGGCATTGATGAAAACTAGAACCTAAATCCTGTGACATGACTTGATTCAGTTGTTCTCGACTCATATTTTTGAAAAGGATATCAAGAGATATAAATCAAATTCTATTCTTATGTTCATTGAATCAACTTAAAATGCAAAAAAGGTTAATATTAAGTTTTTTTTTTTGGACAAGTTACAATTTCATTCGGACAAGTAAGTTTTGATGTGTACTTGTCCTATTGGGCAAGTTGAAAAAAAAGTTATTGTAGAGGCCTGTTATTGGTTTACTATTGATAAGAAAGTTTTAAATTTACCTAAAAACGTTTTTATTGGTATAGTTTACATACCACCAGTAAATACAAATTATACATCCGAAAGAAGCTTTTAATGAGATAGAACTTGAACTTCAGAGATTTTCTGAAAAATCTGATTATATTATTTTGGTCGGAGACCTTAACAGTCGAACAGCAAATTTGTCCGATTTTTATGATGAAGATGATATACATGTAGATGATTTTGTTATTGACAACCTTACTGATCAATCTGATTATACTGATGTATATATGTTAGACGATTTAAATATATCAAAAACAAGAAATAATCCAGACAAAGTTGTAAATTGTTATGGTAGAAAGTTTTTTGAATTTTGTAAAAATAACAAAGTATTTATTTTAAACGGTAGAGTTGGTCAAGATGTTACTAATATAGATTATATTGTTTGTACTTCACACTTTTTAAGATGCGAATCGAATTTTGAAGTTCTTCAATTTTCTTAACTTTTTTCTGATGTTCACTCACCTATGAAACTATCTATTAATATGGTGAACCCTTCATTGAACTACACACTACAGAGTTATCCTACCAAGAAGAAAATAAAATTGGAAAATGGAAATTTGAGCAAGTGAATGATTTCAAGAATAACATAGATGTAGACAAAATAAGAAATGTTATTGATGAATTATCTGTTTATAGTAATCAAGAAAATGTAACAAAATATGAAATAAATACTGTAGTTACAAATATTACTGATATTTTAATTGATTCTGCAAAAGCAACATTTGGTACACATAATTTTAATAGAAATATGCTGAATTGTAATAGAAAGCATAATAAACAATGGTATAATTTTGATTGTAAAAAGGCAAAGAAAGAACCGAGAAAGGCACAAAGAATGTATAAACATTATGGGTCAAATTTATTTAAAGAAAGATTACGACACTGTGAATATTACTATAAAAGTGTAATGGATGAAAACATTAAGAAGTATAATAAAGAAATAAGTGATAATATGAAAAAATTAAAATCCAAAAATCCCAAAGAATTTTGGAAACTTTTTAACAGAGGTAGACAACGAGAAAAAAGCAATATATCTATTGAAACTTTATTTAATTTTTTTAAAGAATTGAATGAAAACAAAATTGAAGACACGTTTGTCATCGATAATGATTTGAACTCAAATCATGTAAATGAGACACTGAATGGTGTAATTACACATGACGAAATTATCAAAGCTATTAAAAAGGCGAAAAACAACAAATCGCCAGGTGAAGATAAAATAATCAATGAATATGTTGCAAATTCTCTTGACAGTATGATTGATGTATATTCTAAATTGTTTAATCTTATTTTTGATACGGGTATTCTGCCGGAGGCCTGGCTTATTGGAAACATAATACCAGTGTTCAAGAACAGAGGATGTCAATTAGAAGCAAAAAATTATAGGCCTATTACTTTATTGTCAAGCCTCGGTAAGATTTTTACATCTATTTTTAATGATAGATTGGGTGAATTTGTTGATGAACTAAATATCTTGAACGAAAACCAAGCAGGCTTCCGACAGGGCTACTCTACCAACGATCATATTTTTTTCATTATATGCACTCTTCGAGTTGCTATATGTGTCAAACGAAAAAAATTACATTGTGTATTCGTTGATTTTGAAAAAGACTTTGACTTTGTTCAAAGAAACTCACTTCTGTATAAGCTTGTTTTAAATAAGATAACTGGTAAATTTCTTAGAATTGTAGAAAATTTGTATAAAGATGTTAAATCAAGAGTTGTACATAATAATGAAGCATCTGACATGTTTGTAAGTGATATTGGAGTCTGCCAAGGAGAAAATCTTTCTCCTTTATTATTTTCTTTATACTTAAATGATCTTCATGAATTTTTAGAAAATAGTGATTTAAAAGGTATAAAATTTACGACAAAAGAGACGATTTTTCATTCCCTATTGTTAATTTTCCTTTTTTAGACGGCGATGTTCCTTTGGCTCCATCATACGGTGTTTATATATCCCAACTCGTTCGTTATGCCCGTGTGTGTAGTGATGTCATAGATTTTAACGAACGTAATCAATGCATCACTGGTAAATTATTATATCAGGGATTTCGTTACCATAAATTATATAAAACTTTTGCTAAGTTCTTTCATAGATACAAAGATTTGATTAGTAAATTTGGCTGTACTTGTAGAAAACTGATTAAAAACGGTATTTCACATCCTAAATTTTACGATAATATTGTACTTAAAGCGCGGAAATCACTATGTGATCCGTGTAAACTCATCGAACCTTTAAACAAACTTATTAGTAAAGGTTATCTTACCAATGTTGTAATTAGATCTTTGAATATAGTTTACATTGGCACTAATATCGATTTTGTCATCAGCAAATTAAACCATAACTAAATTTGTATTCTTTTCAAACGGGATGTATTAAGACACACCCACGTTCGTTTTGATCTATAAAGAGGTTAAACTCCTAACTATCCTACTGTCTGTCGATACATTTATTTTTGGCATTGCACTAGTCATGTCTTCTTTGACTGTCCATGACGTTAAAATACTAAATCCCTGGGATGTGTTTTAGTTGATTTTAGTCTCTGATGCATGATTTTTTATTATTAATTGTTTTGGCTTTTTACTAGCTGTCAGTAACTGCGAGTACTCTCAAATCGTACTTTCTTGTTTATTTGACCTGTTGATACTAATTGTATTGCTTTTTTTGTTAATTAATGTTATTCAGGGTTATATCTGGTCTATATACCAGCTTTTATAAGTGTTTGGTATTACTATAAATTTTCACTTCGTACTATGAACATCAAAATTATTTATTTTGTAAAAATATTTCCTTTCTCTATTGGAACTGTATACGTATACCTAACAACAAAATTATTTTCATTTACCTGTGTTTAAAGTTATTGCAAACAGCTGATATTTTTGTTCGAGCATATTGTTTTTCTTTAATTGTTTAACATTTCATACCGATATAACATGTTACTTTTATTATTCTTCCCTTAGTTTATTTATTTTGTATTTACATTGTATCATAGGTCAAATTTATTTGTTCAGTGTATGTTCAATGGTGTTAATATGTCCTTTGATTGAGTTAAGCTATTTCAGTTGATATTTTATAGTGTGTCTTTCTATGTTGTGATGTTACACTATTGTTTCAGAAAAAGGGTGAAGGTTTGGTACCATCAAAAAGTTTAAACCTGCTGCATTTGTTTGCACCTGTCCTAAGTCAGGAATCTGATGTTCAGTAGTTGTCGTTCGTTCATGTGGTTCATAAGTGTTTCTCATTTTTTATATAGATTAGACCGTTGGTTTTCCCGTTTGAATGGTTTTACACTAGTAATTTTGGGGGCCCTTTATAGCTTACTGTTTGGTGTGAGCCAAGGCTCCGTGTTGAAGACCGTACTGTGACCTATAATGGTTTACTTTTATAAATTTTGACTTGGATGGAGAGTTGTCTCATTGGCACTCATACCACATCTTCTTATATCTATATACTTTCAATTACTTCTGATATAGAAGATGAACTGGATATTTATTTTAAGATATTTGTCTTATTGTATGCTGACGATTCGATTTTACTTGCTGAGACAAGCACAGATTTGCAATTACTTTTAAATAGTTTTTCTCAATATTGTGAAAAGTGGAAACTTAAAATTAATGTTAACAAGACAAAGGTAATGATATTTTCAAAAGGTAGACCACAGAATAATTTGAAGTTTTATATTAATAACGAAGAGATAGAAATTGTTAAGAACTATAAATACCTTGGTGTAATATTCTATAGAAATGCTTCTTTTTTTGCAACTAGAAAATATCTTAAAGACCAAGCTACTAGAGCTATGTATTGTGTTATTAAGAAGTGTAGATCTAACCATCTATCTATAGAATGCCAGCTCGATATGTTTGATAAAGCTGTTTTACCGATACTTTTATCATGTTTATATGGGGCCGAAATCTGGGGATACGAAAATCTTGGCATTTTGGAAAGGGTACATTTGAGTTTTTGTAAACATGTTTTACGGTAAAAAAGATTGACTCCAAATTTTATGGTTTACGGGGAATTGGGAAGATATCCTATTTCTTTATACGTTAAATTACAGATGATAAAATTTTGGTGTAACCTTCTTGATAACACACTTGATAACAAGATTTCGTCAATGTTATATAAGTTGATATATATTAATTTTAATAAGTATGGAATTGAAAACAAATGGTTGTTATGTATCAAAAGTATTTTTGATAATTGTGGAATGTCAAACATATGGCAAAATCAAGATTGTATCTCAAAAAAATGGTTTGTATTAAGCATTGAACAAAAGTTAAAAGATCAGTTTTGACAAGAATGGCTAGAAATGTAAATCAATCATCAAAAGGTCTATGTTATAAATTATTCAAAACAGAACTTAAATTTGAAAATTATATTTCAATTTTATCGTTAAATAATGCACTGAAACTATGTAAATTTAGATGTGGCAATCACCGTTTGCTAGTGGAGACAGGGAGGTGGCAAAATGTTCAAAGACCCAAGAGACTATGCCACCTTTGTGAATCTACTGACATCGGCGATGAATTCCATTATGTAATGTCTTGTCCTTTTTTCAAAAAAGAACGATATAAATATTTACCACACTATTGTTGTACAAATGTTAATATTCTTAAATTTAAAAATGTATTCGCTACAGTCAATATTGTCTTACTAGAAAAATTATGTAGATTTATAAACTATATATCAGTGAAAGTCTGTCCTCCTGGTTAAATTACATTTATTTATGTATATTTCACACATGCATAATATGTTGTATTTTGTTTATATTTTCATCTCTGTAACTATGTTATTTAGTTAATGAGAATAAAGATCTATCTAAAGATCTATCTATCTATCTACATGTTTATGGCCAGTTTACCCAAGCTAATTATTGGTCACAACAGGTGTCATAATTTAGTTAATTTGCTTATCCGATTAATGATACTAAAAATTAATGCATCTAAATAAAATCTGTCAGTCAACATTTCCATTTGGATAAATTTTCATACGACCATAATTAGTTAAGTTTATCGTTGTTTCTGGATAAAATCATAATTTACAGAGACACACTCCCCCCACCCAATTCTATCATTTCATTCCAAGAAAGATAGCTGAATTATCATTTTTACCAAAAATGAAATACCTACTCAAGATATGTCTACATCCCTCAGACTAAAGGACATATAGGTTTAGTAGGTCTTTTGAATTGTGGTGTAAAGGTAAAGGAGTCTTATGGGGAGAGAGGGGTCTCCATTTCCTGTATTCTTTATTTTTTAGGCCATTTTTCTCTTTTTTCTATACTTAATCATCTATCATGTCCATTATTTCCTATTTTTTATATTTTTTGACCCAATTTTCTCTATCCTTTATTTTGATTATACACATTTTCTCTGTTCTGTATCATTTAAGCTAAGGACAGGATTATTTACTATATAAATCATTCAGATGTATTGTATAAAGTGTTTTCTTAGATCAAATATACAATGTACTTAAGGTGGATAGTTGTCTCATTGGCATCATACCACATCTCCTTTTTTTTTATAATAAAAGATGCTTTGCAACTCTATTTTTTATTTTCATTTCAATGTTTACCTTTTTTAAGCAGTAGTGTTAATAGCTGTTCTAGATGTCAAATAGTAACTATTCTTATGTGATATGTATCTTTTGAAGCATAACAGCTGTTTTGTTTTAATCTCTTTCGTTATATTTTTATTTGTAAATGAAATGCTTAAAAAGAAAATGTAAGTACATATTAAACATGGATGCTTTCTTCATGTATTTAAGCCTTTGCAATAAATGCCTGAGTCCTATCGTGAAACTGCTGCCCCAAAAAAGTAGGTTTTGTTATCACACAAAAGTGACTCAAGCCCTCAAAAGCTAAAACCCTGCTTAAGTACATGCTCAATATAAGCTCAGTATCTGCAGCAACAGAAAGAAAAAGGAGTTAAAATTGGAAGGTAAAACGTTTGCTACAACTATGAAATTGAATGATGACTGTTGTATATTTTCAGGTAATCACATTTGACAGTAATGGTGTAAGTGGACACATAAACCACACAGCTCTTTATAACTGTATACAGTAAGTAACAATTTGTTTCATTTAAGGATGTACTTAGGTGAAATTAAAAAAAACTAGAATTTAAAATTGATACTATAAGTCAAAAGAGCATTAGTTAAGGAACAAAATAAGCTAAAAATATTGATAGGTTATGGAGCTCCTTTTCGAGATATTTAATTTTTTAAAAATGGCGGGAAAAGGCTGACTCGTCCTTTTACCTTATATTTGCATTGGTATTATTTGGGTCTCAAATTGAAAGAAAAGAAATCTAGAATCTGCTTAAATTTTGGTAAATGACCTTTTATGAGTTATTGAAGTCTTATTTGTAAAGAAAAATGGGTGTTATAGGGCAAAATATTTTACCCTGTATCGTAGGAAAAAAACAAAGGCGTCCGAACATTTGACAAAAATTCCTAAACCTCACCTAAGTACATCCTTAAAGCCATTTAAACCTAATTCTGTGAAAAGTATGTACATGATGTAGTGTATTAAAAAAAATTTGCAAAATAAAATTTTGTGTGATACCAAAACCTACCTTTTTTTGGGGCAGCAGTTTTACATGATAGGGCTCGGGCAGTTATTACATGGGCTTATATACATGTACTTAATGTTATTACATGGGCTTATATACATGTACTTAATGTACATTTGTTCTGTTTTAACCGAGTTTTCCTATGAAAATCTGGTATGGCCTGTTCCATAAAAACATGGCATTTTATGTCGTTTCAATGCAATAACTTGTGAATTGTTCAACCAAAGCTTTTCAAATTTAAATATGTTGTTTCTCATAGCCAAATTGAGGTCAAGTTATAAATTGAAGATTTTCTCTTTTTACAGCCTATATTACTATTTAATCCATTTCTTGATTCTTTAACATTTAGTCTACTAAGATCTGGAGCAGGTCTTTTAGTTTGAAATGCTAAAGAGTTTGTGTTTTGTTCTATTTGACTAACTTTACACAGAATTTATAGAAATATAGGTTAAGAAAATTTTATGAAAATTGTACTCCTCTAGAATTTCTTTTTAATACCTGCATATCTGAAGCTTATTCTCAACTGTACACTTGCATTGAAATATTTATGATTGACCAGACATATTGCATAAACTAATTATTAACTAATTATTTACTATCTTATTTTACATTTTTTATGTTTTAGGGATATATGTGGGAAAAATAGAATGCCTAGACGTAAGTATTATTACATATAAATTAGAGGCGAAAGATACCAAAGGGATAGTCAAACTCTTTTAGTCGAAAATAAATGGAAAACGCCATGGCAAAAAAAAAAAAACGACCAAAAGATAAACAACAGTACACAAAACACAACATAGAAAACTAAAGACTGAGCAACACAAACCCCACTGAAAACCGGGGATAAGCAGTTTTTGCTCCACATGTGGCACAGGGCTTCCAAAATTTCCTGACGACAGCCGGACATTTTTCAAAGAAATATTTTTGATGGTCAATGATCAGCTGTATACTTAAATGTAACTGAGAGGATGCATAAATTGATATATGTGTCTAAATAATTAGTAGTGTTATATGCAATAAAATTATTTATAACTGTTTTGTTTTCTTCATTCTAAAAATAAATAAAATATTATCCTCGGTATTGTGTCATTTTTCTGTGTATCGTAATACAGTAACCATCATTGCATCAATCAGCTTCAGTACCTGACTGTTCTCATGTTTTTGTTTCTGTTTATATAATCTATCTTCTCTCTGTGAGTACTTAACACTTTGTAAATTAAGGCCATCTTATTTGAAACTGTTGATGTTGGCTTTAATTGCAGTACAACTTGATCATCAATACACGTGATACTTTTCTTTTTGTGTATTGATTACCTGACCACGTGACTTTTACAACTGATGCGGTATTTATAGATAACATTGAGGAGGCCCGATGAAGGATATTGTTTTAAACCGTGTAAAATCTACTGAACAGTGATAACATTTTTCTTTGTACAATTTCCCAACCTGATTTAGAAAATAAGGAATAAATAAAAACATACTCAGTTGATAAATAATTTAATGAATAACAACATGATATTTTATGTAAGCATATAACAACAATAAAATGTCAGAAGAGCACAATGCTGACAAACACACGCAATAAATATTACAATGAGCACATTGAAAAGAAGCACAGATCACAGCACAAGATTAGAGTTCATTTAGTCTAATTAAAGATTTTACATTCATGAGCTTGCTAAATGCATTGTTCTGATAAACATGGCGGTTACGAACGGATTGCCATTTGCGGATAGCAGGAACAGGGTCAAAGTCTTTAACATCTACACCTACTAAGCTTATCCTCATAAGTTGATCTAAAGCGTCAATACCTAGACTACACCTTAGTCGATCATAATTCCCACGGCGGGACTTAACTTTACGTCGGACATCACCTCTTTCTCTATAACATCGGAAATTGTCTGAATAAATTCAAAGCAGGCATTGTTCTCTTGATATAATTTAGAAGTGATCACGGCACCATTTAACTTAGTTAAATCATTTATTGACTGAAATTTGTCCATTGGTTTTTCCTATATATTTTAGTAAATTTTCCCCTTGAGAGTACCCCAGTATTTAACACGATGTACTGTGTTAAATAAAATAATATATATCATACTTATTCATTTATAAATATCCTTATTTGAAGAATAACTTTTAAATATCAGGATACTTTTAAAACTGAATGCTCATTTAAAATAATATCTATAAAGCGTAATTAAATAGGATGTTGTTCCATACACGCTTACATGTTTGACCTCGTTTACCGGATTACCTTTATGTACATTGTTATGCATCATTAATTCTATTGATAAAGACAAGCTAAGGACACCTCATCAAAGGTAACAAACCTGTAATCAGTGAATGATTTATGGCTTCAATATAACTTATTGAAGGGATAATTGTTTGACAGCTTGATGTTATTTAAATAAAAGAAAACGTGTTTTTTCTACTTTTTATTGATGTACACAAGCTAAAGACCAAGCGGTACATTTATGTACCCAGAGGATTAGACTAACTGAGACACTTCAAAGTATCTGAAATATGCTGCTTCTGTTTTATTAAACCCAATTATGACCGAAATATCTTTGTGAAATAGATTGCCACAATTATAAACTAAAATGCCCAAACGGACATGCCCAAAGCCCCAAACGGACATTTTTATCGATCGATAGTTGGTAAAAATTGAAATGACCGTTTCATGAAAATGCCTTGAATAACAAAATGTGCCACACCAATTCTATTTGACCGTTTGAGGCTGAGAGCAGCCGGTCTTTTTATGAAAGTTTCGGTCAAGTCCGGAATATATGACCGTTTTGGAAGCCCTGATGTGGCACCTGTCGTGTTGCTCATGTAAGTACAAACTCGATGATAAGTCTACTCCAGAGGGTCACATTCGAGGAAAAGAGGAGAGGGTTGTCTTAACAATTGGAAAATATCTGTCACCTTCTGTGAAACAGATATTTCATAACGGTCAACTAAATCGTGATGGATAAGAATATTATAATTAGAACGGATTGTCTTTATCCCAAAATTCTGTAAATCCTGTACATGTATATATATATATAAACGCCTAAAAAGTGTACAAAACAACACCAATATTAAAAATGAAACATGTAATGTACCGGTATTTATCTATAAATATTTCGAAAATATTTATAGATACTAACATTTCATGTTTCTTTTTTTTTTAAATTGGTTTTGTTTTGTACACTTTTTAGGCGTTTATATAATTTATTTAAGGTGTACAGGTATTGTTACTCGTAAGGATCCAACGCCCTCGTAAGAAAGATCGTTGACTAATATCTAGACGTTTTATATATATATATTCTGTATTTTTGCTTCTCTACATTTGTAGTGTCAACTTTAATATACATGTACAGTTATTTGCTACATTTCTGTTAAAGACTCTTGCTGCATTAAACCTTCAACAATATATTTCTATGTCTTTTTGTCTAGATACCAGAGTATTTGTATTAAAGACTACTTCCATTTTAAGAAAGTATTTATCAATATTGGACCTGCCTTTAGCTTATCTTATATCGAAAAGAACATTTGTATCTACTCCATTACAGACATTTTATGCATGGGTAAGTATGCTACATCATTGTGTGATTCAACCACTAGCAATCTCTGCATAGGTCAGTGAATTTTAAATTAAACTACTTAATTTGATTTTGATGTAAAGATTGTCATATACTTCCTAGTTTTCTAGCAGAAAAAAAATTTTGTTTTTGTTTTTATGAAATAAGACCTGGTACAAAAAGAGAAGCAGAAACCACTGACACTTTCCTGAGAACCTGAGTTCACTCCTTTTTTCTTCTAACATTTGTCGAATATGATAAAAGTGTTGCAAACATTAAAGATTCTTTAACTAAACAGTCTTCAACAATAAAATACAATATTTGATTGAATAGATTAAACAGAAACTAAAGACCTACTGTCAACACCAAATTTTCTTTATGGAAATCTTTACAAATTTATATGTCCTGCAACAGAATGTCGGTCGGGTGGCATTTTGTTTTCCCCTGTCCGTCCAACATAGGGTACACAGTTTGTCCAGCTAATTCCTCCTTCAGTTTTGAAGCCCAAACTTTTATATAATGCAGTATGTTAGTGCATATACAAAAGGTGTGTGTTTTGTCAGGATTTTGATTTTCTTTAAATTTTCCACAAATGACAGAATTTTGAACTTTGTCATTTTTGGGAGAAATTATACATGCAGGGTACATATGGTTTGTTTGGCTAATTTCTTATTCTTCAAGCTAGCTAGAACTTTTTTTCTTTTTTTTTTATTCTCAGACAATTTATGTTCATTCTGTCTATATACCTTAAAAATGTTATCATATTATTATTAATATAATATAAGAAAGTGTTAATAAATAATTACGAATAAGTCTAAATTGAAAACAACGTTCAAATCTATGATTGCGTTGGATAAAAACCGCAATTTTTATACGTGTGCATGCAAAACAAATTTCTTGGTAGAGGGGTCTAAATACAGCACAAACAACATTTCCAAAAGACCAAAAAAGTGATAAAGTATATTTAAACAAAACCCATTTGACTAACAGGTCGAACAACGGATGTTCTTAAACCCTGCTGACTGCCATTGGCGATTGCCAAATAAACGGATCACAAGATGTAACAAAATGGATTTTTATTATTAATTTAATACCAAACAGAAAACAATAAACTTGCAGAAAAGATGGTATACCGCAAACATGAGGTGCAATAATTTGTACACTTTTTCGGTCTTTTGGAAAATAAATAATTATGTATATATTAAAGAATGTTATTTGTTTATTTCAGAGAGCCATGTTTGCACACAGGAGTCAGTTGATGTGATTTGTTTATTTCAGAGAGCCATGTTTGCACACAGAAGTCAGTTGATGTGATTTGTTTATTTCACAGAGCCATGTTTGCACACAGAAGTCAGTTAATGTGATTTGTTTATTTCAGAGAGCCATGTTTGCACACAGGAGTCAGTTGATGTGATTTGTTTATTTCAGAGAGCCATGTTTGCACACAGAAGTCAGTTGATGTGATTTGTTTATTTCAGAGAGCTATGTTTGCACACAGGAGTCAGTTAGTGTGATTTTTTTTATTTCAGAGAGCTATGTTTGCACACAGGAGTCAGTTGATGTGATTTGTTTATTTCAGAGAGCCATTTTGCACACAGAAGTCAGTTAATGTGATTTGTTTATTTCAGAGAGCCATGTTTGCACACAGGAGTCAGTTGATGTGATTTGTTTATTTCACAGAGCCATGTTTGCACACAGAAGTCAGTTAATGTGATTTGTTTATTTCAGAGAGCTATGTTTGCACACAGAAGTCAGTTGATGTGATTTGTTTATTTATTTCAGAGAGCCATGTTTGCACACAGGAGTCAGTAGATGTGATTTGTTTATTTCAGAGAGCCATGTTTGCACACAGGAGTCAGTTGATGTGATTTGTTTATTTCAGAGAGCCATGTTTGCACACAGAAGTCAGTTAATGTGATTTGTTTATTTCAGAGAGCTATGTTTGCACACAGGAGTCAGTTAGTGTGATTTGTTTATTTCAGAGAGCTATGTTTGCACACAGGAGTCAGTTGATGTGATTTGTTTATTTATTTCAGAGAGCTATGTTTGCACACAGAAGTCAGTTGATGTGATTTGTTTATTTATTTCAGAGAGCCATGTTTGCACACAGGAGTCAGTTGATGTGATTTGTTTATTTCAGAGAGTCATGTTTGCACACAGGAGTCAGTTGATGTGATTTGTTTATTTCAGAGAGCCATGTTTGCACACAGAAGTCAGTTGATGTGATTTGTTTATTTCAGAGAGCTATGTTTGCACACAGGAGTCAGTTAGTGTGATTTGTTTATTTCAGAGAGCCATGTTTGCACACAGGAGTCAGTTGATGTGATTTGTTTATTTATTTCAGAGAGCTATGTTTGCACACAGAAGTCAGTTGATGTGATTTGTTTATTTATTTCAGAGAGCCATGTTTGCACACAGGAGTCAGTTGATGTTATTTGTTTATTTCAGAGAGCCATGTTTGCACACAGAAGTTAGTTGATGTGATTTGTTTATTTCAGAGAGCCATGTTTGCACACAGGAGTCAGTTGATGTGATTTGTTTATTTCAGAGAGCTATGTTTGCACACAGGAGTCAGTTGATGTGATTTGTTTATTTATTTCAGAGAGCTATGTTTGCACACAGAAGTCAGTTGATGTGATTTGTTTATTTATTTCAGAGAGCCATGTTTGCACACAGGAGTCAGTTGATGTGATTTGTTTATTTCAGAGATCCATGTTTGCACACAGGAGTCAGTTGATATGGTTTGTTTATTTCAGAGAGCCATGTTTGCACACAGGAGTCAGTTGATGTGATTTGTTTATTTCAGAGAGCCATGTTTGCACACAGAAGTCAGTTGATGTGGTTTAGAATTCTCTATCTGATGTTCTCCAATTATATGTTTGTTAATTCACTACAAGAAGTTTGTCACCATGGAGATTGTTAAACAGACAATTTTAACCATGGTTATGGTGCTTTAGGAAAGCCTGTTTTTCACAGATATTAGCTGCAAGAAAGCCATTTTTTCACAGATATTAGCTGCAAGAAAGCCATGTATTCACAGATATTAGCTTATGTTGTTAAGATTATTTGTATGTTCTATGATTACATATTTGTTAATGTCTTCAAACAGTTTGTGATGCTGGAAATTGTAAGACATAGTTTTGCAGTCATGTTTTTTATGTTAGTATTTGGAACATATTTTGTTGTAGCTTTAGGTAGGGAGTCCCTTAAAGTGTTGATCTATACTCTATTGGATGAAACACAAAAGCATACATTATAATTATGAAAAATGTGATAGATTGAAATTATTCATACATATTCAAATTTTTTACTTACAATCAAAAGAATCACAACACTATATATTCTAAATTTTTAAATAGTGATTAAGCTTTGATAATTGTATGTTATAGACATCTTTTAGAAAAATATCCTTAAAATATTTAAATGAAGCCTTGGCTCATATTTAAATATAATTAATAAGATCTCAAAATGAGGCTATTTTGGCAGAATTTCAAGTTTTGCATGGAATACAAAAATTTGAACAATTAAATCAAATATAAAAGTCAAAATTTTTAAATGCTTATACTTTATAGACTTATGTCTTCTGAACCTCTGAAGGATGTTATTTGATAGATTTACAATACTTTAGATTTTCAAATTTAAGGAGCTAAATAAGTGGCCTTATCATACCTTCTCTTCAGATTTCGAAAACTGAAGTAAAAATCCTGAAATCCTTAGTTCAGGTCAGGTTGAGGTTATTCATTGTCATTTGATTATAAATTTTGCTTTATTTTTTATATCACATCAACATTTAACTTTCATTCATTGTTTTACAAATGTCATGTTTATTTTACGTCAGTGAGAATTCATGACGGATATGAATTAGGACTGTTCCTTTTAAAACATATATGGGAACAGGGAAGGCAAGTTGAATTTGTTCACTATGGTTGGTATGGAATATCACATTGTACAAGTTTATAATGTATGCAGGTCCCAAAATTGTTTCTATGGGTGGTTACTCTTACGTTAAAAGTGCCTTCCCTTTGTACCATGTATGTTTTTGAGTCAAATTTTGAGTCATTAGTGAAAATTAAAGCAATTTCAGATTTCCTTCCCTGGAAAATAATTAAAAAATTGCAGTAGTTGATATTTTTTTGTGTCAGCTGTTATTATTTCTGATTACCTTAAAAACTAAATGACTGATATTCTTTATGCTTAATGTCCAGTTTCTTAATATTTATGCCTATCAATGTGTCCAAATTTCAGCCACACCAGACAAATATGACTGTTTCTGAACACTAAATTGTAAATCAGATTTTTAACCTTTTAGCTCACAAGGAAACCAGCTTTAAGGGGAAATGTATCCAATTGGCTAGAGGTATAGGGGGAGGGTTGAGATCTCATAAACATGTTTAACCCCGCCGCATTTTTGCGCCTGTCCCAAGTCAGGAGCCTCTAGCCTTTGTTAGTCTTGTATTATTTTTAATTTTAGTTTCTTGTGTACAATTTGGAGTTTAGTATGGCGTTCATTATCACTGAACTAGTATATATATTTGTTTAGGGGCCAGCTGAAGAACGCCTCTGGGTGCGGGAATTTCTCGCTGCATTGAAGACCTGTTGGTGACCTTCTGCTGTTGTCTGTTCTATGGTCGGGTTGTTGTCTCTTTGACACATTCCCCATTTCCATTCTCAATTTTATTTCCATTAATCCTTTGTACAGTGCAATGCATTTGTTAATTTTGAAGGTATTGATTCAGGACTTATTTTTTACATCTTTAGTGACCACTTAGTTTTCATAAATTATGTGCAATATAATTATTTAAAAGATGAGTCATTCCTTTTTTATATAGATATAAAGATATAAGAAGATGTGCATATTTTTATCTTTTCTCTCTTATTAAAGCTATTCTGTGGACATTTGGTAGATGTCTTTAATTAAATTATTTATATTTTAATGTGTTAGTCCTGCTTGTCAATTCTTTATATATAGACATTTGGTAGATGTCTTTTATTAAATTATTTATATTTTAATGTATTAGTCCTGCGTGTCAATTCTTTATACATAGACTATATGTTGCCCTTTATACATGTATGTCTTTTGCTGTTTTTCTGTGTTGTTTGAATGCTGTTTAATCAATATATATCTGACATCTCCTTTTATTCTATTTGAATATATTTTCAAAAAATGTTTCATCTGAATTAATTTATTTACATATGTTTAAATGAAAATCCATTCATGTGTGAATTGATTGTAGCACTTTTAGAAGATTTGATTTGTGTTATTGATGTTTTAAACCAATCATTTTGTTTTGTCACAAACATTGTAACTAACTTCTATGCAATTAAGGAATAAAATGATATTTTTATGTAAAAAAAAACAATCATCTTGATTAAGTTTTTTATTTCTTGTACTTGGTCCACCATAACCCATTTTTGCTGATGTGGCATTAATCTCTTATCGACCAATCTATTATTGCTATAAAGATTTTGGTTTAACAACTTTCAAAAAGCAACTTGCCAACACAAAAAAAGAGAAATTTTAGGTTGTTTTTTTCCATTTAATAGATTGTGTGATTGATTTCTGCTTTATGTCCAGCACCAGAATCTATATAATTATGCAAAATCAGTGAGCTTTGTTCAAAAATGTCCAAGATTTAAATGATGCTGACTATAAAATAACGAATGGAACTTATATGCATTTTTTTTCAATAAGCTTAACATTGCTATGTCATAAATATTATGTCAGTGAGACATTTCTATGTCCACACTTTTAAATGCTTGAAATCTTAAATGCATTTCATTGTAAAATATTTCTGTTTCCACACTTTTTACCGATAACACCATTTTAATGTTTTCCAAATGTTATGTGAATGAGATATTTTATGTATTCACACTTTTTACCCATCACAGCATTTTATTGTCATGAATTTTATGTGAGTGAGATGTTTCTATATATGCACACTTTTTCCTCATCACAGCATTTTATAGTCATGAATTTTATGTGAGTGAGATTTTTCTATGTGTTTCCCTTTTTTACCCATCACAGCATTTTTATAATTTTTGTGCATTAGTTAAATGATTATTGAACTATCTTTTTGTGATCTCTGTTATAAAACTTTTATTACTTTTACAATTAGAAATGAATGTTATATTTATTCAAAATATTTTATTAAATATAGTTTTCATTTTCATTTATGAAGACTTACTATGAAAGAATAATTGTTCATGTTTTTACGAATTTTAATTTTAATGTTTCACCCCTTAGAAATTTTAGGATCCAATGAAATACATATTTGCAATTGAGTGTGAATTTTGAAAATTTTAAATGTACTTAATTAAAACCATGAATATTGATACCTAAAAAGAACTATAATTTCTCAATATGTGCTATATATAAGTCAAAAACTGCATTTGACCCCTATGTTCTATATTATTTTGAATTTTATTATAGATATATATAAACTGTAAGCAGCAATAATGTTCAGCAAAGTAAGATCTACAAAAAAGTTAATATGACCATTATTGTCAATTGACCCTTAAGGAGTTATTGCCCTTTAAAGACAATTTTACACAATTTGTTCATCAAGTTTGCTAACTTTTAAAATCTTCTCCTCTGAAACTACTGGGCCAATTACCTTCAAACTTTAATAAATGTTCCTTAGGGTATCTTGTTTATAACTGTATCCGAAGTTTGTATCCATCGAAAAACATGGCCGCCATGGCTAAAAATAGAACATAAGGGTCAAATGCAGTTTTTGGCTTATATCACAAAAACTAAATCTTTTAGAGCAAATGTGACATAGGGTAAAATTGTTTAATTGGTCAAGATCTATCGGCCCTGAAATTATCAGACGATTCGAACAACCCATTGTTGGGTTGCTGCCACTGAATTGGTAGTTTTAACAAAATTTTGCAGTTTTTTGTTATTATTTTGAATATTATTATAGATATATATATAAACTGTAAGCAGCAATAATGTTCAGCAAAGTAAGATCTACAAAAAAGTTAATATGACCATAATTGTCAATTGACCCCTTAAGGAGTTATTGCCCTTTAAAGACAATTTTACACAATTTGTTCATCAAGTTTGCTAACATTTAAAAATCTTCTCCTCTGAAATACAGGTGAGTGATTCAGGCTCTTGAGAGCCTCTTGTTATTATAGTCCTATGAATATTTTCTTCAGTATTTGGTATGATTTTTTTAAGTTATCTAAAATAATATTAAATGTATAAGCTAAATTAAAATGTTGATTAGTTAAAAGGAAATAACCCAAGTCACAAATGCTTTGCAAAGGGAAATAATTTTAATGTCAATCAAAAATCCATATAACCTACCTCTTAGAAGCAGTTCCTTTGTGTTTTATCTACTTATATATTAGTTGTGAATGGGAGTTGATATTTAATACTCAAAATGTCTATTATGATAACTGGTTGTGGTTTATATTGTAAGGTAATGGTAATTGTTCTATGTTTTCTAAGTTGGAAAGCTAGCAAAGTTGTATTCCAAGTACATGTATGTTGAAAATAAACCTTTGTATTCCTGACGTAATGTATATTTTGTTTGGTGTTATTACAACACTTATTGCTGTCAATCAAACATTTTATTGATAAAGATGTTGATATATCATTGTTTAGAACCTTCATATACTAAATTATAATTATGAAAATTAAATTTAAATTTAAATACTTCAGCATTATAAAATAATTGCACATTATTTAGAGGTGCCAAAAACAGGTGTCTTTACTTTATTTTATGCAAACATAGACTTTGCCATTGCCTAATAATAAAAAGAGCGAATGATCAAAGAATTTGATACATATCAATCAACCTCGTCATTTTTTTTACACATTTATACGGTTACAATTTTAATTTATTTATCATATATCAAAAGTCATAATTATAGCTAGTTTTATGGGTAATATTTGCTTAACTAAATAATGAAATTTATTGTTTCTTGTTGACTTTTATTTATTGCATGTATATCAATCACTGTTTTGTTGGTTGGATACCTCTTTTTGTCCCCCCGTGCAATGCGTTGCGGGAGATATAGAAATACCGGCGTCTGTCCGTCTCTCCATGCGTTCGTCAGATCTAGTTAGAGCTGTCTCGTGTACAATTCTTGCCAGATTTTTATGAAACTTATATCATAGGTTTATATCAGCAATGTCTTGGACAAGTCCAAATATCAGTCCTGATCAATTATTTTTAAAAGAATTATGCCCGTTGGAAACATTGATTATATGGAAAATTGCATTGTAAGTGCTCTAGCATTTACAATTTTTGCCAGATTTTTATCAAATTCATATCAAAGGAATATAACAACAATGTCTCAGACAATTTCAAAAATAAGTGCCAATCAAATATTTTTAAGGAGTTTCCCTTGGAAATATTAAATATATCGGAAATTGCTCTCAAGTCTTCAACTCATTAGTAAGATAATTTTAAAAAGTTTTATAAGAACAAAAAATTTTTTTTTTTAAAGTTATTGGCCTTGGACAGAACAGATAAAATATGTGCAACGCTGGGGACATTAAAACTGTTCTTTTATTTTAACCAGGGTTTTTGACAGAAAGATCTAGTTAATAATTTGATGTAGTATGGCAGACATCTCCAGCTGTTTCTTTGCAATAATTTGAGATCCAAGTGACCAATGGTTTTTATACCCTTGCAAATAAAGTTTTGGGGGTATATAGGAATCAACATGTCAGTCTGTCTGTTGTACCATTGAACTTAGGTTGATCAAACTTAGTATGGAGATACATCATGGGCTGGGGATGTGTTATATATAAAAGTCAAGTCACTCTGACCCTTGACATCTGTTTAGGTATATCCTTGGTCATTTCATGTCGTTCTTAATTTTTGTACTGTAAAAAACAGGTAAACCAAACAAGTTATCCTGATGCATTATGGGATTGGTGTATCATATATCAAAGTCAAGTCACTCTGATCTCGACTTTGACCTCAGACCTCTATGATTGTAAAACATGGTCAGATTGTGTTTGATGCATAATTTTCATACTGAAGCACTTAGATTAATTAAACTTTGTATGCAAATGCATCATACTGACCATGATTTTGACCATTGACCTCTATGATAGTAACATTGTCTGATTTGTTTATGGTGTAAAACTTTTATCCATAGCACTTAAATTGACAAAACTTCGTATGCAGAAGCATCATTGTATGGGGATGCGTCATATACCAAAATCATATCAGTTTGGCCTTCTTGAAGAGGGACGAAAGATACCAGAGTAAGATAATTTTAAAAAGTTTTATAAGAACAAAAAATTTTTTTTTTAAAGTTATTGGCCTTGGACAGAACAGATAAAATATGTGCAACGCTGGGGACATTAAAACTGTTCTTTTATTTTAACCAGGGTTTTTGACAGAAAGATCTAGTTAATAATTTGATGTAGTATGGCAGACATCTCCAGCTGTTTCTTTGCAATAATTTGAGATCCAAGTGACCAATGGTTTTTATACCCTTGCAAATAAAGTTTTGGGGGTATATAGGAATCAACATGTCAGTCTGTCTGTTGTACCATTGAACTTAGGTTGATCAAACTTAGTATGGAGATACATCATGGGCTGGGGATGTGTTATATATAAAAGTCAAGTCACTCTGACCCTTGACATCTGTTTAGGTATATCCTTGGTCATTTCATGTCGTTCTTAATTTTTGTACTGTAAAAAACAGGTAAACCAAACAAGTTATCCTGATGCATTATGGGATTGGTGTATCATATATCAAAGTCAAGTCACTCTGATCTCGACTTTGACCTCAGACCTCTATGATTGTAAAACATGGTCAGATTGTGTTTGATGCATAATTTTCATACTGAAGCACTTAGATTAATTAAACTTTGTATGCAAAAGCATCATACTGACCATGATTTTGACCATTGACCTCTATGATAGTAACATTGTCTGATTTGTTTATGGTGTAAAACTTTTATCCATAGCACTTAAATTGACAAAACTTCGTATGCAGAAGCATCATTGTATGGGGATGCGTCATATACCAAAATCATATCAGTTTGGCCTTCTTGAAGAGGGACGAAAGATACCAGAGGGACAGTCAAACTCATAGATCGAAAACAAACTGACAACGCCATGGCCAAAAATAAAAAGACAAATAATACTACAGATGACACAACATAGAAAACTAAAAACTAAGCAACACAAACCCCACCAAAAACTGGGGGTGATCTTAGGTGCTCCGGAAGGGTAAGCAGATCCTGCTCAACATGTGGCACCCGTCGTGTTGACCGTTGAAGCCTTTTGCTGAAAGCGAAATATCTCAAAATGTTATTGTCTCAATACTGCATGTACAGGGAGTATTAGTCTCGCTATGCAGACAGCTCTAGTTTAATTTTAATATGGTGTCACAAAATGGGAGTCAAGTTAGATGTTGTAGATTTTCACTTTTTATGTTTTTGAGTTATCACACTTTGATTGATTGGAAAATGGCACTTTGTTGTTTTAGTGCAATAACCAAAACTTTACAATTTTTGATTTTTTACTGAAGATAAAAAGTAGGTCATGGTTTTGATATTAACAATCTTAACTTTTTCCTTACAGGAGTTACTGCCCTTGACTGCTTTAGTTATGCTACTTATAAATGTGAGAGGGGCCTCGGTGGCCAAGTGGTCTAAGTAAGTTCTATTACTGTAATCACTAGCCAGTCAACACTGAGGTTGTGAGTTCGAACCCTGCTCGTGCGGGTACACTCGACTCCAATCTTAATTGACTAGAATTGTCAGTTTTCCTATCGAAGGTCGTGGTTTTCCAATAAAAACTGACCGCCATGAAATAGCCCAAAAGTGGTGCTTAAAAGTGGCGTTAAAACACCATCAATCATATAAATGTGAGAAAAAACCCTGTTTACTGTAATTTGACAGAGCCATACTTTTGGAATTATCTGTCCTTGATAAATAACTACATATAAAATATATCATTTAATCAGCAGACATATACATATTGCACTTTTCATGTTCATAACATCAAAACAAATTATAAAAATAATCTGTCAAAATACAATACAGCCAAACCTGCATTTATAGGTCACCCTTGGGACAGATAAAAGTGACCTTTTAATTATATTCAAAATACATAGACAGTACAGGTACTACAGTGGCACAGGAAAAGGGTGACCCGACTTTATTTAACTTAATAGAGGTGACCTTTAGAGATGTTCAGCTTGCTATAAAACTAGGTTTAATCAACCATTTTCTACAGTAGGAATTACCTGTACCAAGTCAGGAATATGACAGTTGTTTTCCATTCATTTGATGTGTTTGAGCTTTTGATTTTGCCATTTGTTAAGGGACATTCCGTTTTGAATTTTCCATGGAGTTAAGTATTTTTGTTATTTTACTTTTTTTTTATATAGCAGGTTTGACTGTAGACATACTTTGGAATCATTATTATTCATGGGTATCAAATTTTGGTGGATTTTCTGGTCATGGTAAACTTCAAATAATATTCAACGAGAGATTTTGTCAAATCATTGAAATATAAAAAAAACAAACTTTTTAACTCAATTTACAAAAATAATGAATTCACAGTACATTGTAGACAAATATAAAGTTTATTGTTACAAGTTTTAGAAGCAGGAGAAAGAAAATGCCTAGGCAAGCTTTTTTCGGTTTTTTAGTGAGCACAAATATACTTGATATCTGCCAACAATGTATAAACTTGTATATTGATATTCTTCAATTTAACATTCATGCTCAAATGTTTAGTTTTCACTTCTTCTTAATGCCAGTAGACAATGTTTGTAAAGTATATGAATTTTTCTTAGTTTATTTGTACCTGCTGCCTAGAAATGGTCATATTTGTGAATTCTGACATATTCAAAAAAATGAAATGACTGAAATGAATTCCTAAATTTCTTTTAAATTTAATGATTTTTTTATCAAGATTGGGCAAGTCCTTATTCATAAAGCAATATACATGGATGCAAACATCCCCCTTTCTATTCACAAGTACATGATTAAATAATTCATCTTACAACAGTAAATCATTTCATGCCAAATTACACAAGTAAAATGATTTTCAGTCAATTAAACAATATATAGCAAGAAACAGGATTTATTTGTAATTTGTTAACATATTGAAACTACTAATTTATATTTATTGTCTCAAAATCAAACCTAGCTTGGCAGATTTCTGAGCAAATTTACAATTTTATGGCATTAAAGCCATTTCAATTTCAATGTCGATTTTGCATTCAATAAATAGCTGTTGAATATTTTTACAGAAACTGATAGTTCCAGCAGTTGAACTTTTGATAAAAGTTTGTTTATACTGTGACTTTTGGTATGAATTTGACAATTAAAAAACAATAATCCTGACTAATAAAAGTTTTATAAAAAAAAATAATCCTGACTTAGAGTTTTATAAATTGACTGAAATCAAGTGAACAAATTGTATTTGTATGTTAAAAATTGCTGATTGCAGGATAATCTATTTGTATACAAACATACACATAATTAAAACAAACATGAACAGATATGGATTTAGTTTTCTGCATACAAATTACTGGTATTAAATACCTCAATTGAATAATTCAAACATAAACTGAACATTGATAAATAATTGAATGTAATTTGTACATAACATAGCATGGTAGATTACTATATAGTTCACAAACAAAATCACAGTATCACATGATCAAGATCATTCTATACTTATTATTCTATAGCATTTATGAATTTCGTTTTACTCCCCAGACACAGCATGGATTAAAGAACATAATAAACTGTTATCACAGAGATATGTCTCGCCTTTTTGTAATTTTGATAATGCAAATGTTGAAATTAAAATAGCAATACTTTAACATATAAGTTATGCAAATATTCAAAGTCGATGAACCATGACTGAAGGTACATGGCTAAACAATCTCCATGGAATGAGATGTGCCAATGCTAATACAACTGCATACCAAATACCATTGACTTATTATAAGTCGTTCCCTTTAAACAAACCTAAACACAAACATTAACTTGTAAACTATGTAAAAGTTTCAAAGTCAATGAACCATGATCAGGGGTGGGGCTATATAATCTCCATGGAAACGATACTTGCAAATGCCAATAAATTTGCATACCAAATATCATTGACTTAACATTAGCAGTTCATCTTAAACAGATCTAATCACAAACTAATACATGTAAACTAAGCAAAAGTTTCAAAGTCAATAGACCATGACTGAGGGGGCGGGGCCAAATATTCTCCATGGAAATGAGATGTACTAATGCTTATACAACTGAACACCAATTAACATTGGCCTACCACTAATGGTTCCCCTTGAACTGACCTAATCACAAACTAATACATGTTAACTTCGCAAAATTTTCAAAGTCTATAGACCATGACTAAGGGGGCAGAGCCAAATAATCTCCATGGAAATGAGATATGCCAATGCTTATACAACTGCATACCAAATATCATTGACCTACCACTAGTGGTTCCCCATAAATTGACCTAATCACAAACTAATACATGTAAACTATGAAAAGTTTCAAAGTCAATAGACCTTGACTGAGGGGGCGGGGCCAAATAATCTCCATGGTAATGAGATGTGCCAATGCTAATACAACTGCATACCAAATATCATTGACCTACCACTAGTGGTTCACCATGAACTAGACCTAATCACAAACTAATACATTGTTGACGCCATCACCGTCGCCAACGCCGGAAACAGCATACCTATGTCTCGCTTTTTGACTCCGTCAAGGCGAGACAAAAATATAGAGTGTCAGTACGTCTTGTCTTGTACAGGGTTTCCCCTGCGTCCTTTTCTTTTTCACAACCCTTTCCCCAAAACAAAATTTTTTTCGCCACTTTAATTCTTTTTTCGTCAACTTATTTTACTCTTTGCTAAATTTCAAGTTGCAGCTCCATCGTCTGGATGTTATATTGATTCTGAGTGTACATAAATCCTACATCTTTATTTCATAATCAACATTTTAATAAATGAACACTGAATTGGAGCAATATTTATTTTATTTACATTTTTGAATTCTGTAAAATAACATTCCAAAGGAGTGCCAATAATTATATTTGTATCGAAAACATATGTGTCTTCAATATATTTATCGGATAAAACGGAGACATATAATACAATGTCTCTGGTTGAAGGGCTTCAAATGAAATCAGATTTTTCTTAATTTTGTAGATAGTTAAATAACTCTCTGTTGTCACCAATTTAAATAGGTCATGAAAAATTAGTTGGTTTAAAGTATAAGCTGAAGGCAAAGTTCATGTTCTGGTATGGGAAAACTCAAAAGTCACTCAGATCAAAAATTAAAAAAGGTGAGGCAACTTCTTGTCCTGTGGAAGAAAAGAACAACTTTAATGGAATTCTGTAGTGCAGATTTCAAGGAGTTGTGTATTAACAAAGTGTGCCATGGACAATTATCCCGAAAACAAGAAAGATCGTGGATCCCAATGTATCTGATATCAATACAGTTTTACTGTCAGACTACACACTCTCATTGAAAGTTCAATCAACTAAATAATAGATCACAATCTTTACACTGTAAAAAATATTTGATCAACAAATCATACAGTCATCATAACAAACAAACTTATAACTGTAACTGCATAAAAATCAATATTGTTTTAATGAACTACACTAGATCAATCATCAACTTAAAGTTGGGTCAAAATCTTTCCCTGTCCACTGGTCTGGTACTGGCAGGAAATATCTAGTCATAGCTGACAGGAAACGACTTTTGTAGATCTCAGGGGAGACAACTGTTGGCAGCTTACCTAAATTTTAAGACTAACAATTAATATATATTTAAAATACATGTTTTACAGAATTTTTAATCTGATGAGATAACATATTAACAGGTATAGTCATTTGCTACCAAATGTTGGGATGCACAAATATAGTAACATTTAATGATGTTTTAATTTTAAGTGTCCTGTAAATGGTTGAGCAAGATTTTCATTAGAAAATTACATGGTCACCTTCAAGACCTCATTGTTTCAAGTCAGAGCTCTCACTGCTTACCCTTTTCTAAGATTTACTACTAAAGGGAAGTAATCCTGTCACAGTTCTTTAAATAAGTTGTGAAGACATTCAATTCAATAATTACCTACAAGGCAATTCTTTTCTTAGCTATAAACAACGGTAAACCACTAATCTTTTTATAATGAACGACATACCAAATGCATCTCATTGATTCATCGATCATCTCCATTTATTTATGGAAGTTTGTATTTCCACAAACAAATAAAATCTGACACATTGTCTTTTCAGGTCTTTTTCAGGTTTTTAGGCTTTAAATTGAGCTTGTATGGGTATTCCTGAAACATGGGGTTTGTGCATGGAAGTCTCATAAGGTGTTCAGAATATTTTTGCCTCTCCTTAACAGCACCACACTGTCATGAAATAGAAGTTCCTTCAGAATATAAGTTCCAAATGGAAGAAATATTCTGTATTATTATTCCTTCTAGAACAAATATTACAGTATTTTTCCCGACGGAATTAAGATTATAAAATATTTTTTCCAACAAAACACATATTATGGCATTGTTTATAACAAAGTTTCCAGTGGAACTTCTTTTAGGAAGTTTTTTGAAAAGTATGGTTATACACATCCACATCATTTTTTTCATAACCTGATATCGAAGTACATGTTATTATAAATTGCTTCACACGATCATGATCATGGATATGATCTAAAGAATGTTCACCTCACTGCACTATTTGTTTTGCTGTCTTAAGGAAAGAGATGAGGCTTGGAAATATATAAGTTTCAAAGCAGTGAGATAAGGGTTTTAATTGCAAATAAGGCAATCTTTAGCTCAAAAAATGTAAAATACAAACCTCCAGCGGATTTCAAGATTGTTTCTAATTTCTTGTCCCAAGTAAATGTTCTTATATAATCTACAATATATACATACATGTAATCTTAATCAACAATTACAGACAGGTTAATAGAATTATAAAATGTATTAGTATCTATACTCTATAGATCCAGTTGTAATCAAAAATCAAAGACAGGTTAATTATAGAATTATAATATGTATTAGTATCTATACATATCTATAGATCGAGTTGCTTGCAGCAAACTGAAATCATTGAAGATTGAACAAGTGTACAGAAAATAAAAGTTACAGCAGAGATACGGTTGTATAAGAAGAAAAATAAAAACATTCTAAGACATAATAATAACAACCAGCAAAGCTATCATTTGCCAGCTCAGCAAAGGAGAAGGTCAGGTAAGGGCTAATTTAGGCCTAAAATTTGAAGTACATCTGATGAAAGACACTAAGGTGTCTACTTCAGTTGATTAATTAGTTTATGTAAAAGATTTGTGAACTGATTTGGACATTCAAGACACTCAAATTCAAGCTTTAATATGAAAAATCTATCAAATATGCATGAATTAATTAGGCTAGTACCTAATGCATGTGCATTGTATTGTCAAAAAACAGTCCATATTTATGGAACAAAAGTATTATAATAAATAGCTAAAAGTTAAGATTTTAACAAATTTGTAAACATGCTATATTTTGGGGCCAAAAAGTGGTCTTACCGGGCCTACTCCTTTATTAATATGTCAGTAGAAAGTTTCACCTTCTTGGAGTATTTTCCCTAGTGGAATAGAAAAGGCCTCCCATTACAGACCACATATAATTTACTGTGAATTCATTAATAATTCATTGAAAACAGTTTTTGTGGATTTTGTAGGTATAGATGTACAACCAATTTAAATGTTTAACGAAGAATAATTTAATTTTGGATGTAACACATCTTCTGATTGGCTGTAAGTTTTTTGTCTATCAGCTCATAGACATAATTTTGTCATGTGACCGTGACGTCATCAACGTTTTTTCATGATTTACTCCTTAAAAATGGAATTTAGAATTAAATTATAAGGAATGACAAATATTTTTTCTGTCTATTTGAAATGACCTAAAAAATGTGGTACACACTTTTAAATAAACTGCTACGCGGGTTATTTAGTGTGCACCACATTTTTTATGTTATTTCTTCAGACAGAAAAACTATTACAGTCATTTCTTAAATAAATTTCAAATAGAACTGAATGCAAACTTCGGCAAAACCATGAAATCAAGAATGAACAAAAATATAATTTTTCTTCAATCCACAAAAATAAATGAATCCACAGTACCTCCCAAAACCCGTGTTTATAACATCGTCTTTACATACCTATGATACCTAGAACAAGTTCATTACTGTTTTCATCCAGTCCAACCAGTAGAGAGTAGTCCATGACCAGATTTGCAGCTAAGAACTGTGAATCTCTACTGATAACATTCATCAGTAATGTCTTGGAATGAGGATAGATGTAAAGTGGTGACTCTATGCTTACTGGAAAATCAATGCATATTAATTAGTGTGTTTATTTGGTTTAATAACACTTGCATTTTGAAAATTAAGACAGAATTACTTTATTTTCAAATATAATTTATAGATTCATTTAGTGTGATAAGAGATTTTTCCTCTCAAAACAGTTAAATTTTAAAATATCAATTTGAGGCTAGCCAAGCATTTTAAATACTTAAATTTAGAAATATGGTAAAGCACAAGATACACTTGTTGAATATGTTTCTCTAAATATTTTGTTTATTATATGTGGGCAATCTTTCTTTTTTAATATTCTGCAAGAATGTTGAGTTTTCTTTGAGATGTTATTAGGTAACGTCACCTTTTTGTAACGTCTCAATAGCAAAATCAGAGGAATGCAAGAAAATTTTACGCCGTATATGAATTGTAATTGAAGAAAAATTGAGATTGAGTATTAAAACCATGTGTTAATTATAAAAATGTTCAATCATTTTGTATAAAATCAACTTAGAATTATAGAAATACTATTATATATATATTTGTAACATAACTCAAAGTTTTCTCTCTAACATAAACAGTAACTTACAATTTAATAAATTAGTATCTAGTAGAACCTGTTCTTCATCCCTCTTCCCTGATGTACTGGCCAATCTATTTCTCTCAGAACCTTTCAAATCAAATGTCTGGTAAAACAAAACAAATCCATTATAAATACAGAAATTAAATGGTTATCAACTTATCATTTTAGGGTGGATTATCCAATGGAACATACAAGTATGACTAGCATTTGGTATTATGTCACTAGATTGTTTTACAGTAACACATATCTAAACAGATCCCTGTTTAAACTGACACCTGTCTAAAGTGAACTCTTGTATGATAGACAATGAACAATATTTAGTAATATCGGTAGTAAAATGAATGTCTGAGCTTTTTGAATCCTCCAGAGTTCAGTTTAGACAGATTTTTTGGGTAAAGATTGCATGAAATGCAATTAAAACCCTATGGGACTGACTTGATATCAAAATCTTCCAAGGTTTATCACTACCTTTGATATACACAAAATACAGTGCATTGATCATAACATTCTATACATTTTATCCATGAACATTTCCAGAAATTTATCAATGAAATATATGATCAGATATTCTAGTTACAAAATGATGTAATACTTGTCAAGAAAATTACATAACTTTTGCAAGGTGCAGTAATGTAATATCTGTTCTAAAAATATCAATGATGTCATTGTTAAAGTCATCTTTAAAAATTGGAGTTATCTTCCTTTGCCCAGAACTACAACCAATGCTTTATACAATGCAATATTTAGATTTACTTCCCACTGATAAATTAAAGCAATCTTTACCTTTCAGTGCTTACAAGCACTTTGATTTGTACTTTAAAACCAGAAAAATGTATAGGTTTTAAATTCTTTTTATAATAACATGAAACAAAAATAATCTACTTTTTTTTCCAAAAAAGACAGTTTATTTGGACATTGATTTTGTTTGGTTCAGTATATTTGTTATGTTGATATGTACCTGTGATATTTTCCTCTGATAGAATAAGTTTTCCATAACTAACAAATCTTGTCTCATTCCAGCATTGGTATGTGTGTTCCTAAAGCCAATTCTGTATACTCCCACAATCTTCCCTAAAGCTGTCGGTTTCTGAAAAAAACAACTTATAATATAATCTTCCCTAAAGCCAATTCTGTACACTCCCACAATCTTACCTAAAGCTGTCTGTTTCTGAAAAAAACAACTTATAATATAATCTTCCCTAAAGCCAATTCTGTACACTCCCACAATCTTACCTAAAGCTGTCTGTTTCTGAAAAAAACAACTTATAATATAATCTTCCCTAAAGCCAATTCTGTACACTCCCACAATCTTACCTAAAGCTGTCTGTTTCTGAAAAAAACAACTTATAATATAATCTTCCCTAAAGCCAATTCTGTACACTCCCACAATCTTACCTAAAGCTGTCTGTTTCTGAAAAAAACATAATGCTAATATCATCTTCCCCTAAGCTGCGCATTTCTGTAAAAAACAAGTTATAATATAATCGTCCCTTAAGCAGTGGGTTACTTAAAAAGTCTCTTTCCATGAGTTTGTTTATTGAAATTGTTATCTTTTTTGCCATTTGTCATCTAACACATATATCATGATGTTTCACTTTGTTGTATAAATGTTTATATTGTTTCTGTATTTTGTGCTAAGATTCTCAGGCTATCAATAATAAAATTTACTAGATTTCTTTGCCCAAATAATTGTTGAATTTGTTATCAAAATGAGGCTGTTTTCTTCAATGGATAAATGTAGCGTGATGGAGCGAAGAATTCTACTCTAACCAATACTAGGGCTGTCATTAACTTGCACAGATTATGGATGGAAATATGTATGCAGACGATCAAGCCCTCATTTTCATACTCAATGAACTGTTTTTGACAATTTCATCAAAGCAATATTTCCACATGAGTTCACATCGACTGAAATTCTCTAAAAAGAAGGCTCTGGGTCACAAAAATCTGAGAAGTTGATTACACAAACAGATACCCTCTTTTCTCGGCTTGCTCCAAGTAGTTGTCTATAAAACCACACACACACACACTAACCTGTTCCACATAGGATTTGTTCATATAGGTAAAATACTCCGGTCCAAATTTTTCAAAAACATCAATTTCTGCTCCTGACATCTGTTTCAGTATAAATCTCTGATCTGAAGAAGAAAAAAAAATGCATCAATATCCTATATTAAAAATATCACCAACTCAGGGTTTTTTTCAAGCTGAAAATTTTTATTTTTGATGAATTGTTAAAAGGGAACTTTTATATGTCTTTTCTGGTTTTATTGAGTTGTCAACTTGCTGTCTCAAGGACATTTACCTAGTAACTCCTTTCTTTCATAGAAACTATAGAGCAATTTTCAAACAGAAATTAAACACAAAACACCTTAATAGTCATATTTTCAATTATTTATAAGTAGTATTTTTTTAAAGGGTCACAACTAATGATACATATAACTGACACATAAAAGGAGTAAGTTCAATAAGGGCCATATTTGGCCCCATTATTAAAGTTCAATTTTTCAAGATAAAAAATGATTGAAGTTGATGAAAATACATTTGAGAAAGTTAAATAGAACTATTTTTGTCAAAAGTTTTATTTTAAAGCAATGCAATGATTTAACATCAAAAAATGTTAAAAACAGATTTTTTGCAAACATTTGGACAAAATCGTTGGTATTTCAACTAAATTAAGGCATATGAAACATAGAGCACAGACATCAACAAACTAAATATTCAAGTCTGATATGTAAAATGTCATAACAAACATAATGTTAAAAGATCTTTTTTGTAGACCCATGCGCTGTATGTTACCTGTCCAAAAAAATCAATGTAAATTTACCAGTTTTCATCGAATTTTCGCGAACAAATCATCAGAGCTATTTGTGATGTCATGAATAGAACACAAAAACATTAATATTCAACAAAAAGACAAATTTCCTATCTAGTCATTGTATTAGTTATGATTCATTGTGACACTGTTCAATAAATCATAATTTTAAATTTAAGCCAGAATTAAAGGCCATTTTAGGGCCTTATCCAACCTACTTCTTTATATTGTAGCCATGAATTATTTATTGAACATTTTCACAGAGAAGGTTATAATATTGTACTTACCATCAGTTTTACAGAACTTAGATCCTGATTTACCTCCCTTGGCTTCCCACATTTTACATCTACTTAATGATCTGATAAACCTGTAAAAGTAATGTTATAACTCTGTATCAGAGGTGATGTAACTGATAAATACAATGTAAACAAGGTAGAACATGAGATTTACATACACAGTTAGTATAATGAATAAACATTAAGCAATTATCATAAAATTAGAATAGTCATATTCTTTATACAGTTTCAATGAAATGTCATAAACATTTTGATGACACAGAATGGAGCAAAGAAATCCAATGTAAAAATGATCATCAGATAGAAGCAATTTAAATGACCTGACCTAAAATAAATCCACTTACATTTCCTCTCCAGCAGGAAAGATGAGCTTACGTAGCTTTCTAAAATGTTCAGCAAAGTATATTTTACAATAAAACTTGGCCATATGGTCAGAATATTCTGAAATAGAAAAAAAAAATTTAAAATACTGAAATAAAATTATTCATACTTATCTTTCATTATATTTGTTTTTTCAAATATTCAGGTTTTAGTGGGCTCTGTCTTCTGTTTTCAGTGAAGTGTTTCTTGGAATGTTGGTTCTTTTTGTCATGGTGTTACCTTTTTTTCTTCGACCAGTTTTTGATTGGTCCCTAAGTATTTTCTCCCTTTTTTTACCATATGAGCAACAAAATGCAAGTGTGAAGTGTTTGCATGGATAAAATTCAAAAATAGAGAACAAGGCACGATACAACCACCAATGAATTGTTTTCTTCATTTGTACACACTGAGACTTTGAAGCATGAATGTTACAAATTTTTTTACAAATCTTATTCTTATTATGATGTGGCCTGAATATGATAATAACTATACTGCCACAAATTTGTTAACTTATGAAAAAAGATTACATATTCATTTCAAGACATTTTCCCATTAAAGAACTTGAACAATTTTTAGCTTGTATTCATTTTGTCCTCATTTAATTTGAATTTTTGTTTTTCATACCATTACAATTGATACTCTGTAAGTTGGTTATGACTGAAAATGTATGGTTTATTGTCACTGGACATTAAACAACCAATAATCAATCACATATTACCCATAATTCAAAGCACCACTTTTACTGGATCAAAATGAAAAAAAACTCATATAGATTATACACTTACGTAATTCAATATGAGGTCCAGCAGTCGTTTTTCCTGATTTGGTTGATTCTGGCAAACTAGATGATAAAATGGAGAAACCCTCATGCTCATCTACAAAAGGTAAAGAGTTACTGGTACAATAAATTCTCCAAATTGTCAATCAATGTTTTATCTATGGTATCTTTATCATCCAAGTAACATAATATATTCCTACCACAATGATTTATTTCAATCAAATTTTATTATTTGGCATTAAAGGATGCTTTAAATATTAGAAACAAAAGTTTTGAAAAATTGAAATTTCCCCAATTCCTGAACCCAATCAAAAATTAGTGAGAACACGTTCCATATTTTAAACTTCCAAACTTAAATGCATAACAATAGTTTAAATTCTTTAATAAAAGAATTTTGTATTGTAAAAAAATCATCAATATAAAGGTGTAACAGAATTCATCACAATTTGGTCCCAGCAGTTAAATGGCTAAGTAAATTGTCATAGCTGAAGTATGCATGACAAAAGTAGATACTTTATCACCTTTTGGTAACAAATGAAAATAATACTTTTAATAAGTTTCTTGATTCCCAAGCACTTTTCTGGATGCTACCTTCATGAAGAAAACTCGAACCGAATCATTTGAAAGCCAGGGATGAATGAACATTGTAATAGAAGGAGTCAAGGGAGGTAACTTCAGCACTAGCGTCTTACCAAATTCACCACTTCCTGTTTCTATCTTGGCATTATAATGGACGGAATCAAGTCTGGGCATTTTAGGACTACTGTCTTTATTCTTTACGAAGGACAATGTGCTTCCTCCATTCTTCTTTGCTATATCAAAAAATAAATAAAAACTAATTTAACATCTGCTGTTGGGTTGCTGCTTAATTACAATTTTGTATTATAACATGACATCACTTGTAATTTTCCCTCTTCAACTTACCTTAGGGGCCTTGGTGCGAGTGGTCTAAGTAGTTGAACTACTGTATCACGAGCCTGTCAACACTGAGTTTGTGAGTTCCAATCCCGCACGACGCAGGTGCACTCAACTTTAGTCTTAATTGACTAGGATTGTCAGTTTTCCTGTGGTGGTTCTCTTTGGCTTCCTCCACTTATAAAAACAGACGGCCAAATAACAGCACACTATTACTGAAAGTGGCATTAAAAACCAACCAATCAACTTACCTTATCCCAAAAATAAACAAAAAGAGACTTGTCAGGAACCTGATGTTCAGTGGTTGTCGTTTGTTGATGTGGTTCATAAGTGTTTCTCGTTTCTCGTTTTTTATATAGATTAGACCGTTGGTTTTCCTGTTTGAATGGTTGAACTAGTCATTTTTGGGGCCCTTTATAGCTTGCTGTTCGGTGTGAGCCAAGGCTCCATGTTGAAGGCCGTACTTTGACCTATAATGGTTTACGATTACAAATTGTGACTTGGATGGAGAGTTGTCTCATTGGCACTCATACCACATCTTCTTATATCTATTGGATGGAGAGTTGTCTCCTTGGCACTCATACCACATCTTCTTATATCTATTGGATGAAGAGTTGTCTCATTGGCACTCATACCACATCTTCTTATATCTATTGGATGGAGAGTTGTCTCCCTGGCACTCATACCACATCTTCCTATATCTATTGGATGGAGAGTTGTCTCATTGGCACTCATACCACATCTTCCTATATCTATTGGATGGAGAGTTGTCTCCCTGGCACTCATACCACATCTTCTTATATCTATTGGATAGAGAGTTGTCTCATTGGCACTCATACCACATCTTCTTATATCTATGGATGGAGAATTGTCTCATTGGCACTCATACCATATCTTCTTATATCTATTGGATGGAGAGTTGTCTCCTTGGCACTCATTCTTATATCTATTTGATAGAGAGTTGTCTCATTGGCACTCATACCACATCTTCCTATATCTATTGGATGGAGAGTTGTCTCCTTGGCACTCATTCTTATATCTATTTGATGGAGAGTTGTCTCATTGGCACTCATACCACATCTTCTTATATCTATTGGATGGAGAGTTGTCTCCTTGGCACTCATTCTTATATCTATTTGATGGAGAGTTGTCTCATTGGCACTCATACCACATCTTCCTATATCTATTGGATGGAGAGTTGTCTCATTGGCACTCATACCACATCTTCTTATATCTATTGGATGGAGAGTTGTCTCCTTGGCACTCATACCACATCTTCTTATATCTATTGGATGGAGAGTTGTCTCCTTGGCACTCATACCACATCTTCTTATATCTATTGGATGGAGAGTTGTCTCCTTGGCACTCATACCACATCTTCTTATATCTATTGGATGGAGAGTTGTCTCCTTGGCACTCATACCACATCTTCTTATATCTATTGGATGGAGAGTTGTCTCCCTGGCACTTATACCAATCTTCTTATATCTATTGGATGGATAGTTGTCTCCCTGGCACTCATACCACATCTTCTTATATCTATTGGATGGAGAGTTGTCTCCCTGGCACTCATACCACATCTTCTTATATCTATTGGATGGAGAGTTGTTTCCTTGGCACTCATACCACATCTTCTCATATCTATTGGATGGAGAGTTGTCTCCTTGGCACTCATACCACATCTTCTTATGTCTATTGGATGGAGAGTTGTCTCCCTGGCACTCATACCACATCTTCTTATATCTATTGGATGGAGAGTTGTCTCCTTGGCACTCATTCTTATATCTATTTGATGGAGAGTTGTCTCCTTGGCACTCATACCACATCTTCTCATATCTATTGGATGGAGAGTTGACTCCTTGGCACTCATTCTTATATCTATTTGATGGAGAGTTGTCTCATTGGCACTCATACCACATCTTCTTATATCTATTGGATGGAGAGTTGTCTCCTTGGCACTCATACCACATCTTCTTATATCTATTGGATGGAGAGTTGTCTCCCTGGCACTCATACCACATCTTCTTATATCTATTGGATGGAGAGTTGTCTCCCTGGCACTCATACCACATCTTCTTATATCTATTGGATGGAGAGTTGTTTCCTTGGCACTCATACCACATCTTCTCATATCTATTGGATGGAGAGTTGTCTCCTTGGCACTCATACCACATCTTCTTATATCTATTGGATGGAGAGTTGTCTCCTTGGCACTCATTCTTATATCTATTTGATGGAGAGTTGTCTCATTGGCACTCATACCACATCTTCTTATATCTATTGGATGGAGAGTTGTCTCCTTGGCACTCATACCACATCTTCTTATATCTATTGGATGGAGAGTTGTCTCCTTGGCACTCATACCACATCTTCTCATATCTATTGGATGGAGAGTTGTCTCCTTGGCACTCATACCACATCTTCTTATATCTATTGGATGGAGAGTTGTCTCCTTGGCACTCATACCACATCTTCTCATATCTATTGGATGGAGAGTTGTCTCCTTGGCACTCATACCACATCTACTTATGTCGATTGGATGAAGAGTTGTCTAATTGGCACTCATACCACATCTTCTTATATCTATTGTCAATGAGAAAGCACAACACAAAAATCCCATGACATCTATTATATGGATGTGAATTTAAACATCAACAAGATTGCAATGCCCTAATGAAATATCCCCCAAGCTGTATAATTGAGGAATCAAATGTGTCATTTTGGTTCAAAAGTCAAAATATGGTAAAAGTCTCATAACTCCAGTAAAATTTTCCCATCAAAATGATTGTATAATATTGTAAACAACACATGATGGCAAACAACAGTACCAAGTAAAAAAAAATAACAAGATAAAGGTAAAAAAAACTTACAACTCTCTCCTAACTCATCCTCTGATGACTTCAGGTCCTTACTGCAATGAAACAAATGCAGATTATCACACTAAAGTCATAATATTCATTTATGCTTTTTTACTCTCTAATAAAAATAATTACAAATTTGATAACTTTGATCTTCTCTTGTATGAAAAAATTGATAAAGTTCGAAAAGGACAAAAATACTGTTCAATTTAGAACATTCAGTTGCTGTGTGAATATTAAACACCCATAGCTGAACAACTGGCAATCTAAATTAAAATTAAAAAAACTTTGGAGAAATTACTTTTACATAGGATCAGTGTTACAGTACCAGTATAGCAATAGCTATAAAACACTCACATGAGCTTCTGTGAAGATGTAAAAGCTGACTGGATTTCCTGTAACCTCTGTTGATAGTCGTAGGAGCTATAAGAAAAACATATGAAAATGAAGCATGTTGAATTGTAAGAAATTGCTATAAGTATTCGGTAAACAGGAAAATCAGGCTATTTTGACAGTTTTAAATGCTGTTTTGCGCTATATGTTAAAAGTTTGAAAACCTAATGCCAATATATAAGAAAAATTTAAAAGTATAGATACTGATATCGGACAGACTAATATGTCATATGTCCATTTGAAGACTGTTATATAGTGGATTTATAATACATTTTGATTTTCAGATACAAGTGTGGCCTTATCATACCTTCTTCTTTAACTTTTTATGTTCCTCTGTTTATCAAAAATTTATCAGAAAAAAAATGAATATAAATAAAATTGAGAATGGAAATGGGGAATGTGTCAAAGAGACAACAACCCGACCATAGAGCAGACAACAGCCGAAGGCCACCAATGGGTCTTCAATGCAGCGAGAAACTCCCACACCCGGAGGCGTCCTTCAGCTGGCCCCTAAACAAATATGTATACTAGTTCAGTGATAATGGACATCATACTAAACTCCAAATTATACACAAGAAACTAAAATTAAAAATGATACAAGACTAACAAAGGCCAGAGGCTCCTGACTTGGGACAGGCGCAAAAATGCGGCGGGGTTAAACATGTTTTTTGAGATCTCAACCCTCCCCCTATACCTCTAGCCAATGTAAAAAAAAACAAACGTACAACAGTACGCACAGTAAAATTCAGTTTAAGAGAAGTCCGAGTCCGATGTCAGAATAAGAAACAAAAGAAAATAAACAAAATGACAATAATACATAAATAACAACAGACTACTAGCAGTTATTGACAAGCCAGCTCCAGACCTCAATTAAACTGATTGAAAGATTATGTCTTCATCATGTGAATATAAGGCACAATCCCTCCTGTTAGGGGTTTAGTATTATACCGTCATAGAATATATGAGAAGAACATAACCCGTGTCATGCCAACAACTGGTTTTAGAATAAATATGTTTAATTCCGATGCAAAGACCCTATAAGTGAATCAATATTAAAGCCAAAATATGCAATTTTTAATGACCTGACAACAGTATCGTAACTATATCCCTTCTTAATAAGTCTGTTTAAAGGTTTTGTTAGCTTTTGAGGTGAATACTGACATTTATGAATACTGACATTTATACAAAGTATGAATCATCCTGTAAAATTAAACAGTGTATAACTTACCTTAGAGCGTAGGCTATTATAGAACTGGGTTCTTGATCATAAACAACAGGGACTTACCTTAGATGGTAGGCTATTATAGAACTGGGTTCTTGATCATAAACAAGAGGAACTTACCTTAGAGCGTAGGCTATTATAGAACTTGGTTCTTCATCATAAACAAGAGGAACTTACCTTAGAGAGTAGGCTATTATAGAACTGGGTTCTTCATCATAAACAAGAGGAGCTTACCTTAGAGTATAGGCTATTATAGAACTGGGTTCTTGATCACAAACAACAGGAACTTACCTTAGAGCGTAGGCTATTATAGAACTGGATTCTTCATCATAAACAAGAGGAACTTACCTTAGAGCATAGGCTATTATAGAACTGGGTTCTTCATCATAAACAAGAGGAACTTACCTTAGAGCGTAGGCTATTATAGAACTGGGTTCTTCATCATAAACAAGAGGAACTTACCTTAGAGCGTAGGCTATTATAGAACTGGGTTCTTGGTCATAAACAACAACAGGAACTTTATAACAAGTTGGTAACAAATGATGCTCTCTACATTCACTGTATGAAAAAAATAAATATCATTGTAGAATCACACAAAATAAATCCCTCTAAAAATATACAAAATTTTAAAACTTTGAAAAAAAAAATCCTAGATTAGAAGCTGTTCTATTTGTTTAATTTAAAGATGCAACCAGCTGTAAATGCAGAACTTATTTCTTATTGGGAAACAAAATACAATGTTAGCCGACTCTCAAACAAAATACAATGTTAGCTGACTCTCAAACATTGATACCCCTATGCTATCATGAGTTTTTATTAAGATGCAATGTCAGACTTCTTGCTCAAGACAGACATCCTTGCTATATCTGATAACAAAAGTAACTAACCCCTCCCCAAAATAAAATTGTGGGAGAATTCAGGTGTAAACTGCTATACAGTAAGATTATTGGCCCCCTGTTCTAGTAACTTACAATGGAAATGGCAGGGGAGGTAACCCTGTCCCTGACAAAAAGTTGGTGAATGTTTTCTTCATGATTCCACTGATTCTTTCTACCTGCTGACTGTCTGTAAAATCATCTAAAAATAGACAAGGAAAAATAAACAAGAGGCTCCAAGTGTGTATCACTAACATGATCGTGTGTGAAATCATCTAAAAATAGACAGGGGAAAATAGACAGGGGAAAATAAACAAGAGGCTCCAAGTAGTGTGTATCATCAACCTGACTGTCTGTAAATTCCTCTAAAAATATACAGGGAAAATAAACAAGAGGCTCCAAGTAGTGTGCATCATTAACCTGATTGTGTGTGAAATCATCTAAAAATAGACAGGGGAAAATAGGCAGGGGAAAATAAACAAGAGGCTCCAAGTAGTGTGTATCATTAACCTGATTGTGTGTGAAATCATCTAAAAATAGACAGGGGAAAATAGACAGGGGAAAATAAACAAGAGGCTCCAAGTAGTGTGTATCATTAACCTGACTGTCTGTAAATTCCTCTAAAAATATACAGGGAAAATAAAACAAGAGGCTCCAAGTAGTGTGAATCATTAACCTGACTGTCTGTAAATTCCTCTAAAAATAGACAGGGAAAATAAACAAGAGGCTCCAAGTAGTGTGTATCATTAACCTGACTGTCTGTAAATTCCTCTAAAAATAGACAGGGGAAATTAAACAAGAGGCTTCAAGTGGTCTGTATCATTAACCTGACTGTCTGTGAAATCACCTTAAATAAAAAGGGTGAAATAGACAAGTGATCCGTGTCATTAACCTGACTATCTGTGAATTCTTGATGAAAATAAACCAGGAAAATAAACTAGAGGCTCCAAGTGGTCCATGTCAGGAACCTGACTGTCTATAAAATCATCTAAAAATAGACAGGGAAAAATTAACAAGAAACTTCAAGTGGTCTGTATCATTAACATGACTCTCAGTGAAATCATTTAAAAATAGACAGGGAAAAATTAACAAGAAACTTCAAGTGGTCTGTCTGTATCATTAAGGAAGTACACCACTAATTCATGGCCCCATTCCTTTCTATGTTAAATTCCTCAATTTCTAGCAGGCACAACTCTTTTGTCTTAATTTCAAATAAAGTGACAATCATTGCATGTCAAAGCAACACCTTATGATGTCTTGTACTGAAAAAAATCAACATACCTTTAATGGCATATAAGAGAGAACTGGTTCCCTGAACTTCGGATGTACAAAAAACAGGTACTTCAGATCTGACAAACAGGCAACATGTACCCTCCTTTTTAAGTTTCATGCAATTTATTATTATTCAAAATTATAAGTCAAAAAGTGTTCTACAATGATCACCAGTCATTCAGCTTTCATTTGAAATTAACAAAATATTCTACATAGTTTGAAAGTTACACCCATGCATAGGAACTATTTTCTGTTAAATATGTACTACTTTCTGGTATGTGCTTTCTGACCGGGCCCGAATTAGTGGTGTTACACCATAACATGACTCTCAGTGAAATCATCTAAAAATAGACAGGGCAAACTAAACAAGAGGTTTTAAGTGGTCTGTATTATTAACATGTATAATCATCTAAAAATAGACAGAGATGAAATAAACATGAGGCTCCATTGGTCTGTATCATTAATCTGACTGTCTGTGAAATCATCTTTAATTTACATTGCAGAATAAACAAAAGGCTCCAAGTGGTCTCTATCAATAACTTGACTTTCTGTGAAATGATTTGATCATAAACAAGAAACAGAATGGAAGTCACAAGCCTGAGCTCCCTAGATTCTTGTTTCATTAACCTATCTTACTTAAAGAAAAAGCACAATCCACCTATCGTTCATGCATCAGGACTTTAAAAAGTAGGGGTAGACAGCAGAAGTCCACCTGCTTCTCTGCTCTGCCATCTACTTCAGAATATTTTTATATGCAATAAAGAGTAAACAGCCTCCTGTTCTGGCCACTTGAAACTGCTACTGGAAAAGTTGTTCAATTAATTTTATATGTTCTACAATCAATACTTTTACATACCTACATACATGTATGAACAACTAAGTTGTATAATTAGTCACATGGGTATACAATGAACCATGTAAAAGCAGTTTAAATGAGAGATATGAACACAGATTTGGAATATAAAGGGACATAACTATGGAAAAAGTCAAAAGACGAGAACATCCTACTGACATAGACAGAGCAACACAAACCCCACCAGGGGTTTGATCTCAGTTGCTCCAGTAGGGTAGGCAGATCCTGCTCTAAATGTGGCACCTGTTTTATGAGTTTTCTGAAGTAACTATAACACATGTAGAAGGACTTACAATAACATGTTAGAAAGCACTGAACCAGGTAAAATAAGTATAGAGCCATCCTTACCCATTTTTTTAGTTACTTCCTTCCTTGTTTTGACTTTCTTATCTGTGTCTACTTTGTCTGTCTGGATTTCTACACCTACAGACAAACTGATAGGTACTGTATGAACATCACTAGGCTGAGAAGACGATTGCTGAGGCTGAGAGGAGGATTTCTGGGGCTGAGAGGAGGTTTGCTGAGGCTGCAAATCATTCACTGACAAGGCACTGGACTCAGTAGATATGTTTCCGGAGAGTTGTGATGGACTGTCCCTAGATTTTGCCTCTATGGTTACTGATTCTGTCTGTTGTCCTGACAGTGGTTTGTCTTGTGAAATAACACTTGATTTTCTTCCTTCTAAACCTTGATATAATTCAAAAGTTATTTATTTACACTAAATCATAAAAGCATACTGTGGATTCATTTTCTCCCATCTAAGTTGCAAAGGACAGCAACTATAAACATTATTATGAATTCAGAAATTATTGTGTGCAATTATTATTATGATTTTGTACGAATGGACAAAAAAGTGAGATTAATTATTGTGACTTAAGTAAAATCTGCATACAGATATATGTATCAGATGTCAGAATGCAATTTCTGATTATTGCGATACTTAACCAGTCGCATTAATAAAAACCTCGCAATATTTTCTGATTTTACAGTATCTAATCTGCACAAATATTCACATCTGTTTCCTTTCATTCCTATCATTTCAATGTAACCTGTAGAGTGTGTTATGCACATTGTTTAAGGGGTTTAAGTGCACAATTACACATTGTTTAAGGGATTACATCTGGGTAAGGGGAGATAACTCTTTACATTTAAATTAGTACTGTGTATGCTATAAACAGTTTCATCAATGCTTTTTATGGATCCATGTGAAACAGAACGATAAGTAGTTAGAAGCTAAGTGAATTTTTATGAAAACTGTTGGAGCAAATTAAGTGTGCCATTGATTTGTCACAGTTATTTCATGTAACCTATGTCTGTTCCATCAAGAATTTCATTTCTTTTTTTTCCATTCCTATGTTTAATGTACCCATTCAAATTTTCATGTGGTAGTCAAGCCTATATTTTTTGGTGACCCAGTGTTATATGATCAAGCAAAAGTGTGGAAAAAAGTAGTAGCCCAGCTCACATATTATAGGCTATAAGCTACTGATACCCTGCAAATTTCCAACCCTGCCATATGTAGAATTTGCAAAGGCCATATCAAACACACAAAAAAACACATTTTCATTTTAGCTGAGGATATTTCTTAACCTGATCATAAATTTGTATAAGTGCCTTTCCGAAGTAAGAAACATGTAGTACAGTGGTTGCTGTTGGTTGCAGTCTGTCATATTGTTTTTCATTTACCCGACTAGCAATATATATAACTAGAAATTTTTGAAATTCAATTCTAAGCAAACTCCCATTTCAATTTCCATGTATATACATTCTGAAGGCAAAATGCATGAAAAAATATAGGAAAATGGAAAATATTAAGCTAATTTTTACAATGATGCAATGTAAATTGTATCTAAGTTTGCTTATATGAACCCCCCAAAACAATATCTGACACAGATATAGAACAGAAGCAGAGCATGCTTAGCCATCACTAACACAATCCACTTTTACATATGACATGAAAACAAGCTGGATACAAAACAAATTCTAAGATGGTAGTGAAAGGAGGAAGATCAAGATGTCTACATATAGCCCTAAAATTAAAACTGTAATGTCCTGTCTTAAAGCATATATAAATTAGAGAATATTTGATTTTTACAGCACTCCAATTTCATTTTGCATGCAAATATACTCTATATACTAAAAGCATGAAATTTACAGGAAAGTAGACATTGTATACTGTACCCACAAATTAGAGAATAATTCATTTTACTCCACTCCCATTTCATTTAGCATGTACTCAATAATCTAAAATTATGCAATTTACAGGAAAAAGGACATAACTCAACTAATGATTACAGTGATGCATTGTATACTGTATCCAAGTTTGATTTAATACATGAACCATCCCAAAACAATGATACCAGAACAAAATATAGAATATAAGCAAAACATGCAAAGCCATTAATTACTGTGGATTCATTTATTTTAGTGACTAACACTTTTCGTGGATAAGTATTAGTAGTTTTTATTTTAGTTGATATTTGATTTCGCGGTCCCACAAAATATAATGAATCCCCAGTGTCTGCCACAATCACCATTACATTGATGAGAACAAAACATGATATAAAGCAAATATTAAGATGGCCCTTTTCAAGATAATTTGTGTGTAATATAAAAGTACTCAGATAATAAAACATGAACATCCTTGTTAAAATATGAAATCTTTTCTATGCATGAGCAAATGATCAGGCCAAAGTTGCTTTATTAAATTCCCCAAATTAACGACCAATTTTTTTTTTAATTTCAATACTTTAGGCAATGCTAATGAAATTAATTTTGTATTTTTCATAGATATAGGAAGATGTGGTATGAGTGCCAATGAGACAACTCTCCATCCAAGTAACAATTTATAAAAGTAAACCATTATAGGTCAAGGTACGGCCTTCAACACGGAGCATTGGCTCACACCGAACAGCAAGCTATAAAGGACCCCAAAAATTACTAGTGTAAAACCATTCAAACGGGAAAACCAACGGTCTAATCTATATAAAAACGAGAAAAGAGAAACACGTATGAACTACATAAACAGACGTCAACTACTGTACATCAGATTCCATGCATTTTTTCATATTTTAAATAATATTGATAAAGTTTATAACATCAAAATTTCACAGAATTTAAAGGCTAATATTGACTCTTTGTGAACCAACCTGAAAAGAAGGGGATAAAAGAGGGAATTCACCTTCATGCAAAGTGTGTAGTACTACATAGGGAGAAAAACAAGCATCAGATAATCTGTCACTGTGAGGTCCAATACCTGCTTCTAAACCTGGTGTCACACTGTAAATACCACTCTCTTCCAGGAAATCTGTAATGGCAAATGTCATTCTGTATATAAAGTGTTGTGGAAAATATATCACTGAACTGGGAAGGGAGATAACTCTTTAAATCAGTAAAGTATTTGTTTTTTCAAGCACTCATTTAAATAGAAGTAAATGGATCTGCGTAACTTAGAAGCTAAGAATTTATTTAAGTTGTTTGACACAAATGTTTGTGATTTTTAAAAGTTGTGTCCCCTTAACACAGGTGTATCTCCTTAAAGTCTTACAGATTATTTGAAATAGTGTCAACATCAACCCTTACCATACAGGTGAAACTAGCTATTTCTTTCATAATATTTATAGATTATCGTTGGTTATCTCCACGAGATTGATTTTCTCGCTAGACTCCGTTTTCATATCACTCGACTCCGCTGAGAAAGGAAATTATCAGTCAGCAAGATCAAAGGAAAAATTCGTAAAATAGCGATAATATCAAAATATTCATTATGAGTAAAACTAGTTAAAGATACATGTTTTTGTAATTTTCATTTCTAGCACAATACAGGTATTAGTATATATACAGAAGTAAAATATGTCAAAAACAAACAACTTACTTGACTGATTGATATTAATAGGATCTGTTATTGATGGTAAATCTGTAATAAACATTAAAACTCTAAATACTGAAGTTTGTCAATTGAGCGATAATTTTAAAACCATGCTGCTGAAAGTGGTGCTGACATGACCTGCAGGTAAATAAAACCTCTTAACACATAAGGAGGCTTGGTGATCAGATCCATGGTCATAGAAATAAGTGACTGTATAGAACCACTACTTCAGGCAAGGTCAGAAAGATCATAGTATTAGACTAAACAAAACAGTTCCTAGGTATATCTATAACTTTTTAAATAAGTAAAATATTTGGGTAACTATGGTATTAAATGAAAGCCTAAGAAATTTGGTTCACTGTAGAGCATTTGTTGAAAGTTATTTTTAATAATAAATTTGTTAATATGAAATTGAAATAGGAGTGTATATTTTGCCTGTTTTTCAGATCAGAAGTACCTTTTTTTGTACTATCACACTTTATGGTATATAAAATTAAAGGTATGCTAAATTTTTCAGCACAAGCCAGGAAAAGGTATTGTTTTGACATGAAATGATTGCCACTTTACTCGAACTTAAGACAACATAGCTTTGAATGCTTGAAATTGCAGAATAAACTAGAGGCTCTCAAGAGCCTGTGTCGCTCACCTGACTCTACTTTGGTTTTAGAAATCATGTAAAGATAGATAAAAATCATAACAGATACCCAAATAATGATTGAGGCCAAATTTTGATTAATATTGGTCCCGTTATTTAATAAAATATCCTGGTGGCCATCTTGAACAGTAAATCGGCAACAAAGTAGCAACACTTGGTCAGCACTTCATAAGGAACATTCATGCCATGTTTGGTTCCATTCCATTCAGTGGTACTCTAAAAGAAGACATTTGTATGTATTTCCCATAGGGTCCTATGTTAAACTAAGCCCCCCCCCCCTAGCGGCCATCTTGGATGATGGATCAACTGCAAAGTTACAACACTTGGTTAGCAACTCATAAGGAACATTCATGCTATGTTTGGTTCAATTCCATTCAGTGGTTCTCTAAAAGAAGACAATTGTATGTATTTACCATAGGGTCCTATGTTAAACTAAGTCCCCCGCTGTCGGCCATCTTGGATGATGGATCGGCTACAAAGTAACAACACTTGGTCAGAACCTCATAAGGAACATTCATGCCATGTTTGGTTTCATTCCATTCAGTGGTTCTCTAAAAGAAGACATTTTTATGTATTTCCCATAGGGTCCTATGTTAAACTAAGTCCCCCGCTGGCGGCCATCTTGGATGATGGACCGACTGCAAAGTAACAACACTTGGTCAGAACCTCATAAGGAACATTCATGCCATGTTTGGTTTCATTCCATTCAGTGGTTCTCTAAAAGAAGACATTTGTATGTATTTCCCATAGGGTCCTATGTTAAACTAAGTCCCCTGCTGGCGGCCATCTTGGATGATGGATCGGCTACAAAGTAACAACACTTGGTCAGCACCTCATAAGGAACATTCATGCCATGTTTGGTTTCATTCCATTCAGTGGTTCTCTAAAAGAAGACATTTGTATGTATTTCCCATAGGGTCCTATGTTAAACTAAGTTCCCCGATGGCGGACATCTTGGATGATGGATCGGCTACAAAGTAACAACACTTGGTCAGCACCTCATAAGGAACATTCATGCCATGTTTGGTTTCATTCCATTCAGTGGTTCTCTAAAAGAAGTCATTTGCATGCATTTCCCATAGGGTCCTATGTTAAACTAAGTCCCCGGCTGGCGGCCATCTTGGATGATGGATCGGCTACAAAGTAACAACACTTGGTGAGCACCTCATAAGGAACATTCATGCCATGTTTGGTTTCATTCCATTCAGTGGTTCTCTAAAAGAAGTCATTTGTATGCATTTCCCATAGGGTCCTATGTTAAACTAAGTCCCCCGCTGGCGGCCATCTTGGATGATGGATCGGCTACAAAGTAACAACACTTGGTCAGCACCTCATAAGGAACATTCATGCCATGTTTGGTTTCATTCCATTCAGTGGTTCTCTAGAAGAAGTTCAAAATGTAAAAAGTTAACGCCGATGACGGACGACGGACGACGGACGCCAAGTGATGAGAAAAGCTCACTTGGCCCTTCGGGCCAGGTGAGCTAAAAAACAGAAAGCAATGGGGTCATGCATAAATGGTTTTAAAGCTCATGTCAATTACCAATACAGAAGAGACTTCAGACTGACTAAATCATCTACAAACCTGCTGCTATAATTGGTAAACATGAAACATTGCATTAATTGTCATCCTTTTTATTCCAGACCTTGTGATAGATTACAAATTTGTCAATCAACTTTGCAGCAATTTATTTTCAATATTCTAATATAGTTAAGATATTCTTAGAGTGAGATAATAAATTTATTTTTCTAGTGAAAGTAGTGGAAATAAATCAATCATAAAAAATCAGATTGTTTACCACACCCTGGTAACATCCCAATTTTCCAGTCACTTTCAATACCTGCCAGGTCTTATATTTTCTCTCCTCTAAGGAGAACCACTTCAACCCCTTTAAAGAAAAGTCATGTCATATTTTCTGTCCTCAAAGAACCCACTTCAACCCCCTTTTTAAAGAAACAGCCATATGTTATATTTTCTCTCCTCTAAGGAGAACCCACTTCGACCCCCTTTAAGAAACAGCCCTGTCTTATGATATTATATATACTAGACCATACCAGCGACATCGCAGGTCCGTGACTGAATTAAAGAACTAACGCCTTATTTTTAGCATGGATTTTTAGAATTCGTATTGTCATTTGGTAAAGTCACGGTGATTATAAGGTGCACAGTTATTCCCTGTATAATGACGAAGTTCATGTGTGATCATTACCCGTGTTTATAGCAAATGCTGAATACACCGTTTGGTTGTGCGCCTGACATAGGCGGAACGTACAGATTAGGTAACAGGGATCAGGTAATTTTGTGACATATACTATTGGAAATCGGATTCGACCCGGAACTTGTTAATTATTGGTAATATTAATTATGTGGAAAACAAAAGGGCCTGGAATGGTGTAATTTTTAATCTACACCATTGTCCTATATTATTTATATATAAAGTTAAATACTGCGGGCAGTACGTAGACTGAGCATGCGCGAAAGCGTATAAGACACGGATAGATAACGTTCTCCAAATTTGGATATTTTCTCAAAAATTGGCATTTTCTGTGGAAAAAGATTGTTTCAAAGACAAATTTAGGAAGTACAAAACACTACATTTATACGTCATATCACAAATATTTCTGACTGTATGGTTTCAGAGGAGTTGCGGCTCAATGAAATCGGTCTCTTCCTTTAGTAGTATAGATACCTGATTTGTCTACAAAAACACCAGACCATGTCCTGTCCAAAACTGTTCTGTCGAGCTGAAAAATATGAATTATAACTTTAATAGATTTGGCATCATACAGGATATACCATCATTAATACTAGTTTTCATATATTTTGTTTGTTAAGGGAGATAAACATGTGTAACATCTATCAGTTTCATTTTACATGTATAATAAAGGAAAATCAGGAAATCATGTCTGATAAAAAAATGTGTATGGTTCATACTGTACATTCAGAAGTTTTTGCGATGTTTATAAAATAGGGATGGGAATTTATGAATAAAAAGAGTTGCTGGGTGTAAATCGATGAGACAGCAACCCAAAGACATTAACAATCAAAGATATCTAGAGGTCAACATATAGTCTTCAACAATAAATATGCTATGAATCATCATGAGTCTATGAAGCTATGAAACATCATGAGTCTATGAAGCTATGAATCATCATGAGTCTATGAAGCTATGAATCGTCATGAGTCTATGAAGCTATGAATCGTCATGAGTCTATGAAGCTATGAATCGTCATGAGTCTATGAAGCTATGAATCATCATGGCTCAATGAAGCTATGAATCATCATGAGTCTATGAACCTATGAATCCTCATGAGTCTATGAAGCTATGAATCGTCATGAGTCTATGAAGCTATGAAACATCATGAGTCTATGAAGCTATGAATCGTCATGAGTCTATGAAGCTATGAAAAGACATGAGTCTATGAAGCTATGAATCGTCATGAGTCTATGAAGCTATGAATCGTCATGAGTCTATGAAGCTATGAATCCTCATGAGTCTATGAAGCTATGAATCGTCATGAGTCTATGAAGCTATGAATCGTCATGGCTCAATGAAGCTATGAATCATCATGAGTCTATGAAGCTATGAATCCTCATGAGTCTATGAAGCTATAAATCATCATGACGCAATGAAGCTATGAATCATCATGTCTATGAAGCTATGAATCATCATGAGTCTATGAAGCTATGAATCAGTATGAGTCTATGAAGATATGAATCATCATGAGTCTATGAAGCTATGAATCATGAGTCTATGAAGCTATGAATCATCATGAATCAATGAAGCTATGAATCATCATGAGTCTATGAAGCTATGAATCGTCATGAGTCTATGAAGCTATGAATCATCATGAGTCTATGAAGCTATGAATAATTTAAACAGAAACTATTGAAAATCTGCCATCAACACCAAGTATCCAAATAACAAATAGGTAACTTAAGTTGCTGACTTGGGACAGACAAATGGATATGTAGGGAGGTAAAAACTAGTTTTTTAAGATTTAAAACCTCTCCCATTTAATCTCTACCATTAGACCAACAAATGACAACACAAAAGAACACATCAGCACTATAGTATACAATAACTGTATGTATGTAAGTTGTTAGTCCATCCCTTTCATATATCAACAGACAACAGAAGATCTGATATCATTCTAAGTCTTAAAGATAATGCTATAGCAGAATTCTGCTGCAGACAGAAACAACAGGTAGATATTTTATATAAAAAAATAAGAAGATGTGGTATGATTGCCAATGTGACAACTCTCCACAAGAGACCATATGACACAGAAATTAACAACTATAGGTCACCGTACGGCCTTCAACAATGACCAAAGCCCATACTACATAGTCAGCTATAAAAGGCCCTGAATATTCATTTGTTTTAGAACATTTCTTTACAAACAATGAAATGTTGATGTTTTACCTTGATTTCCTCTACAGGTTCTGATTCCAGCTGATCACATTCTAGTTTGTCTTGATCAACCTCTGTCTGAAGGTCTTGGAGAGTAGATGTAACATTTATTGGATTTATCTTTGAGCCTGGCCTATTATCTTCATGGGAATGTTTTGCACTATCTAGACCGATATTCAAATCTGATGAAGGTTCTCCAAATGATTTAGAAGTCGTTGGGTCTGTTTTGGTTTGAGTTTTTGTTTCTGTTTCAAAAACAGAAGATGCAATACTGTTTCTATCCCTTTGTATTCCAGTTTCTGGTTCTAAGACAGATTTGTCTCTTTGTGTTGTTATGGTTTCACTAAAAGAAGATGCTGATCCAAAACTACCCTGATTTTTATTAGACGATGAAGATACTATGATCTGGTCCCTTCTGTCATCACTAATTGGCAGGGAAGCAGAAGATTCTTTTTTCCTGAGTGTTTCATTGGTTGATGGAAGTGAGGTTGCAGAGTCTCTCTTTGGTTCTCCTGCTAAAGATCCTGTGTCTTTTTCCTTCTTTGACTGTGAAGTTCTGGTCTTTTTATGTTGAGAATACAGCTCTTGCATTCTTGCATAAAGAAATTAGACATTATAAAATAGAAGATTGAATACTACTACAACTGATCAAATTCCAAACAAATTTGAGGTTTATTTGACCCTAAAAACTCATAAAGAATATATGATTGTATGATACACAAATTGATAAAAACTCAAAACTGAAGACTTTAAATTGTTAATATTAGCTAAGACTTGGTGATTTAATTGACAAGTATCAATCAAATCATAAGGGAGATCAGCCTGTATTTATTTTTTTCAAAATGGAAGATACATTTTTCAAAACCATTTTGGCTTTTTTACGAGATCTCACATCTATTTGATGCAATTTCGTTGATGTACGAAGTTAGGAGAGTTTATATACTTACTTTGATCTCCAGTTTATATCAGCATCGGCCAGAAATCTCATCATCTTTAAAGAATCATCATATAGTGCAAAATACTCTGCCATGTTCTCTGTAAAAAAAATCATTATTTTTCACAATGGAACTAGATATATCTGTAACTAAATGCTGCATTTTCACATTAGCATCTAACTTAAGAATTAGTTGAAATGTCTTTATTTTCATGAACAAATAAGTTTTATAGTGCAAAATAGATATTCTTCACCCAGTAGTTAAGCATCAAGAATTTCAAAATCGATGACTTTAAATATGCCCGAGATCACCCCCAGGTTTTTCGTGGGGTTTGTGTTGCACAGTCTTTGGTTTTCTATGTTGTGTTTTGTATACTCTTGTTTGTCTTTTGATCATTTTATGTCTTTCACCATGGCGTTGTCTGTTTATTTTCGACTTATGAAATTGAATATCCCTTTGGTATCTTTCACCTCTCTGTTATACCCCATAGTAATGGAGGAATACATTACCTGTGTTTTCTTTTTCCTTTTTGGTGACCTCCAGTCTTCCTTTGTGGATCAATTCTTTTAATCTGTGTTTCTCACTCTGTCAAAAAATCAAAATCAATAGATATATTTAGTATTTGAAATATTCTGAAATTCTAATATTATATGACACAAATGAGAACTGTTAACTTTTTTGAAATATTCATACTGAAATATAAAAATAAGGAGATGTGGTATGATTGCCAATGAGACAAATTTCCACCAAAGCTCAAATGAAGTTAATGTAAGTAATTATAGGCAACTGTTCAGCCTTCAACAATGAGAAAACCCCATACCATATACATGCATGTAGTTGCTAACTTCTACATCATTTGAACTCCTTAGTGGATAGTTTTCTCATTGGCAATCATACCACATCTCCTTGTATTAGATACACCTTGAGGGTTTTAGTCCGAATATGTGAACCTAACTTACACCAAGGTATTATTGTCAATGTAGAATGATAGTTTTCAATAATTTAGAAGGGGGTCTTTCAGCAATTTAATCATATATTATAGAAAAGCATGATAAATGCATGGTATCTAATTTTATTTAACAACATCTTGGTATAAATTTCTATATAGGTCCAGTGTAATCCAACCCATCCTTAAAACTGTACTCCACATGAATGTCAGTACAAAGACCTTGTCCTAAATCTAGAACATCCATCAGAAACAAGAAGTTTAGGATATTTTTTGTACACTTTAAGTATCAAATAACCTGGAGTAACTATTTCCTATTTCATAGTACATGTCTTAGTATTACCTCCAACATATTAGTAAGATCAACAATCATCTTTGACAGGTCATCACTTGATGAGTTTATCGTAACCAACTGTTCCAATATACCACTGTACATTTCTAATCCTCTACAAAAATAGAAAAATATAATTAATACTAAGTATTTGTTACAAACCTTCTAATTTACACTGTATTTACATTTATGACAGAAAATAAAATTCTCTGGAAGAATATTGAAAAAGGATGCAAAAAACATGCCTACATATTGTCTATAAGTCATTGGAGAAACAGATACCATCACTCCACATTTGAATATTAAATTTTATATATCTAAAAGGTTGACAAGTCTTAAAGTTTAGATTAAAAAATTAAATTGTCTTTAAAAGTGGAAAAATATTGTGTCACACTCAACGTATTGGACAAATTTATAATCATAAAACAGATTTTACAACATTAAATCAGAAGACCACATCTATTTTTATTTTTCTCCTATAACTTTGAATATTTTTTTCTCTTGATATATAATCAGCCACACTTGTATGGTGTATTATAAAATCTTAAGCTGTTTAAATATTTATTTAAGAAAGTTATATATCACTTGGTTTTGGAATACTATTTGTTTTAATCTCAAATTATAATGTTATTCTCATATCAAATGTTTATGCTCTTCTGGGCCCTAAATTGGATAATTAATACTGTTCTTCTTCTATAGATATGTACCTTCTTTCAACTGATCTCATGCTGTCCCTGAGAGTTGTCCACTGGTATAACAGGACTTTGGAATCAAGGGAGATAACACTTGGTGGGAGTACTATTTCTTTCTTTATCACTGGCATGTACCTGTTCAAAATATTAAAAAACTTTTAATAGTAACATTGAAATAGATGTGCCTTCAATCATCCTGCTAAAATTTGATATACATGTACAGTACGTACATTTATTATGATATAAAATACACCTTATCCCTATTTGTCCACCATTACTGGACATCACAAAGGTTCCCGTAAATTTTTGTCGTCATAATAGAAAATATCTGATGCCACAATGGAAAAGTGATTATTGTATGACGTCAACAGTTCAAGAGGCGCACATTCTCGGGTCAAGCATAGAAGACTTCCAAATAGTGATAAGGTCTATTTATGCACAAATTTTTGTCAGTAAATCATAATAAAGCAACAGAATTTCTTGAAAATCTTAATTGAAAGAAAATTTCAATTTTGTAAAGGCTTAAATAGAGAAAGGTATCACCTGCTGTCTCCAAATAATTAACTGTAAAGTGCTTTATTTTAGCAGTGTTTAAATTTCACAATTTCTAGGGTCAAACTTGTTTTGAGAGGTTTTATTTTCACCATTTTTTTCCTATCACATGAAGGGCATATTTTTCCAAATAATTTCATTTGCAAAATTAGCAAAATATTTTTATCACAAAAAAATTCCCTATTCGCAGTACAATAAGCAGAAATAAAAAAAGTCTATGTTTTGGTATGGAAAATCCCAAAAATTACAGAAGCTCCAAGTTTGAAATATTTTGAGTTTATATTCACGTTATTTTTCTGCCATGTAGATGAATCATATAAATTTATCATATACTTAGTAGGAAATACATGTAAATTTTATGTGTAATACGATCAATGGCAATTGTGCTGTATCAGCCATCCATGATGATATCGATATCAGTCACAGTTGCAATGGCTTTATCACACCCTTAATCTGCATGACATTACGTCATCGACATCAGTCACCGTTGTAAAGGCTTTATCAAACCCCTAATCTGTATGAAATCACGTATCATGAAAAAAACATCTACTTGAGATATATAATAAAGTGTATATGATATGGCTTTTTCAATATCACACACCATATCAACCCTCAATCAATATAATCGCTCGAGCAGAGCTCTTGGGATTATATTGGAGTCTTGGGTTGATACGAATGTGATATTGAAAAAGCCATATAATATTCTCTATATATCGCCCCTGAAAATTGTTTATTAGGTGTTTTTATCAGATAGCATATACATGATATAATTTCTGTAATACATACTTGAATGTAGCCACGATATTCCGTCTCCCGAAGTACTGACTAAAACTATGATGTAAGGAATGACAACAAGGATCTGGCCCCATACGTCTCGTGAACGTGTTCACATAAAATCTTAATTCTAAAAATTTGGCAAACGACAAACTCCATGTATCATTACTCATGGCTGCTAAGGGAGTCGCCTGAAAAACAAAATGATTAAAAAATAACTTGAGGTGTCACTAAACATGGCTGCTAAAGTAGTCGCCTTAAAAAAGATTAATTCTAATATGTCAGCCTCTTTCTCACGGACATAGCAACATACAAAATGAAGAAAACAAAAATGAATAGTGACAAATTTCCAAAAATAAAATGATTAACAACTAACCTATGGGTCACTACACACATGGTTGTTTTGGCTCGACATGAAAAACAAAAATCTCATTATTAACCTTTAACTTCAGGTTTGCTACTCACACTTATCAAGGATGTTGTCTGAAACACAACAGAAACTGTAGTAATCACAGTAACCTTATAACTTCAATCTTTAACATAATTTCACAAAGACTTATTATTCAAATTCATGTATAACGTGTGACACTAGTGCAGAGGGAAGGCATACCCTTAAGGAGCATATGATTTCACCAAGACTTGTCTTGCTCAATCTTAGTTTTATTGTGTAGTGTTTTGTGACCTTTGTCTTTTCAATGTTTTTCTTTTGGCCATGATGTTGTCTATTTTTCTTTTAAAATTCTAGGACAATGCCAGTTTGAACTGGTTACCTGTCTACACTTGCGGCACCAGTTCCACATCATAATGTCTTTATCTCCTCCTGGTACACAGTTAGATAACTTCCTCAGTGATATAAATATAGATCCATGGCCATGAACTATTCTCCTGACATGATCTAGTAATGGTACTTCACAGTTCTCTGATGGACACATGTATGGCTGGCAACAGTAGGATTCCCTGGAATAAAAACAAGGCAGATAATTAATGCACCTGTCCTAAGTCAGGAACCTGTTGTTTAGTGGTTCTCGTTTGTTGGTGTGGTTCATAAGTGTTTCTCGTTTCTCGTTTTTTATATAGATTAGACCGTTGGTTTTCCTGTTTGAATTGTTTTACACTAGTCATTTTGGGGCCCTTTATACATGTAGCTTGCTGTTTGGTGTGAGCCAATGCTCCGTGTTGAATGCCATACTTTGACATATATTTGTTAACTTTTTATATATTGTGACTTGGATGGAGAGATGTCTGATTGGCACTCATACCACATCTTCTTATTTAAACATGTAAGACTGGCAGCAATAGGATTCTCTGGAATAAAACTATGGAGATAACTAATAGACAAATGTATGGCTGGCAACAGTTGGATTCCCTGGAATAAAAACAAGGGAGATAACTCATGGACAAATGTATGGCTGGCAACAGAAGAATTCCCTGGAATAAAAACAAGGGAGTTAACTAATGGACAAATGTATGGCTGGCAACAGTAAGATTCCCTGGAATAAAAACAAGGGAGATAACTAATAGAAAAATGTATGGCTGGCAACAGTTGGATTCCCTGGAATAAAAACAATGGAGATAACTGATGGACAAATGTATGGCTGGTAACAGAAGAATTCCCTGGAATAAAAACAAGGGAGTTAACTAATGGACACATGTAAGGCTGGCAACAGTAAGATTCCCTGGAATAAAAACAAGGGAGATAACTAATGGACACATGTTTCCCAGATCAATTTCATATATTTATTCTTTTTTCCTTACACTTCAACAAATCAAGGCTATCTTTCTTAATTTTTCATTTGAGGGACTTAAAATATACCTGAAGTTACAGAGAGAGATTTAGATACCAAAGAAATCTTTCTACTTACCTGAAACAGAACTTTTCTAGGAATCCACCCAAAGTCATATCTTGTCCACTATAGAAGGGCATTGATACAAGTCTGAAATATAAAGTATAGAATGGCATTGATACAAGTCTGAAATATTAAGTATAGAATGGCATTGACACAAGTCTGAAATATAAAGTATAGAATGGCATTGATACAAGTCTAAAATATAAAGTATAGAATGGCATTGACACAAGTCTGAAATATAAAGTGTAGAATAGCATTGACACAAGTCTGAAATATAAAGTATAGAATGGCATTGATACAAGTCTGAAATGTAAAGTATAGAATGGCATTGATACAAGTCTGAAATATAAAGTATAGAATGGCATTGACACAAGTCTGAAATATAAAGTATAGAATGGCATTGACACAAGTCTGAAATATAGAGTATAGAAGGGCATTGATACAAGTCTGAAATATAAAGTATAGAAGGGCATTGACACAAGTCTGAAATATAAAGTATAGAAGGGCATTGATAGAAGGGCATTGACACAAGTCTGAAATATAGAGTATAGAAGGGCATTGACACAAGTCTGAAATATAAAGTATAGAAGGGCATTGATAGAAAGGTATTGACACAAGTCTGAAATGTAAAGTATAGAATGGCATTAACACAAGTCTGAAATGTAGAGCATCAACATTATTATAATTGTATAAAAATACAAAACTAAACAAAACATATCGAATATCATTAGAATCATTTACACATGCACAACATAACTTAGCATCTTGAATAATTCAGACGTTCTATTCTGTCTTATACAGAGCTGTATTTTTTCAAAATTTGTTATACACAATATTTTTATATTGTTACCCATTTTCCTCTATAACTCATTCCATCATTCCAAAATCAAACAGCTGCCCAAACTTCATTTCTCCATTTAAACATTACATCTTACTGTGAAGGAACACATGAATTGGGTTTATTTTAAGTTCTCTAACATATTACTGTGGAGGAACACATGGATTGAGTTTGTTTTGAGTTCTCTAACATACTCACTGTGGAGGAACACATGGATTTAGTTTGTTTTGAGTTCTCTAACATACTTACTGTGGAGGAACACATGAATTGGGCTTGTTTTAAGTTGTCTTGACATAATTACTGTGAAGGAACAAATGAACTGAGTTTGTTTTGAGTTGTCTGACATACTTACTGTTGAGGAACACATGGGTTGGGTTTGTTTTCAGTTGTCTGACATACTTACTGTTGAGGAACATATGGGTTGGGTTTGTTTTAAGTTGTCCGACATACTAACTGGTGAGGAACACATGGGTTGGGTTTGTTTTAAGTTGTCTGACATACTTACTTTGGAAGAACACATGGATTGAGTTTGTTTTGAGTTCTCTAACATTGTGGGAGAACACATGAATTTGGTTAGTTTTGAGTTGTCTGACAAATCATGGAGGAACACATGAATTTGGGTAGTTAGTTGAGTTTTTTCTGAATTACTTTAAATACTGTTGAAAAAAATGTGGATTTTAAGTTTGTTAAGTTTCTTCTGAGTTACTTACTGTTGAAAAACATATGGATTTTAAGATTTTTAAGTTTCTTCTGAGTTACTTACTGAGGAAGAACATATGGTTTTGGATAATTTGTTGACTGTTCTCATAAGAACTCAAATTTGAGAAACACATTGGTTTAGAGAGATTGTTGAGTTCTCTCTGAGGCACTTACAATGGAGGAACACATGTGGCAGGATGATTTGAGCTACTCAATGTTACCTTTGAGGAACACATAAATTAGGATAGTTTGTTGATTTCTCTTTGAGGTTCTTACTAAGAAGGAACACATTGGTTTGTATAGTGTTTTGAGTTTTCTCTGAGGTACTTACTGTGGAGGAACACATGGATTTGGATAGTTTGTTGAGTTCTCGGAGTGACTACTCAATAACACCATAAACTTCTGATGATTACTATAGTCTAAACAGTCAACCTAAAAAATAAAGAATAAGTGTTTCATGAAATTTAAGAATAAATGTTCCATAAAATATAAGAATAAATGTTCCTTGAAATATAAGAATAAGGTTTTGATGGTTATTTGCAATTTTTCCTTTTTCAGACTGTTAATCAAATCAACAACAAATTCAACAGATTTAATTTACACTTTTAAAAAATGTAATTGTCAATTAACTTTTATAATTACTTTGATGCAACCAATTCAAGATGTCAACCAATTTAATTTAACATTTCATTCACAGTGTGTATTTACAACATGAAATTGTTTTTCTCTGCTTAAAACAGTTCCATAACTTTCTTTTCAAAGATGTAAAAATTTCCAACTTAAATGATCAATAAAGAAAAACATAAATTACTCCACTGATCATTTATTAATCACATAGCATGGTAATTTCACAGTATGTATATACAATGTAAACTTTTAACCATAGTAACTTACCCCTGGTGTTGTCTTTTCTGTGACTTGATGTGTGTCAGGTTTATCTGCTTCAGAAACAGCAGCTCTTGGTCGTAATTGAATTCTGCCACCTCTAGCTCTGAAATCTGCTATCAGATGCTACATATATAAAACAGAGATCAGGTCACAGTGACAAATATAGGTACACATGAAGAGTGTCACTAGTAGAACAGAAACTGTTCACTGCTGGGGGGGATCATTAGCAAACACTGAAAATTAAACTGTAATGTCATAGACAAATATTGTCTAACATGAAACAACGGAAAAATATACATGATTGTTTTGGAAGGGATAATTCTTTTTTTTTTCAACAAATATTCCTTACAGTATCTCAGAGCTAGTGTCTAAAAACATAATGTAAAGTCCTGTTAATCAACATCAACAGACAGTTGGAAATTGCTGGCTGGTGTACATACCTGTAAATTCTTATCTTTCAGGGATCCAGTAATCTGTGTAAGAATCAATGGGTGTGGCTCCTTAATTTCAATATCTGACCATGGTGAAGCTGGTTTGGGTGGGCAGTACGTCTCCACTAGTTGTTTCTTTTTCTCCCTGTATGCTACAGGCTCAAAATACTTGGACCAGAACAAATCGTCTTTGAAAAAGTTTCTAACAATTGATCTTGATCCAAATTCTGTTTCTAAATATGGCAGTTCAAATTTTATATACGGCGACGTTGACAGAAGTATCTCTGCAAGAGTTTTTTTAAACTTTGCACAGCGTTTTTGTGTTTTTGCTTGAAGAGTGACAGAACTATAAAAGATTGCATCATCCTGATTTTTCTGGTACATATAAAGAGGATCAGACTGATCATTCAGGGGAATTAACCCAGTTGATTGTTGTCTTTTTATTTTTTGCTGACCTTCATCAACTTTTAAGGTCATATTATGTAAATTGGTCTTACAATTATCACCTACTGCTACAAAGGAACCAACATTTTCAGTATGGTCAAATTTCCTTTTGTTATACTCATTCTGATTTGCCACCACCAAATTTTCAGGTGTATTACTTTTCGACAAATTGTCTTGCGTATTTATGTCCCCTTTCTTAATGTCTGTTTTACTTGTTGAAATATTTTCACCACTTGAATCACTTTCTCCTATATCAAAAACAGGTCTATCCAAGGTCGTTTCTGGCTGATTGTTATCCTTTCCCAGATGATCAGTACTTGGTTCATTTCTATCGTTATTTCTAATATTGTCCTTGTTGGTATACTCCGAGTCTAATTTTAACAAATTTACCCCAGATTTAGAATCCTGTAAATAGTCGGACACTTTAACAGAAGTTTTTTCTTCTGTAAAGTTAATCACAGAATCAGATTCCATTAAACTGTCGTCTGCTCGCGAATCTGGCATAGCAAATTCATCCATACAATATGACATCTCTAGCTGAGAATTATAACATGCAGTTATCATCAGTTTTACAACCTTTTTAATCTGAAGAGAAAAGATGCATAAAGTTTTTGAATAATATATTTATTCTTCATACCTTGGGGAGATATGAAAATTTGTTTATGCAAGGTAAGTTGTACTTCCCCCGGAGAGCCTCTTTTTATATTTTTACTTTCATAGTCAGCTACTAAAGTCAGAATTTGCAGGTACATAAAAACGTACATGCCATTTCTCATATCCTATCGAATTTATCATAACATGAAAATCAATTTTTAATTATTTATTGTATGATAAGTTTTTTCCTTATAAGCCCAAAATAAGGTTTAAAACAATATTGATAATGACTTCCTAGCATAAAAAACATTGAAACATTCTAAACAGTGTTATCGCACCGCCGGTAAATTATCACGTTGTGATTGGTTTAACGCCGTCATGTGGTGACCCCCTATGGATCCGTAAGGGGCTAGTAAATTTCATAGGGGGTTCATGACGTCACGTCTACTGTTAACAGTGACGTCATCTATTAATGTTGTTGTGTTTTATTGTTTATTTCTCTACAAAACACAGCGGAAAAAAGTCTCGCGGGCGAAACATTCGTTATACGGTTAACTACTGACCCCCTACTGACCATAGAGGGTGAATAAAATCCATAGGAGATTTGGCCTTCGGCCTCACCCCCTATGAATTTTACTAACCCTCTATGGATCCGTAGGGGGTCAGTAGCGAACCATATAACTTATATTATGTTCCACAAGGTAGACACTATCTTCAGAGAGGAAACAATGTTGGTTCAACTTTATGTTGAGTAGTTACAAGCAATAAAATATTTCTTCATCTTTCAAAATCTACAAACAGCGGAATATATTTATCATATGATTTATCATCCTGAACATGCATGAAATATTTCCCACTGGACATTAAGCAACCAATAATCAATCAATCAATCATATGATTTACATTATTGATTAGAAATACTTAACTATTAGTCTTGTGTGTTTTTCAAATTTTGGTTCATTTGTATGTTTTGGAGTTTAGTGTGACGTCCATGTTCACTAAACTAGTACACATTTTTGTTTAGGGGCCAGCTGTAGCCCGCCTCCGGGTGCGGTATTTTCTAGCTGTGTTGAAGACCCATTGGTGGCCTTGGGCTGTTTTCTGCTCTTTGGTCGGGTTATTGTCTCATTGACACATTCCTCATTTCCATTCTCTATTCTGTTTAGTATCATTGGTTAAAATGGCTGTTTGTTTTTGAAAAGAACTTACTATGCGGTATGGGTTTTGATTATGTTGAAGGCCGTACTGTGACCTATAGTTATTTACTTCAATGTCATTTGGTTTATGGTGGAGAGTTGTCTCATTGGCAATGATATCACATCTTCTTATTTCTAAATATTTTCTAAACTACTTTTGATAATAAGAATGGACCCTTGAATTCATAGCTTACGGTCATAAAACTTTTGAGTAATATTATCATACTCAGACTCAGAAATCAACCAATCAAAACAATGGTTTTGGTGTTTCAAGCACAAAATTTGGTACTCTGAATACTGAGTACTGAGTTAAAAGTAAAATAACAAAAATACCAAACTCCAAGGAAAATTCAAAATGGAAAGTCCCTAATCAAATGGCAAAATTAAAAGTTCAAACACATCAAACGAATGGAAAACAACTGTCATATTCTTGACTTGGTACAGGCATTTCCTTATGTAGAAAATGGTGGATTAAACCTGGTTTTATAGCTAGCTAAACCTCTCATTTGTATGACAGTCGCATAAAATTCCATTATATTGACAATAATGTGTGTAAAGATTTATAACTGTAAGGCCTGCAAGTCACACATACAAAATAGGTAAACATTATTTACAATAGACATAAACTGGACATCAATAAACTCTAAGTAAAAAGGTGAAAAATTTGATTTATCACATAATTGTTATTTATTACATTTTACAATTTGCAGGGATAAAATTGGTATTTGATGGTCACAAATATCTGTTTACTGTGTCTCCTGAAGTGTCACCAGTAAACTTAATTTGTGACCATCAAATTGCCAATTGATGCTTTAACTTTTCAATACTGTTTATATGTCTTAAATCTGATTCTCGAGTGTATTCCAGAGTGAATTCCCCAAATGTTGTGAGTTGCATATGTAATATATTGATCTTTCCACATGGAAAATGGTTTAGTTTAAGTCACAAACTCAAAAGTGAACTTACCCTTGTCAGTTCTCCTTTTGATCCCCCTCTAAGAACAATGGTACAGCCCAAGTGTTGAGCACATCCATCAAAACATAACAGTGTCTTTGTTTCTCCTACAAAACAATACATATACATATACAATATTTATAGGTCAATGTCAGAAAAATACCAACAATCTGGTATGAGATGAAATATGGAAGAGCAATGTTTACCAACACCTTAAACATTATTGAAACAAATACAAAAAGTTGTATTCTCAGACATTTTTATACTGTAGCTATTAAAGGCTATCAAAATAACAATATTTCTAAACAAATATCAACAAAATATGTACATTATTCCAATAAAGAGCCTCTGATTGTGAAAACAGAGATTCACATGATAATTTAACTCTGTACAAAATGTCATTTAAGTAACATGACTGGTGCAACATGTGGTGCAGAATATGTGTACCCTTCTGGATGACCTGTGGGGTTGGTGTTGCTGTGTCAGATATATAGTTAGTGTTTGTAGACTGTTGTTTGTCTTTTCTTTGTTTTTAGTTTTTAGCTATAATTTTGTCTGTCTCACATCTACTGACCAGTTTTGATTATCTCTCGGTATCTTCAGCCTGTTTTGTTTCTATACATGTATTTAGGAGATTTAATAAGACAACATGAATTATTCCAGTTGCAGTATAAAATATCAAAATAACAAAATAACCGGAAGACATCTAGAGTGGAACAAAGTCTATATCAATAGACAGGTTCTATAAACTTTACTTTATCTAGAACAAGCACTTACTGCTTACTTCTGTTAATACTAAACTGTATAAATGGTCCTTAAAGATTTCTTGTAAAAGTTTGTTAGCTTCACTAACAAAGACCAATAATACATTAATAACATTGACAGATGGTCACAGTATTCTGAGGGATATAATTTAAAATATGTCAATTACCTGAAGGCAAGTTGAAGTGGCATACTTTAAAATTATGACAAAATCCGAGGGTAATTGGTCCACTAACTATCCCATCTATAGAAGGTACTATACAGCCCTGTGTTAGTCTTTCAATTTTCTCCATGACAGACTGCAAATAAAAACAAACTGTTTAATGCAATTGTAACCGGAGAGCATAATTTTAACTAGAAAATCACATTGTCTCTACTAGGCCTGGAACTCGAACCCGTGACCACTGTGTTCGAAGTCATCAGAGTATAACCAGTTTGTATTTTAGAAATTTTCTGTATCTTGTGTATTAAGGAATCAGAAACACAACTGACCATGTGTTGCTGGGTAGTTATTTTATTGACATATATCCCATATCTTCATTCTTTCGAGTATCATAATTGATCATGTGACCACTGAAAGACCAGGATGTTAGTAACACGACTTCAGTAATCATCTGGTTTGTGTGGAAATAGCATAGCTTTAGTATATTTCTGTTGAATATGAATACAGGAAATGTGGTGTGTACTACAATTTGATAGAAACACAAAACAAATATAACCAAAACACATATAAAGAGCAACATACAGTCTTTAACTATAGATAGATGTTTATATAATGTCAAGCTGTGAATCGCCTAGAGATAACATAGATTTTTTAAAGATTTTTCTCAGTGATGATACTAATATCTCCTTGTTGTTATATCATTCGTTTGTTTAAAAGATTGTTCAGTACTGAGAAATACTTGTATATAGTGTGATCCCTTAGTTTTTTCAAGACAAAAATTGGATATTGAAATAATTAAATATCAATATATAGTTACAATTTGTTGTCATGATTGATTGATAGATTGTTGTATGTTTAATGTCCAGTGACTGTGTTGTCATCACAATTTGTAATAGACATTTTCGAAAACTTATCAACACTGACGCTTACACCTATGCCTAGGACGACAGGTAACCTTTTTAGGTGGGGTCATCTCAAGGTGTACAATGAGCACAGGCATTTATGAAAAAATATATATATAATTTACACTTTAAATACTGTATAAAAAATATTTTCAATGATTTGTTGATTTATTGGCTCTGCTTAGAAGCTGAGAATTGACCGATCTTCATATTATAATTTAAAAAAAAGGGTAAGTGGCTTTGTGTAAATTAGTAGAACTTTCCACAGAAAGTCAGGATTCTACTTCGTCAAAATCATCTCTCAATAACGCCGATTAATTTTTTCAATCGTGAAAATGGAAGCTATTGTAGGGATGACCCGCGCTGTCAACTTAGCTCTTGAAAACCGATAAATGTATCCACTTGGCATAATTACAATCCTTACATGACAGTTGTGTTTTAAAAAAAAATGTATCTACTAGCTATAAAGCATCTCATGTACGTTTAGGCCTTTTGTCAACTAAAAACTATTGTCTGGTTGGTTGTCAGGGGGAAATTTTGAAAGTTAATAAAAACATTAAAAAAATCTATTTAAGTATTATGTGGAACTGAGACTACTATAACACAGAGATTGGTCACTTCCCGTACTGACCAGTCAAATAGTATTTAATTTTAAGTCGTCGATCACGTGACTCGGCACGTGACTCGCAATGATTGACAAGAAGGATTCGACCGCCATTTTTGACAGCGAAAGAGAAAATAATAATTAACAAATGTGGATTTATAAAGAGTGTTATGTTCCGGTAAGTGTGAATATAAGATTTGACATGATCATAAATGTTGGTTTATAAGCACTTTAAAGAAAATAAGTGCAGTTATAGACTTGAATTTACCGACCAAACCGGAAAGTAACCTCGAGTTATTACCAGTCCGTGGGACCGGGTCAATGAGCAACTCACCCATAACTTACATTCAGATGAACAATCTGTTTTCCGGATAATGTATGTGCAAGCCTTAGTAATTAACCGATGTAATGATGTAAAATTTGTAATTATATGAAATTCCAATTTTTCTGTATCAGTAAGTTCCCGCTGCAGAACTGAGAAACACACGAGACAAGTTGCACACACACAACATGAGGTCTGATAGGTGAATTTGTATTGTTATTGACTCGGCACGTGACTCGCAATGATTGACAAGAAGGATTCGACCGCCATTTTTGACAGCGAAAGAGAAAATAATAATTAACAAATGTGGATTTATAAAGAGTGTTATGTTCCGGTAAGTGTGAATATAAGATTTGACATGATCATAAATGTTGGTTTATAAGCACTTTAAATAAAATAAGTGCAGTTATAGACTTGAATTTACCGACCAAACCGGAAAGTAACCTCGAGTTATTACCAGTCCGTGGGACCGGGTCAATGAGCAACTCACCCATAACTTACATTCAGATGAACAATCTGTTTTCCGGATAATGTATGTGCAAGCCTTAGTAATTAACCGATGTAATGATGTAAAATTTGTAATTATATGAAATTCCAATTTTTCTGTATCAGTAAGTTCCCGCTGCAGAACTGAGAAACACACGAGACAAGTTGCACACACACAACATGAGGTCTGATAGGTGAATTTGTATTGTTAGTGAAAGAAATCTAGATTTTTATTTGGTTCCCTTGATAATATATATGCAGTCTATACATGCTAGTATAATAATATTATGCAATGAAAATGTGTCACCATGTGAAATACCAGTATGTCTACATCATGAGTTCCTAAATAGACGTATTTTTTTTAAATAATTGACCCAAACATGATGTAAAAAGTACATGCACCTTTGGTCTGCATCCTTTTATCAGTTTAACTATTTTGATCCATATTGACATGATTGGTCAATTACTGCTGAGTCTCAAGTCTCAGATTACTGTCTTAAAAATTAATGAATTGCCTATGCTATAAACTTGACAAAGATTATTTCTTTTTATTTATAATATATTCTTTATTGTAGGAATACCCCCAGAAAGAAATCACGCATTAGAAGAAGGGAGAAGTACTACAGGAGAAAATGACTTTTTTTAGTATTTTTTTTTAATTTCATTGAATTTGTCATGCTTGTCTTACATGGAGAAATAAATATTTAATTCTTTGAATATACATTTTTATTACTATAAAAATTGCGGTTTTTATCCAACCCAATCATAGGTTTGAACGTTGTTTTCAATTTAGACTTGTTTACATTTTTATTATTATATACATTAAAACAAAGACAGGAATGCAGAAATTCACAAACACGCTCAGTTTGGATAACAGTTCAATGAAAAAAAAACAAGTAACCACACATCTTTATATATTAAAGGAATAGCCACTTGAAGCAAACTTTAAGGAGATTTTTATATATTTTTGCTAATGATCGCCAATCAGAAAACTCCTTTAGTCCAAATGAAGTTCAATGAAGTGGATGTAAGTTATTGGAATCCACCGTAATTACCTTCAACAATGAGAAAACCTATACCATGCAGTCAGCTTCAAAAGTCCCCGACATGGAAAATATATAACAATTCACTAGAGAAAACGAAGTGTCTACAATAACAAAGCAATTTACGAAAATTCAAATATGACAGACATGAACCAACAGCAACCACTGAATTACAGGCTCCTGACTTGAGACGGGCACATAAAGAATGTGACAATGTTAAATATTTTTAGGCGCTCATCACCACCACTAGCATGGGACATTGGTGTAACGACATAACATAAAAACAAACTTTAAAAATAATTTGAAAATAGTTCATTTCGGTTTAATCAGGCTGACTGTACATGAAATATTTGCCATTGACAAGCAGTTGTGAATCGAAGTTGAATTTACAGAAAGGTGACATCAATATATGCTATCATATTTAACATTCTTGTTTAGATCTGACATTGCTACGTATTTATACATTCCGCATTATTTTTGGCTTCTCAGAATTTTCACATGGTAAACTGTCAGCAGTTACCCAACAAAAAAATGTTATAGGGAACCTATTTACAAAGCATCATGCCGACAACAATTAACATGGTTTGTCACCCAACATTGAACAAGCACATTTATATTTGCTGTGGCTAAAAAAACTAAAGCAAATCACAACTCTTTTCGTCTGAGTTGCTCAATTATTAGGGTTACAAAAAGCATAGCGATATAACTAAAACATACGACACTTTAACAATAGACAATATTCAAATTTTCAAAAACTTTACGGCTCTGTATTGAAGCACAAAAATCAATGTTACTGGACATTGTGAATTGAAAAATGAAAATGCTGGCGATATTTTGGGAACATATATATAACTTGTAGGGCTTATGTTTGCTTTATGTATCCATTGAAGTTATAACCTCTTTGCTGGTGTGTTACGTAAGGAAATTACTCATTTACCTTTAATTAAATTTTTCTCTCTTCTGTGATCGCCGCTTATTACATTGTTTGCAAAAACTTGACCTAATTATCAGACGGAAATTTAAAACAAAGTGTGGTGGGGGGGGGGGGGGGGGGGTTGAAACCAAAAAAATTGTTTGAAAAATAAAATTTTCGTTGGATAATCTGAATGAGGGTCTGGATGGGGGTTCTTTATTTCCTTTAATTTCTATGCCATTTTTCTCTATTCTTTAAATCTTAATAACTTGTTATTTTCTCTTCTCTATTCTTTATTTGTCGGTCCATTTTTCTCCATTCTATACTTTTTTTGCCCCTATTTCTCCATTTTATAAAACCCTATCCACACCCTCCTGAATCCTACCACAAGTGCACCGACGATATTTGACAAGGTTTTCTACAATAAACATGTATATTGGGCACTCAGCAGTGAAATACCTTACAAGTAGAGAATAAAAGTTTACTGCAATAAACGGAGCCTCGTGTACCTTGGGCACCCAGCTGTGAAACAAAATTCATCTCCCATGCTTTTGAGACTACCTGTCTTTACAGGTAAAATATTTGTATATTAGATACAATTAACGGACGTGTAGCAAAACAATGTAACTGTAAGATTGATAAGATTAATCACATTCACATTTTCAAGAGTGGCCGCATAATAACAAACTATTAACAAATTATTAATGATTAAAAACAAAATTTAAATATGAATAGAGATAACTACATTTGAAAGATAAAAACTATATTCTTTTTTTTTTTGATTAATTCAATTTTGTTTTTAAATTACTTTTAAAAGAAAAATAATACTATCCGATACTGTTATATAGTAGTCTCAGTGATTTGGTGATATATGTCGTCTGCTACGGTCGAATACGAAACTACGGTTAAATACGAAACTACGTTAAAATAACGTAGCTAACTACCGGAGACTCAGATAATCCGATAAATCTATAGTGACCAATCTCTGTGTTATAGTAGTCTCAGTGTGGAAGAGCAGACTAAACATTTGCAGAGGTTGAAGAATAATTAACCTAGATTACACACACAAAAATGTTGTTTTTTTTTCAGTTATATATTTTTAAGATCCACTTATAAAGTCATGGACTTTTTGTATAAATCCAAGGAGGAGTTAGTGAACAACATTTGTCCCACTTTTTGTTTTATACATTTTATAAATAGAATAATTAATATGCCTAAATTTTTCACTAAAAAATGAGTGAACGAAAGTAAAACAAAATACAACTAAGAAATACACTCCCAGTTTAAACATTTGAAATAGCACGAAGCTTTTATTTTATTCAAACACACCACCTCTGTTGTTATGACACATTAGAAAGGTATTTCACTTGACCCATATATTTCCTGTTTTGGTACTGTGAATGTGTAATGTTATTATATCAAAATGTAGCCTAAATATATAAAAAAAATAATGGATCTGAAGCGAGACTGATACATGTATCAATATTTTTGCTTTATAGGTATTCAGGACAAAACAGTCAACTCAAACACGTTTGGACATAAAAAGGTGTACCCGATTTTCTCTTTTGATAAGATAAATACCCATTTTGGTTATTTTACCCCAAAAACTACAAGAAATGTAATTTACTGCTTGAAAAAGATCAATCAGTATAATTCGACAATTAGAAGAAAACAGCTGGAATATAACAAATCATCACTAAAAGAATTCCAAAACTGATGAGAGGACTTTGTGTTTCTAGCTCAGATTTTGAATTAAAAATTATAGAAAACCAACTAACGAATAATGAATTTATATTTTTTTTCTACCTCTGCTGAGTCAAACAAAGTTTTACGAGGGTAGTCTTTTTCTTCTATGGGATATCCATCCTATTTGCAGGGTCTCCATATTAAAAATATATGTGTTTATTTTTAAATATAATTTACCTAGTTAATATAGTTATAAATGTTAAATTAAATTCATTTAGTGTATTTTGACATTTTGATACGGTCCCTCTATTTTTTCAGTCAGTGTAGGTATCGGTGTCGGTATAAGTGTCCGTGTAGATGACTTTTCGAAAATGTCTAATAGGATGTAGGGAAGATTATTTAGTACTAGCCTAAACAATCTTGATCAGTAAGTCTTCTTTTTGATAATTCATCCTGACATGCATGACATATTTGCCACTGGATGTTCAGCAACCAACAATTAATCTTTCTAAGTCAAACATAAGACTCCCATTGAAGGAATTGTTATGACGCCCATCAGTGAAACAGCACATACCATTGCAATACAGTCTCAATGAAGACATTCTTTGTGACATATAGGGTTATCTATGTAGATACCATATATCAATTCAGATTCTCCAATGATACTTACCAGTTTAACATTATACACCAGTGTAATTCCTTTCTCTAGAAGATAATTCTGTGCTAGTCTAGAGACAGACTTCTCTACGATTACAATATTAGGTTTTGGATGTAGGGAGGATATTTTCTTTACACTTTTCTTCAGAAATTCTTCTTCCTACAAACAAAACATAAATTTGAAATAACTTCTTGATAACATAGTACAAAAGTTTTGATTTTGATTTGTAAATGTCTTAATCAAAATGTAAATGAGTATGAATATGATAAGGACAAATTCTTACTAACAATGAAGAATTACCTTGATTGCAATGTAGAAATTGATTGAAATGTGGTAATACTTTAATTACAATGTAGAAATTGATTTAATACAATGTAGAATTACCTTGATAACAATGAAGAAATACCTTGAGAACAATGTAGAAATTGATTACAATGTGGTAATACCTATATAATAATTACAATGTAGAATTACCTTGATAACAATGCAGAAATACATTGATTACAATGTGGAAATACCTTGTTTACATGTGGAAATTATTACAATGTGCAAATACCTTGATAACAATGTAGAAATACATTGATTACAATGAGGAAATTTATTTCAATTTGGAATTACCATAATAACAATGTAGAAATACATTGATTGCAATAATGTGGTTATTCCATGATAACAATGTAGAATTACTTTGATAACAATGTAGAAAAACATTGATGACAATGTAGAATTATCTTGAAAACAATGTAAAAATACCTTTATAACAATGTAGAAATACTTTGATTACAAAGTGGAAATACATGTATTTTTACTCATTCTAATTTTCTACAAGTAACTATGTGTATGCTATGTATTGATCCTAATTGTAACTTATTGTATACAAATTTGAGTTTCACATTTTCTTTACAGCAGAAACTTAAATAAAAAGTCAGTGTGAAACACTTGTGGGTAGTCAAGTTATTAAACACCTTACAATATTTATATATTACCCCATAAATTTGAGGCTATAATTATGAGGGTCTTTTTTGGCAATTCTATCTGTAGAATTTGATATTTAAATGAGAAGAATTTATTTTCCACTACTTGAGTATCCTTAAATATGAGGCTTCTATTTGGAGATTTTTGCATTGTTTACCTGTAGAATTTGAGGTTCCAACGAGGAGAATTTATTTTCTACTCTCTGATACTCTATAGAACCTTTGAGCAGCAGAATGTATGGATTGACGAGTTTCTGTGACATTTGTTTGTGAGCTATATTCCTGGTAAATACAACACCATGCACTAACCAAGTCTGTTCTTTTGTATCTCCTGGAATCTATAATAAGCAATGAAAATAAAGTCACATGGTAGACACCATTTAACAACATGAAATATGCTTAGTTTATGAAGACATATTTGCTGGAATCATATATGAAAGTATTCCTCATATAGCGCCACATGATTTGATTCAAATTGTCCTATCCTTTTTAACTTGACAATATCATGTTGTTTTTTTACCTATCTTAACTTCAATTGTTTCACTTTTCATTATTCAGGAGCCCTTTAATGCTTACAATTTTTGCTCATCATTGAAGCCCATACTGTGACCTATTGTTGTTTACATTCTCATTCTTTCTTCAATGGTAGTTATGTTATATCATTAGCTATTACACCACATCTCCTTACTTTTATTAATATATTTGACGATATACATGTTGTCTCCCTTTAATACCTCATACAAAGTGACCTTTTCGAACTTACAACATTTGATGATATTCATGTTTTCTATCTCTCTTCAAACATAGCAATGAACATCCTAATTCTGACACATTTGATGATATTGATGTTTTCTCAATTACCTTTCTACACTTAACATATCTTAGAATTCATTTTGTCTCCCAGCCCTTACATAATTCTAACCTTTTTATAAACCTGACATAATAGATAAACATCTCTTTACGTCTCTTTCCTGTCTTACTACTGACCTTTTTGAATTTAACATATTTCAGAATATTCATGTCGTCTCCTTCCTCTCTGACATCAGGTCTGACATAATTACTAACACGTTGTGCCGTACCAATGACAATGTCGGTCCATGTTTTAGACAATCCCTCGTCACATAACATCTGCTGAACTAAACCATTCAGATGATCCTGATGTGCTTTCCTGTAAATAACAGGTACAATAAATTCAGAAATTATGGGGAGGTTTTTATTAATGAAATAATGTGAATGGGTTAGTAACGCAATAATAAGAACTCACATTCTGATATCTGATACATATATCTGTATGAAGATTTCCCCTAAATCGAAATAATTAACATCACTTTTTTGTCAGTTCTATAAAAATTGCAATAATTATAGATTATCGTTGGTTATCTCAACAAGATTGATTTTCTCGTTTGAGCCGGTACGGCGAAAGCGAGAAAAACAATCGAGTTGAGATGACCAATGATAATCTGTTTATAGCTATTTTACCTATGAAGACGTTGTTAATTTCCGTGACAACGGCACGTGTTCCCTTAGAGTGGAAATTATCAGTCAGCAAGATCAAAGGAAAAATTCATAAAATAGCGATAATAAATAAACTCATTGTAGATACCAGGCTTTAAATTTTTGTAACTACATGTGCCTTTTGTCAACAAAAGACTCATCAGTGACACTTGAATAAAAATAAAAATAAGAATTGGTGCAATAACATTTGAAGTATTATTTTTATTCAAATTGACTTACTTGAGTAAGGAATAAGCCCTTCTCTCTCCATTTTCTTCCTTCAGTGTATCTGAGTTTCTCCAGCAGACTGACTTGATCAGCTTGGTGGCTGGTATACTCTGTGAACCACTAAACATGCTGGCTAAAATATAGATTTATTTAAAATATGTGAATACAAGCATTCTGAGAGTATTGCATGGCAATACATAGTCCCCTACCGGTTAAAAATTCATTGTATTGGAACAAGATGCTAACTTGATCTATAACTTGTCATGGTGTAAACTATATTGCAAATATCAAGTCAATATCTTCAAGCGTGACGAAAACAAGTGTTGAAAACTGATTATTTAAGAGAATTTTCTAAGTCCAAGGACAATAACTTTGCACAAAATCATCAGACCAGAACAAAATTCGAAACTTGTTCTGTAACTTGTCATGATAAAACTATATACCGTCCCCTTTGACTTTGTCGGTAGGGGACTAATAAGGAGATGTGGTATGATTGTCAGAATTTCAATGACTTGGGTATAAGCAATTATAGTCACTGTATGGCCTTCAACAATGAGAAAAAAACTCATACTGTATAGTTGGCTATAAAAGGCCCTGACATGGAAAATGTGAACCAATTCAAACGAGAAAACTAACAGCCCAATCTTACCTGAGATAATATCTTCTGTATAGCCTTCAGCGTGTGAATCTAGTCTCCCTTGAGATAATATCTTCTGTATAGCCTGCAGCAAGTGAATCTTGTCTTACCTGAGATAATATCTTCTGTATAGCCTGCAGCAAACTTGTCTTACCTAAGATAACATCTTCTGTATAGCCTGCAGCATGTGAAACTTGTCTTACCTGAGATAATATCTTCTGTATAGCCTGCAGCATGTGAATCTTGTCTTACCTGAGATAATATCTTCTGTATAGCCTGCAGCATGTGAAACTTGTCTTACCTGAGATAATGTCTTCTGTATAGCCTGCAGCAAACTTGTCTTACCTGAGATAATATCTTCTGTATAGCCCGAAGCATGTGAATCTTGTCTTACCTGAGATAATATCTTCTGTATAGCCTGCAGCATGTGAATCTTGTCTTACCTGAGATAATATCTTTTGTATAGCCTGCAGCATGTGAATCTTGTCTTACCTGAGATAATATCTTCTGTATAGCCTGCAGCATGTGAATCTTGTCTTACCTGAGATAATATCTTCTGTATAGCCTGCAGCATGTGAATCTTGTCTTGGTAATGGTTCAAATTCATTATCTGTAAAATAAAATGCAGATCAGAATAGGATATTCATGTATAATACAATAACTTAGTCAAACCATTACTGGTAATGGATACTTGGGGTTAAAGGTTCATTTTTGGGTTTTTTTTTTCAAATATTTATATTCACAATGCTCTACTTGTTTTCCCTGCAAAACAATGATTCCCATGGTTCTATAGAACAGTAGTCCAAATATTACTGGAATAAATTACAAATTATTCAAATAGCTTTGGCTACTACTTTCAGGTCTTTTTTTTCATATACCAGTGCTGTAAATTCAGAAATTATTGCGTGCATTTATTATTGCGATTTTTAAAGAATAGACAAAAAAGTGAGATTAATTATTGCTATTTCAGGAAAATCTCCATACAGATGTATAATGTAGGTTTCATATATCAAAATACAAGTTCTTATTCTTGTGATACTCACACAATCGCATTACTGTAAATTCAGAAATTATTGCCAGGTTTTCATTAATGCGAAGAATGCGACTGGGTGAGAATCGCAATAATAAGAACTCGCTTTGTTATATCTAATACATAGATATGTAAGAAAATTTTCCTGAAATCACAATAATTAATCTCGCATTTGTGTCAATTTTTCAAAATTCGCAATAATAAATGCACGCAATAATTTCTGAATTTACAGTAGTTCCTCACATGTTCAAGTACTTATACATCATTGGTCTTCAAATGTTTGTGTTTGAGTGTTCCTGGTGAAGGTAAATCTAGTAAAGCACTTTAGAATTCATAAAGAGCTATTTCATCTCAAGATGATAGAAAGTATTTTTATACTGTTTGTATCCTGACACTGTATACTGTATCAATCAAATACTTATTAAGTAAAATTAACGACTAACCTTCATTGCTGTCAAGAGGAACATAAAATGTACTAGCAGTTGTCTCCTCCTGACCGCTACTGCTCTGGTCTTCTGAGGCAGTTACTGTAATAAAATCATCATAATAGTCATTAACTTAAAGGCAATAAACTAAATTTAAGAATTCAATTTATAAGGGGAAATTACTCTGATCATTTTATCTTATAATAGAATGTACAGTAAATTTAACTAGTTTGCAAGAAAAGGAGCTTTGTGACCAGGGCTTAAAAAAAACATTAAGCTAGCTGGACATTTCTATCAATTCTTTTTTTATCTCTGTAGATTCAAGGACAATGACTGACTTCTACTTTGTGTTTTTGATCTGTAAACGGATATTAACTTGTACATTGATATTTCTATTGACTGACCGTGTGGAATATCAGCAGACATTCATTTCCACTTTACTTTTTATCATGTTAAAACACATTAATATGAAGTTTTTACTATTGTTTTAAAGCACATGTTTTCTAAAACCTGATGTTGACTTGACAGAGATAAAACTCTTAACAGAGACGGAATACATGAAATCTGTGTAATTCTGCCAAGCATCAGTTAAAGTTGTTCTTCCCACATTATTTCTTTCAAGTATATTCTTGAGATGAACAAAAGATTAGTGATACAATTTATATTATTTATGAGTTTGAGAGCTTTTTGATGCATTATTAAATTTCACACCTACACACATGATAACACCTACACACATGATAACACCTACACACATGGCTAACACCTACACACATGATAAATCCTACACACATGATAACACCTACACACATGCTAACACCTACACACATGATAACACCTACACACATGATAACACCTACACACATGATAACACCTACACACATGATAACTCCTACACACATGATAACACCTACACACATGATAACACCTACACACATGATAACACCTACACACATGATAACACCTACACACATGATAACACCTCTACACACATGATAACACCTACACACATGCTAACACCTACACACATGATAACACCTACACACATGCTAACACCTACACACATGATAACTCCTACACACATGATAACACCTACACACATGATAACACCTACAAACATGCTTACACTTGTACTTAAATGAATGTAAACAACGTCATTCTGTCACTCAAAAACATTTCAATTTCATCATTCAATCATCTTTGAATTTTTTTTAATATTACATTTTTTCTTATAGCATTAAGAATGGAAATGGGGAATGTGTCAAAGAGACAAAAACCTAACCAAAGAGCAAAAAACAGCCTAAGGTCACCAGTGGGTCTTCAACGCAGCGAGAAAATCCCGCACCTGAAGGTGGGCTTCAGCTGGCCCCGAAACATTAATGTATACTAGTTCAGCGAAACGGATGCTACACTAAACTCTGAAACATATAAATGATACTTCCATTTTTACTACCTCAAAGATAAAACTATAGCCATTATTGAAGAAAGTAGCAATATAAAAACCTACAGCTTTCCAACTGGTCTGTTTTAACATCTATCTCCTGAAGCCATTGTGGTTCTGTGCTGTCAGTTATACTGATGTCCGGTGGATCTATTGGTGTAGTCTGTAAATAAACATTGTTATAATTAATACATAAAGTCCAGAGTGCTTTTTAGGGATCATAGATTTATTCTTACGAGGAAGCTCCGAGCATGCTCGGAGGATGCTCAGAGCTTTTTCAGTAGGCTCTTCTCTGCAGTTTATGTGAAAATAATTATCATGATCCATTAAGATGTCAATCAAATCTACACCACTTCTATAATAAGGAAAGTAGAGCATTATAGAGGAAGCTCAATTAACACCTGTGTAAACATCTAATCTATTCAAATACATTTTGCCTGAAATTTTACAAAACTATAGAATAGATTAGAAATTCTTCAACAGTACTGTGTAATGCTTGGAAAGAAATCTCAAGTCTCCACAAAAAGTGAAAGTCATTTAACAAAAAATATACAATTATTATATTTTTAAAATAATCATTTCTTTTTTTATAATAAAAAAAATTCTCAAACTTTATAATTAGATGATATGATTTAAATATAGTTTATATTATATAATATGCTACATAAAAGTTATCAAGACACAAACAACAGTCAGGGGGCGATACTAAACGAGTTATTTTTTTTAGTTACTTATATTAATAGGTATTTTTTGTTTTTTTAAATTATTTGATATAATCTCAATTGTTATTTTAAATGTCAAAAGTGGACTAAATGTAGTTTTTAAGAATTTTTTCATCATTTCATTAAGTAAAATTAAGTATTTATCCAACTTGAGATGAGTATAGAGAGATTACTTTCAAAATAATGACAAAAATATTACTTTTATTTATTATCTTATACATCTTCGAAAAACTAAGCATACTTACAATTATTTAAGGAACATATGTAATTGTTTTTGATAAAGATTTCAAATTATAAATAACTTCAAGTCTTAATTAAATCACAAAGTTCCATCCATTTATATTTGTTCATCTCTAAGATTTTAAAGGAAAATGTTATTTTAATAGCCCCAAGAGACCAATCTATGACCAAGAAGTGTGGCATCAGAAAGGCAATTAGTGTTTCAGGAGGATTTAAAGTTTTATACTGCATGGGGAAAATAACCAGATTTGAAAATTTGTTAAAGCTTGTAAAACCTGTATGAATGGACACCTATAGAAATAATATTAACAGAAGTTACTTATTCATGATATATAAGTAATATTTGAAACAACCTTGTTTTCAATATAACTTGTATAGGTAATTTTGAAAATTACTAGTTTAAGTAATGCCCTTAACTAAACAACGGTATTTTTTTTTTATAAAATAGCAAAGTTTTTTATATAAAATATTTTTGCAATTTTAGGGGACATGGCTACTAAAGCTTGTAAACAGAGAAAAAAAAAGGGGGATAGAATTTGGTTGGTTAATTCTGGTGATGTCTTCTATCTTATATGCACTGAAAAATTATGTTGTTTTATTACTATAGTACAGGACAAGAAAAAACTTTACTCATGTCAAGTATTTCTTTATTTAAAACATAGATAAATTCTGCACATATTTTTTGAAAAATACCAATTAAACAAAGACTGATAGGGGGAAACAATTTTCTATTAGATTTTCATTCAAGTACAGGTCAGGATAAAACTTCACTTATATAATTATGCCAAGTATTTCTTTATTTAAATAAAACCAAATCCGCACAATTATAAAAAAAATGACAATTAAAGTGAGACGTACTAGAGGGAAAACAATGGTGGTATTACCTCCTCAACTTTTCTTAGAGTAGCCATAATTTTTTTTATAAAAAACTAACTTTGCTATTTTATAAAAAAAAAAAAATTATCATTGTTTTAATAGTTAGGGGCATTACTTAAACAAGTAATTTTCAAAATTACTTATACAAGTTATATTGAAAACAAGGTTGTTTCAAATATTACTTATATATCATGAATAAGTAACTTCTGTTAATATTATTTCTATAGGTGTCCATTCATACAGGTTTTACAAGCTTTACCAAATTTTCACATCTGGTTATTTTCCCCATGCAGTATAAAACTATTTAAATCCTCCTGAAACACTAATTGCCTTTCTGATGCCACACTTCTTGGTCATAGATTGGTCTCTTGGGGCTATTAAAATAACATTTTCCTTTAAAATCTTAGAGATGAACAAATATAAATGGATGGAACTTTGTGATTTAATTAAGACTTGAAGTTATTTATAATTTGAAATCTTTATCAAAAACAATTACATATGTTCCTTAAATAATTGTAAGTATGCTTAGTTTTTTCGAAGATGTATAAAATAATTTATAAAAGTAATATTTTTTCATTATTTTGAAAGTAATCTCTCTATACTCATCTCAAGTTGGATAAATACTGAATTTTACTTAATGAAATGATGAAAAAATTCTTAAAAACTACATTTAGTCCACTTTTGACATTTGAAATAACTACCGAGTTTATATCAAATAATTTAAAAAAACAAAAAATACCTATTAGTATATATTAAGTAACTAAAAAAAATAACTTGTTTAGTATTGACCCCTGACTGTTGTTTGTGTCTTGATAACTTTTATGTAGCATATTATATAATATAAACTATATTTAAATCATATCATCTAATTATAAGATTTGAGAATCTTTTTTATTATAAAAAAGAAATGATTAATAAATATAATAATTGTATATTTTTTGTTAAATGACTTTCACTTTTTTGTGGAGACTTGAGATTTCTTTCCAAGCATTACACAGTACTGTTGAAGAATTTCTTATCTTTTCTATAATTTGTAAAATGTCATGCAAAATGTATTTGAATAGATCAGTTGTTTACACAGGTGTTAATTGAGCTTCCTCTATAATGCTCAACTTTCCTTATTATAGAAGTGGTGTAGATTTGATTGACATCTTAATGGATCATGATAATTATTTTCACATAAACTGCAGAGAAGAGCCTACTGAAAAAGCTCTGAGCATCCTCCGAGCATGCTCGGAGCTTCCTCGTAAGAATAAATCTATGATCCCTTAATTAGAATGGGGCAAGATGGCCAAGTTGTCTAAGTAGTCCAACTACTGTATCATAAGCCAGTCAACACTAAGGTTGTGAATTCCAACCTTGCACGTGGCAGGTGTGCTTGACTCCAATCTTAATTGACTAGGATTGTCAGTTTCCTGTCGAAGGTCATGGTTCTCGCTAAGCACTCCAAATTCCTCCACCAATAAAAACTGACTGTCACAAAATAGCCAATAGTGCTGAAAGTGGTGTAAACCCAAACCAATCAATTCGAATGAATTTGGGAGGGTAGAAAGCATACCTGCCAACTTACATGATTTTGAATTGTGACAACCTGCAACTATTGTAAGATTGTGATTGTGAAAAAAGCTCAAAAACTCTATTTGGGGGAAATCTGCACAAAAAAAATTAGCTGATTTCTAATTGTGAACTTTTTACTAAGGTGATAATTGTAAACAACTTCTGGTTTCATTTAGACAAATCAAATTTAAGCTCTCTCCTTGCTTTGAACATCAATAACACTGCCAAGTGCAACATACTCCATCCCACAAGGGAGCAACTCAAGGACGCAAGACAAGCTTGTTACAATTACAAAAAGGACTGATCATAAGACATTTCAGTGTACTTAATCCTTATTTTGTTGTAGTTTATGTTATTAAATCATTCAATAATTAAAATCATTGGCTTAAAACCTCTTAACCAGGAATTTGATAATTGTGTTTGTATATGAACATTTGTATATGGTAAAGGTCACCAGTCATTTATACTAGAGCAAGAAAAGATCTTGCTGGTATTTTAATACTATTTTCTCTACACAATAAAAAAGGAAAAGAATCATGCAGTTAAATAGAAGAAAGGCTAACAAGTTCATCATCAGCACAGCATTGGAAAAGAGACGAAATATGACACTATTTGAAGAAAAAAATACATGTATGAAAATGCCACGAATTTGTACATCTATAAAATTGTTATATCACACAAAAAAAAGAAACCATTGAGATTTTCCAGAGTTGGCAGGCATGAATACTTTATTAAATCTAATTCAAGGGCCCACTTCCAAGCATACATATATACTGTGTATCATTATTATTCGTGGGATACCAATTTTCATGGAATTCAAGGGTACAGGGGAACATCAAAATTAAAAGTTCAACGAATGACAAATTTCATATAGGCGTGTATGCAGACTTCGGCAAAACCATGAATTTAAATATCCACGAACATGTAAGTTTTCCTTAATCCACGAAAATTGGTACCCACGAAAATAAATGAATCCAGTTTTTATATATAGTATTAATTATAATTTTCATCACTGAAGGATCTTTCAAAATCCACAAACAACCAACATACTTTCTTTCAGTAATTTTGCAAACATAAAATGGACATACTGTACAATCATATATGACCAACAACCAATGTCCAAACAATAAAACCTCCTTTCTTTCCCTCCCATATTCATTTTAATAGAATAGCAGTGCACCCAAAGTAAATATAAACATCAACTTAAAAATAAATTACCTCTGACGGTTTATAAAGAGTAAAGTTGTCCTGGAAGATGTTCTGTTGTCCACCAATAATCTCTAGATAGCCAGCGTCCAGTAATGCTTGACCAATTACAACTGCCTGCATTCTGAAACAACAAGTGTGGACTCACTCAATTGTCTTAACTGATTTATTGTTTGGGACTGAATACATGCAAATATAATACTAAAGCCTTAGTTAGATATCAAGGTATATTTTGGATTTCTACACATATCCTGAAAACATTTTGCTCAATACATATGAAAATGAGGTCAGGTGAAATATTTAAAAAAAAAAAGACCGTTCAGTGTCTGGTGGATATTTTTCTCCTTCACAAACAAACCACATCTCCTTATTTTATATGTAACCCTTGCAATTACTTTATAGGCCAAATATAATTGACATATTACTCATATTACTTGTAGTTTCAAAGAAGTTGACCAAAGTTGCTTACATCTAAATAATTTGGTCTTTCGTGGAAAGTTGGCTCATTGGCAATTATACCACATCCTTATATTTATGCTAATCATTAATCCTTGTTCAACATGTTCAAGCTCATGTGACGTATTCCAGACAAAGACATAAGCCAAAAAATCAATATGGATTGTCCTGATTTTCTATCTGCTGAGATATTTAGTTTATAAAATGTTATCACAGAGATATGTCTCGCCTTTTTGTAATTTTGATAATGCAAATGTTGAAATTAAAATAGTAATACTTTAACATGTAAGTTCATCACCGCCTACTACACAAGCTGGAATACTATGGCGTCAACCCCAAAACCAACAAATGGATTCGCTCCTTCCTACATAACAGAAAGCATAGCGTAATACTAGAGGGAGCCATCTCCACACAAGTACCAGTACTCTCTGGTGTACCCCAAGGCACAGTCCTTGGTCCATTACTGTTCCTGGCCTACATAAACAACATGCCAGAAACAGCATCTACATCAGAGACCAAATTATTCGCTGATGACAGCCTTCTCTTTCGTACCATCACCAACCAAGCAGACAGTGAACTTCTCCAGAAAGACTTATCAGCATTGGAAGACTGGGAAAACAAATGGCATATGAGTTTCAATGCCAAAAAATGCCTTGTCATTAGAATATCACCAAAAAATCGACCAGTGATACAAACATCATACCAACTACACAGTCATACTCCAGACACAGTGGAAGCAAGCAAATACCTTGGAGTAACCATCAGCAACAACCTAACCTGGGACAAATACATAGACAATACAGTAGGTAAAGGTAATAGAACATTGGGATTTATACGTAGAAATCTCAAAGGCTGTACAAAACCTGTAAAGGCAGCTGCATATGTATCCATGGTAAGACCTGTAGTGGAATATGCATGCACAGTATGGGACCCAACAACCCAAAATAAAATCAAGGTAATTGAACAGGTACAGAAAAGAGCAGCACGATTTGTGAATAACAACTACACAGACCGAACACCTGGCTGTGTCACAAATATGGCCAAAAATCTAAAATGGGAAAGCTTAGAAGAACGGAGGAAAACAAACAGACTATGCATGCTATTCAAGATCCAGCATGCATGATCTTATAGATATAGACCGTCACCAATATTTAACCCCAAATGATAACCGGACCAGAGGTAAAAACCGCTTCTACCAAGAAAGAACAAGTACAGACGCCTACGGCCAATCTTTCTTCCCGAGGACCATCAGGGATTGGAACAACTTACCAACATCAGTTTCATCGGCCAACACCGTTGAGGGATTCAGAGCTGCCCTTAAGGCATGCTCTGAAAGGAAGTAGGAAACACCAGTTGTACATAATTTTAATTGTATAATATTGCGAACGTTTTAAATGTAATTTGTTAATAGCCAAGAGAGAACTTTCTGTGTTGACCGACACTGCGTAAAGTTTTCGCGCGGAACCAATAACATTCAGTTTTGAATCCGGTTCCTTACCTGGAAGAAGAAGTTATGCAAATATTCAAAGTCGATGAACCATGACTGAAGGTACATCCATGGAATGAGATGTGCCAATGCTAATACAACTGCATACCAAATACCATTGACTTATTATAAGTCGTTCCCTTTAAACAAACCCAAACACAAACATTAACTTGTAAACTATGTAAAAGTTTCAAAGTCAATGAACCATGATCAGGGGTGGGGCTATATAATCTCCATGGAAACGATACTTGCAAATGCCAATAAATTTGCATACCAAATATCATTGACTTAACATTAGCTGTTCATCTTAAACTGATCTAATCACAAACTAATACATGTAAACTAAGCAAAAGTTTCAAAGTAAATAGACCATGACTGAGGGGGCGGGGCCAAATATTCTCCATGGAAATGAGATGTGCTAATGCTTATACAACTGAACACCAATTAACATTGGCCTACCACTTATGGTTCCCCTTGAACTGACCTAATCACAAACTAATACATGTAAACTTAGCAAAATTTTCAAAGTCTATAGACCATGACTAAGGGGGTGGAGCCAAATAATCTCCATGCATATGGAAATGAGATATGCCAATGCTTATACAACTGCATACCAAATATCATTGACCTACCACTAGTGGTTCCCCATAAATTTACCTAATCACAAACTAATACATGTAAACTATGAAAAGTTTCAAGTCAATAAACCTTGACTGAGGGGGCAGGGCCAAATATTCTCCATGGTATTGAGATGTGCCAATGCTAATACAACTGCATACCAAATATCATTAACCTACCACTAGTGGTTCACCATGAACTAGACCTAATCACAAACTAATATTGTTATGGCCGTCGCCACCGGAAACAGCATACCTATGTCTGGCTTTTTGACTCCGACAATAAAACCATTAAATGCTATCATCATCTCCATTGTTGGATTATCATACCTGTCACCCATTTTATGAAGCAGGTGAAACAAAAGTCCCCAATTTATTTTTCTGTATCAATGTTTTTACCCCTGTCATGTAATATAATATCCCTTTTCATCTGGGGTTTGAGTGGGGAACTTCTGTATATTAGACTTAACAGTAATCGTTTGGCAAAAGGGGAATAATTATATTAAAGAATTTACCAGTGACGGACAAATTCCAGATTGTCATATTTTTTTCAGCACTAGTTGGTTTATCAAGGACTACTTATAAAATGGAAAAAGTATTGTTGAAGTCAATGAAAATGTCTTAAACATATCATCAAGTAAAGCTTTGCCTATAAAATTCATCTTTCAAATTGTAATGCATCAAACAAAATGTTTAAGGAAAATGTTGTGAAAACATGGGAATTTCCTTTAATTTTTCCTTTTTCGTGTTCCAGTGCAACAGTTTTATTCTTGAAACGTCACGCTTTTCCTATGCCAATTATGAGATTAATATCAAGAGTTATTTACCATACACAACGGATTTGACTACTGTAAATTCAGAAATTATTGTGAGGTTTTTATTAATGCGAATAATGCGACTGGGTGAGTATCGCAATAATAAGAAATCGCATTTTGATAACTGAAACATAGATCTTTATGCAGATTTTTTTGGAAATCACAATAATTAAACTTGCATTTATGTCCATTCGTGAAAAATCGCAATAATAAATGCACGCAATAATTTCTGAATTTACAGTATTTTAGGACCCAAAATTATTTTGGAGTAAATTTCAAAGTCTCCCATTTAGAACAGTTTGGTTGGTGGTCCAAATTTTTTTTAAGCTATATTTTCTTCAGAAAACAGTAAAACAATTGAAAATTAAGTAAATTTTATCCTATTACGGAATTAGAAAACTGTTTTATATAATATGCCAATATGTTGACTGAAATAAAAAAAAAAGAAACAAATAGGTGATAAGGCTATGTATATACCCATAAATTATTATAGAAAGCTACTAATTATTACCTCTGTGCTGCTTTGTCATTGCTTAGTAACCAGTCAACCAGTTTATTTCCCACAATGCACTTGTAGTAGGTTTTGAGACGTATTCTATGACTCTGCATCTCAACACCTTTTGATTGATCAACAATCTGTCTCCAGATTTCACGAAGTTGTACAGAATCCTGAAAAAAAGAACAAGAGTGCACACTCAGAAATGTCTCGCCTTCTTTACTAACCATTAATTTTATGTTGATAGTCCTAACTAAAAAGTTTTACTACAAGTAACACATAAACTTAACATGATCCAAGAAAATGAGGTCAAGGTCAGATAAACCAAATGAGAAATACATGTACACCTTACAATCATTCAATACACCAAATATAGTTGACCTATTGCTTATAGTTTCTAAGAAACAGACTTAACCAAGAAATCTAAACATTAACCAATAAACCATGAAAATGAGGTCAAGGTCAGATGAACCATGCCAGACAGACATGTACACCTTACTATCAATCTATGCATTAAATATAGTTGACCTATTGCTTATAGTATCTAAGAAACAAACTTAACCATGAAAACTTAACATTGACCAATGAACCATGAAAATGAGGTCAAGGTCCGATGTTTCCTGCCAGACAGACATATACATCTTACAATCCTTCCATACAACAAATATAGTTGAGCTATTGCTTATAGTTTAAGAAAAACAGACCAAAACACAAAAACTTAACACTGAGCAATGAACCATGAAAATGAGGTCAAGGTCAAAGAAAACCTACGAGACTGTCATGTACATCAAAAAATATTTCCATACACCAAATATAGTAGACCTATTGCATATAGTTTAAGAAAAACAGACCAAAACACAAAAACTTAACTATAACCACTGAACCATGAAAATGAGGTCAAGGTCAGATGACACTTGCCAGTTGGACATGTACACCTTACAATCCTTCCATACACCAAATATAGTAGACCTATTGCTTATAGTATCTGAGATATGGACTTGACCACCAAAACTTAACCTTGTTCACTGATCCATGAAATGAGGTCGAGGTCAAGTGAAAACTGTCTGACGGGCATGAGGACCTTGCAAGGTACGCACATACCAAATATAGTTATCCTATTACTCATAATAAGAGAGAAATTAACATTACAAACAAATTTTAACTTTTTTTTCAAGTAGTCACTGAACCATGAAAATGAGGTCAAGGACAATGGACATGTGACAGACGGAAACTTCATAACATAAGGCATCTATATACAAAGTATGAAGCATCCAGGTCTTCCAACTTCTAAAATATAAAGCTTTTAAGAAGTTAGCTAACGCTGCCGTTGCTGGATCACTATCCCTATGTTGAGCTTTCTGCGACAAAAGTCACAGGCTTGACAAAAACAACCACTTCATAGATGAAAATTTGTTTCTACTTCCACTTTGTAGTGACTGCCTGCACCACATTGAAGTTTATGTCCTAATATTGCGCAGGGCTAAGTGTAATGCTTTTTGTTTAGGGTAAATCATTGCAATGGAAATAAAACCTTTCCCCAAAATCAATTGGTCTCTATTTGGCTATTTAAATTTTTGCAAAGTGAACTTTCCTATTGAATAACTATTGTTCTCTGTGGAGTTCATTCAATGGGAACTTTACATTACTTCTTGAAAAAACGATCAATTATTGATTAATTTGGCTGTACAAAAATGAAAATACAAAAACTAGTTTACTTTATCATATCTATGTGACTTATGATTACTTTTCTATGCACTTACCTCTAAGAATTTCCTACCAAGGCCAGTATTCATATCTGTGTCAGAACTGCTTTGTGAGAGATCAAATGGTATCAGGACATCGATACTGGGTGTACCTGGGGCTAATATTGAGGATGACCTGTTAAAAGACACATTTCATCAATTAAATCAAATGATATTTAGACATCAATACTCTAAAATAACAGGACTGTCACCGATAATTATATATTACAGAGAGGGAATATATACATTTCAGTAAAGTCTTTTTCAACACATTTCTTTAACATTTACACAATAAGATAGAGGGGATGAGGTGATCTCTTATGGGACACTGGAATTTATTTGATAGATATTCAGGATTTGTTTATCAGAAGTTTTGTACTGATTGATATTTCAATATATGAAAAACATGAATTATTTTCCAGCTGTAATTGGCTTTGAACTCGCTGTCAGTAACTGCAAACTCTTAAATCAGTACTTTGTGTCGTTAGTCTTTATGTTGGTTGCTTTTTGTGTTTTTGCTTGGATTTGGTGAGTCAATAGATATAGGAAGATGTGGTAGGAGTGCCAATGAGACAACTCTCCATCCAAGTTACAATTTATAAAAGTAAACCATTATAGGTCAAGGTACGGCCTTCAACACGGAGCATTGGCTCACACCAAACAGAAAGCTATAAAGGGCCCCAAAAAATTACTAGTGTAAAACCATTCAAACGGAAAAACCAACGGTCTAATCTATATAAAAACGAGAAACAAGTATGAACTACATTAACAGACGACAACTACTGTAATCAGATTCCTGACTTAGGACAGGTGCAAACATTTGCAGCGGGATTAAACGTTTTAATGGTACAAACCTTCTCCCTTTTCTGAAACAATAGTATAACATCACAACATAGAAAAACACACTATAAAATATCAATTGGAAGGCTAAACTCAATCAAAAAACGTAAATTAACACACAATAAACGAATAAATTTGACCTGTGACACCTGAATGCAAATACACAGTTAATAAAAAATTACAAGGGATAAATATATAATTAAAGTCAAAAGTAAATAAACAGGTTTAAACAAAGTTAAAGTATGATATCACTGTGAAATTTCAAACAATTTATAGAAAATAAGCCATTTTAAACTGATTTTTACAGCTTTTTTTTGTAGTGCTTTTATCCATTTGTTCCAGGTTAGGGAGAGGAGCTATTATTGACAAGTATATTATATTTATAGTATAATGGTATTCTAAATGTAAATATTTTGACATGAAAACATAAACCTGGTATACATTTTAAAAAGAGCAATCCTGTAGCATTTAGTATTCATGGCAGATCTTTATGAAACTTATTCACAACTTTTTTAAGACAGAGGTTAATTTAGGACTTGGCATACTGAATAGACACCTGTCTATTGTTGAAGATTGTATGTTGCCCTCTATATGTCTTTAGCTTGTTTGTGTCATGGGGTTGCTTACATCTCCATTTATTCACTTATACATATCTTTTAATACTGTTCTAAATCTTAATAAAGGCATAAATAAATGTGGATTACAACCTTGCTAAATCCTGAGATGTCCTCTTCTTTGACCCCCATAAGCTGTATACTTGAGATTCTGGATCCATAGACAGCTGGAGTTCTTCTTTATCATCCACACTGATGTGCCCACTAGAATCATTCTGTAAGGCACTCATAGCTACCTTTCCACAGTATGTACACACTCTAATTCCACCTGAAACAAATCATATATAGATACAGTCAAACCTATATAATAAAAGTGACCATCGGAACTAGAGAAAACAGACTTCATAATAGATCCAACATTTAAATTGAGGTTCAACATTTATGGGTATTACTTTGGTATTACAATTTAAGAACTTTGAGAGCACTCTCACATACCCCACACATGGTCACTGGGCAAACAAAAAATCTCACCTAAGTTCATAGACTCACAACTATTAAAAAAAAAACTGAATCACAATTTCCTGTGGATATGCACATCCAGAGCCTAATCTAGGATTTTGGAGAGAGAGAGCATGAAAAAGAGTAGGTAGAAGTGAAGTTCCATTACCTTTTCTGTTGCGTAGTGTTTTTCATGCTTACCACTAAGGAAATTGTTTTACATATGCAATAAAAAATATACTTGCAGTGTTTTTATATGATATTGTACAGAATGTATATTGAGAATTCTTAATAAAAAAGTTTAGACAATATAGTTGATTGTATTAATCATATCATTTGCACTGTCAACTTGAGTTTAAATAAAATTTGTTGCTAGCAATATCATGCATTTATCTCATTTGCATCTGCCTCAGAATATTTTTAAAAGTCCAGAAAATATGACTCCCAGATTATCTGATGACTTTTAAATGACTGGACAATTTAATGCATATCACCACTCGTCATAATTTTGTAAAGGTGCCTTTTGTAAAACATTATTGAATGTCCAGGACATCATGTCAGTTGTAAATTGAGATTCTCGTGAAAGATTGTATGCTTAAACATGAAGATATCTGTCAATCACACATCAATTAACCAATAAAGAGCTAATTTTCATCATTTTTATTAAAGATATATATCTCCCTTTTAAACGAGTTGGTCAACCAAAAATACACACTGCTGATCCAGGGCTTCCAAAATTTCCTGACGACAGCTGGACATTTTTCAAAGAAATATTTTTGAGGGTCAATGATCAGCTGGATACTTAAATGTAACTGAGAGGATGCATAAATTGATATATGTGTCTAAAAATTAGTAGTGTTATATGCAATAAAATTATTTATAACTGTTTTGTTTTCTTCATTCTAAAAATAAATAAAATATTATCCTCGGTATTGTGTCATTTTTCTGTGTATCGTAATACAGTAACCATCATTGCATCAATCAGCTTCAGTACCTGACTGTTCTCATGTTTATGTTTCTGTTTATATAATCTATCTTCTCTCTATGAGTACTTAACACTTTGTAAATTAAGGCCATCTTATTTGAAACTGTTGATGTTGGCTTTAATTGCAGTACAACTTGATCATCAATACACGTGATACTTTCCTTTTTGTGTATTGGTTACCTGACCACGTGACTTTTACAACTGATGCGTTATTTATAGATAACATTGAGGAGGCCCAATGAAGGATATTGTTTTAAACCGTGTAAAATCTACTGAACAGTGATAACATTTTTCTTTGTACAATTTCCCAACCTGATTTAGAAAATAAAGAATAAATAAAAACATACTCAGTTGATAAATAATTTAATGAATAACAACATGATAATTTATGTAAGCATTTCAAATATAAAAACAGTTTTTAATATGAAAACAAGAATAGAGAACGCACCCTTATTTATTGGACAACTCAGCTTGGTATACCCAAGCGAAGCTATTCTCTGTGTTTTTCCTATATATTTCAATAAATTTTTCCCTTTAGAGTATCCCAGTATTTAACACGATGTACAGTGTTAAATAAAATAATATATATCATACTTATTCATTTATAAATATCCTTATTTGAAGAATAACTTTTAAATATCAGGATACTTTTTTAAACTGAATGCTCATTTAAAATAATATCTATAAAGCGTAATTAAATAGGATGTTGTTCCGTACACGCTTACATGTTTGACCTCGTTTACCTGATCACCTTTATGTACATTGTTATGCATCATTAATTCTATTGATAAAGACAAGCTAAGGACACCTCATCAAAGGTAACAAACCTGTAATCAGTGAATGATTTATGGCTTCAATATAACTTATTGAAGGGATAATTGTTTGACAGCTAGTTGTTATTTAAATAAAAGAAAACATGTTTTTTTCTACTTTTTATTGATGTACACAAGCTAAAGACCAAGCCGTACATTTATGTACCCAGAGGATAAGACTAACTGAGACACTTCAAAGTATCTGAAATATGCTGCATCTGTTTTATTAAACCCAATTATGACCGAAATATCTTTGTGAAATAGATTGCCACAATTATAAACTAAAATGCCCAAACGGACATTTTTATCGATTGATAGTTGGTAAAAATTGAAATGACCGTTTTATGAAAATGCCTTGAATAACAAAAAGTGGCAAACCAATTCTATTTAACCGTTTGAGGCTCTGAGCAGCCGAACTTTTTATGAAAGTTTCGGTCAAGTCCGGAATATATGACCGTTTTGGAAGCCCTGTGCTGATCACAGCTGTCCATGTGTCTTACATTTGCAATCACATTATCCATTAGCTATCTTTCTACCTTTTATATTTCAATTTTTATTATTCGATGAATAAAAAAATCACTCTTTAATTCCCACCCCTTAACCTACCGAGTAGCACTATTGATCGACTCGTAAAAGTCGTAATAAATAAAAATGTAAAAATCTGCTGAGTGATTATGCAACATCCTAAGATGAAAATTTCCTGTTTTAATAGTTTTGAATGTTAAATCTGAGGATGTTCAAAGTCACTGTTGTATTTATTTCATTTAATCAATGACATGTTAGTCCCAGGTCATTTAGAAGATCTTGATTTTCCTTGTCAGTCGCCTTTTTTGTTTTACCTGTGCGACTTGTAAATCACAAGTTGTCTCCCTTATCCTGATTTTGATAGCGATGTGACTTCGCTATGGTGTCAGTCAGCCAGCAAGTTTTAGTGATTTTCAAAATTCTTTCGCGACTTAAATTGTCATTTTGCTGGCAAAATTATGGCCTGCACATCTAGGGCGTGTTTTTTTGTTCTACGGTAGTGAGCCAGAAGAGGTCCATTTCTGTTTTTTTGCATAGGGAAGATCTTCTGGCTCTCTTCCACCTCTTCTTTTTTGATAGGTAGTTTAGACGGCAGAGGCACATAACAAACATGGCGTCGTTTAGTCTAAATGACATTAATAAATTGATGAATGCAGATATATTAGAATGTGAGCTGTGTTATAAACGCTTTAATGGTATGACAGTCTTAGTAGGACATCCCTGTAGGACGATAAGCTGGATAAATATAAGAACTACACGGACAATAACAGTTAAGGGGCGACTATTTGATATTTTAGGGAAGGGATTTGATTTATTGGTGTTTATCGCTACTTTCAACACTAAGTTGGACTATTCCGTGGTGGTCAGTTTAAATGTATAGATTTATAGAAGAATGGGGAAGGGAAGAGGGGATTATTAACTTTTTTAATCTGTCGCTAATTATGCCTATTTTTCGGCACTTACCAGGCAACCATATTCATATATGAAATCCGCCTGTCCCCCACCCCAATAAATGAATAAATATCAAATGGTTTTTCTTCTTATTTAACACAAGTTAAAATTGATTGATTGTTTGTTGCTAATTTTTAACGCACAGGAACAAAAAGTCATGCATGTTCAGGACTCGGTTCAGGAAAACACGAGTTTAAAAGTCAGGTATATATAAATATAAAAACGAAGAGATGTATGATTGCTATTGAGGCAACTATCCACCGGAGTTTAAATATGAAGTGGATGTAAGCAATTATAGGCAACCGTAATTAGGGCCTTCAACAATGACAAAACCCGATACTGTATTAAAAGTCGTCTATAAAAGGCCCGACGTGAAAAGTGTGAGAAACAATTCAAACGAAAAAACTAACGGCCTAACTATACATAACAAAATAATTTACAAAATATCAAATATGATTCGAGACATGAACCAACGACAACCACTAAACTACAGGCTCCTGACTTGGGACAGGCACACAAAGAATATGGCAGGGTTGATATAAAAACGAAGATTGCCAATGAGACAACCCTCCACAAGAGACCAAATGACACAGCAATTAACAGCTATAGGTCACCGTACGGCCTTCAACAATAAGCAAAGCCCATACCGCATAGTCAGCTATAAAAGGCCCCGAAATCACAAATGTAAAACAATTCAAACGAGAAAACTAACGGTCTAATTAATGTACAACAAAATGAACGAAAAACAAATATGTAACACAGCAACAAACGACAACCACTGAATTACAGGCTCCTGACTTGGGACAGGCACATACATACAGAATGTGGCGGGGTTAAACATGTCAGTGGGATCCGGTCCAACCCGCCCCCTAACCTGGAACAGTGGTGTAACAGTACAAGAACATGTTTGTGAGCGCTCAACCCTCCCCGAAGCTGGGACAGTGGTGTAACAGTACAATATAAGAACAACCTGCACAAATCAATTACAATTAGATTAACTCAAAAGATCGGTACGAGAAACACAAAAGAAAAACAACTTACATTAAGACAATAGACACAAAGCACCGAAATCAGAGTATTTGCAATTACTGGAAGATTGTTCAACGCTAATTACAACTAGTATTGAAATAAATCTTGTTCTCCCAGACTGAAGTATCAATCAGTACACAACCAACTGATTTATTAAAAAAAAAAAAAAAAAAAAACAGTCTGAGAAATGTCCGGTAACGTTATTATAAAAAAGAAGATGTGTTATAATTGCCAATGAGACAACTTCCACAAGAGACCAAATGACACAGAAATTAACAACTATAGGTCACCGTACGGCCTTCAACAATGAGCAAAGCCCATACCGCACAGTCCGCTATAAAAGGCCCCGAAATGACAATGTAAAACAATTCAAACGAGAAAACTAATGGCCTAATTCATGTACAAAAAATGAACGAAAAACAAATATGTAACATATAAACAAACGACAACCACTGAATTACAGGCTCCTGACTTGGGACAGGCACATACATTGTATACTTGCATATAGATCCATATACAATGAAAATTTTTGAAAAGTGGTGGTCCGAAGGTTTTGACCATCGAAATTTTGCAATAGAAATAATAGTTCAGAGGATTTCCTTCAAGGACCACCAGAGAAAAATGATTTTGAGAACTTTCCGATATCTTTGCTTTATACAAAAATAATCCAGTTTGGTTACTTAAAAAAAATTGGATAGAAAAGATGTCCTTTTTGATTATATTCGAGACAAACATTGACGAATTTTTGTGCAGTTTAAGCCGGATTATTCTTAAAAATCAAATAGTGGGGGTTTAAGCCTGATTTGTCTAGCAAAATTGAGTTAGAGGAAAGAACAAAGAAAAATGTCACGAACAGAGCATGTAAAGCAAAATTCTATCCGGATGAAATATCATCTGGGGGAAAAAATGTTACAGAAGTTGTTGTTATTTTTTTACAGTCATGTCTACCGGACGTATCTTAATTTGCTATAAAATCATCGTAAACTTCATTTATGTCATCCAACATAACAAAAATCTGCTATATTCGACGGTAAATTGAATTTTTGTTTTATTGGTCTTCCGTAGAATATCTCCAGAAGAGGTCCAGATTCATTTTTTTGGACTCTTCACCAGAAGACATTCTGGAGATGTGCAGAAGAGACCAATAAAACACGCCCCTACATAGTATGTCCTTATTATCTACAAAGTTTCATGAAATTCTGTTGTGTAGTATTAGAGGAGTTGTGATGACAAACTCTTGCAGTAGTATATTTAGGCCAAAATTCTAAGATCAAAAGACATAGAAAAAAGTTACCATGACAAGAACAGGACTAGTGGACTGACAGATGGGTAAAAAAAAATAATACCCTAAGCAACTTCGTTGCAAGGTGGGGTATAAGAGTGTGGCCTGACAAGACAGGCTCTTGATTTATAATAGAGATGACCTATTTGCAAATATTATCATCTATATTCTGATGTACTTCCGCATTAAAATATTTACTTCATAAAATCAGTCACAAACTCTACAATGATTTCACAAAGAAACAAAATTATTGGGTAGATTTGATCAGATGACTTAGATAGCAATAAAATATGTAACCATAGAAACTGTTACTTTGTACAGAAAATCCTATCTTGTAATTACTGATTTCATTTTCTTTAACTGTACAAAAATAGTTCAATTTTGTTGTTTGAAGTCTGTTTACTTGTTACCATAGTAACATTCGTAAAACCATAGAAACACTGACCTTTATAACCTATAATCCTGCCTTGTAATTCCTGATTACAACATTTACTACAGAAAATCTGTCCACAAATTCTACAATGATGTCGACGTCTGAATGTTGTAAACTTGTCGCCACAATCGTAACATTCTCTACAGCTCTCATCTGGCATCCAGTATTGTTTAAAGTCACTATCTTTATAGGTTTGTGGTGTCTACAAAATAGTCACAGAATATATATAAATATACACAAGAAACAAAAATAGTCACAGAATACATATAAATATACACGAGAAACAAAGAACTTTAAAGTCATAACAACAAAGAAAGACCAAATTTTGTTATATAAACAAATTCTTGTGAAATCCTTATTTGGCAAGTTCTGATTACTGCATCATCAATAAGAAGAATAACTCACACACAAAAATAACAAAAAAACCTGCACTTATTCCAGAAAAGTTCTCCTTATATCAGATACTTTTTATACTTTTAAACTTTTTTGATGTGATTAACTAGAATTGTTGTTTTGAAATAAGGTTCATATGAAACCTTTAATTTTCAGGATAACTTTAAACCAAAAGTTCTATTTCTTGATTTCAGGGTCACTTAAAACCTAACTTTCAGATTGAATCCCTGATTTTCAGTTCAATTAAGACACAGTTCTCCACATTACTATCATACAGTATCCTGGTAAACATGGTATTTTGAAAAACCATCTTACAGCATCACATTCTTAACACAATCTATTACAAAATCATTAGATAGCATCCCAGGCTCTAGTGAGAACATTTCTTTAGACCAAGGATTTAAGATAAAGCCCTTATTTTCATGGTCAATTTAGACCAAAGGTTCAAGTAAAACCTGTGATTTTCAGGTTCACTTCAGACCAAAAATTAATCTATAATGCAGAGTTCCTATTTATTTCTATTCTAGGTCCTTGCTCATTAATTACCCTGACCTCACAATACAAGTTCCATTCTCATTTATTACTCACCCTGGTCCTCACAATACTGGTTCCCTGCTCATGTATTACCCCTATCCTCACAATACTAGTTCTCTGCTCATTTATTACTCACCCCGGTCCTTACAATACTACTCAATCTATTCAGAACTCCTGTCAAGGTTCTAGCTGTAGCTGTACTATATACATCAGGTAAACTGGGTTTTACAACATGCTTAACTTGAGGTAAACTAGGTTTATCTTCTACAGGTTTGTCATCGCTAGCAGGAGAAGATGTTGAAAGGACTTCTGAAAAATATAATTAAAGAGTTAAGAGGTTTACTGAATATTGATAGATTGATTGATTGGTGTTTAACCCCACTTCAGCAATGTTTGGTAGGAAAACTAACAATACTAGTCAATAAAGATTGGAGTTGATTGAATGAATGCATCTGCCACATGGGGGACTCAAACTCACAACCTCAGTGTTGACAGGCTAGTGAAACAGTAGTTGAACTACTTGACCACTCGGTCACCCAGGCCCCTGGTTTACTGAATATGTGAACAAATTGCCAAACTACACCAAAATAGGCCAATGAGTTTTACATGCTGAGGATTTATTGATATTTGTGTGCTATTACTCTTTGTGTATTTCATGACTAATGGAAAACCTGAAATTTTAATACTTGTTTAAATATAACTATCTGCATTTGACAAGGGGAAATGATGAAACAATGAAATCCAATAACCTAAAACCTAAAACCTTTTTTTTCTTCATCCATCAAAATTGATACCACAGTATTGAAATTTTACATTTGTTTTCATATGTTGTTAGCTATTCTGTCTCCATAACACCAGGATCTGATAAAGCTATATTCTACTTTGTGTTCTGATAATAAACATCAAATAACATCAACCAATAAAATTCCTGTCTCCAATTTTTGAAGGAGTGTATCATTACAACAAAATCGGAGTCTGTAATATCTTACACTTGTGGCATAACAGGTATTGTATGTAATATCTTACACTTGTGGCATAATGGGTATTGTATGTAATATCTTACACTTGTGGCATAATGGGTATTGTATGTAATATCTTACACTTGTGGCATAATGGGTATTGTATGTAATATCTTACACTTGTGGCATAATGGGTATTGTATGTAATATCTTACACTTGTGGCATAATGGGTATTGTATGTAATATCTTACACTTGTGGTATAATGGGTATTGTATGTAATATCTTACACTTATCTGTGGTGTTAGGCATATAGTATGTTAACCTTAAGCTTGCCTGTGGCAATAGATATACATTTTACCTTTGTCTGTGGTGTTGAGCATACAATATCTTACCTTTGTCTGCTGTGTTAGGTTTCCTTTCTGTAGAGCCTTCTCTTGATGCTGATCTGCTGCCATCTGTGAAAAAAGGAAGGGGGAGAGATATAGTAAGGAACTGTAAACATATCATGCATGTGGTATTGCATGGTCAGATATGAAGCTTGGTACCTTATATATATAAAAAAGCTATGACTTGTAGTTACTGAGAGAAATGACACAGATATATGTGTAATGGACAGACAGAAAGGGTTAAAAAGTCTTCAAATATACAAGGACTACAATCTGGTATATTCCAGATATGCATTTTGTCTGACAGTCTCCACAAGACTCATTAGCAGTGCTTGAACAAAGGTGGGTATAATGAAAAAGGAATGACAACAATTGACAATGGGTCTGACTTTATACATGAACATGTGGCAAGGTTTTACTAGTTTAACTAGACAAGAAGAATTAATGTCAAACATTTTAACAATTGCAGGTTATAACATGGCCTTCAATGATGGGTAAAACTCTTACATTATTGTCAGTTATAAAAGACTTTGGATAACAAAAGGTAAAACAATACAAAAGAGAAAATTAACAGTTTAATTTAGGCTTAAATCATTAAATGTAAAACAATTATTAAATATGGCAACTAAGGATAACCACTGGACTACAGGCTTATGGCAAGGGACAGACACATTACAATGTATTGCTGTTTTTAAACATGCATAAACTGTAATATTCTTCAGCCTTTTGCCTAACAAGTTTTGGTAGTTTGGTCCACAAGTTTCAAGCTTGACATAAAATCATATTTTATAAACAGATAAAGTTCCATTAAAATCATGAACTACAGTAAGTTAATAGACAGTTGTACAGATGTATGTTGAGGACCCTATGTTCATCTCAAGATTCAAGAATTATATCTTTTTGTTTTGTGTCATTAGGTTTCTGTCTCCTTGACATATACCACACATCTTCTTTCATTTATATCAAAAAGATAAAAGGCATAATAATCTATAGTGTTACATTTGTAAATTAACAGTAGCTTACTTTTCTTTCTATTCCAAAGTCTAGTGAACAGACTGCCTCCTTCTGAAATGTCTGAACTGAGAGGACCAAATGATGTCAAGGTCGTTGGTGGATCATCCCATTGTGACATTTTATAACTTTCCCCCCTCTTATTGACTATTCCATCTTCTTTATATGATCTGTTCACATTGTTTCACACAAATGACCTACAATGAAGGGTTGATATTTAACATTACAGTTAGAAATCATCAATGCTTTCTCATAAGAGGTTGTTCAGTAAGAAATCATCAGTGTTTTCTCATGTGAGGTTGTTCAGTAAGAAATTATCAGTGTTTTCTCATGTTGGGTTGTTCAGTAAGAAATTATAGTGTTTTCTCATGTGAGGTTGTTCAGTAGAAATTATCAGTGTTTTCTCATGTTGTTTTGTTCAGTAAGAAATCATCAGTGTTTTCTCATGTTAGGTTGTTCATTAAGAAATTATCAGTGTTTTCTCATGTTAGGTTGTTCAGTAAGAAATCATCAGTGTTTTCTCATGTGAGGTTGTTCAGTAAGAAATCATCAGTGTTTTCTTAAGTGAGGTTGTTCAGTAAGAAATCATCATTGTTTTCTCAAGTGAGGTTGTTCTGTAAGAAATCAGTGTTTTCTCATGTGAGGTTGTTCAGTAAAAAATTATCAGTGTTTTCTCATGTTGGTTGTTCAGTAAGAAATTATCAGTGTTTTCTTATGTTGGTTGTTCAGTAAGAAATTATCAATGTTTTCACATGCGAGGTTGTTCAGTAAGAAATGATCAGTGTTTTCTCATGTTAAGGTGTTCAGTAACAAATCATCAGTGTTTTCTCATGCGAGGTTGTTCAGTAAGAAATTATCAGTGTTTTCTCATGTTAAGGTGTTCAGTAACAAATCATCAGTGTTTTCTCATGTGAGGTTGTTCAGTAAGAAATCATCAGTGTTTTCTTAAGTGAGGTTGTTCAGTAAGAAATCATCATTGTTTTCTCAAGTGAGGTTGTTCTGTAAGAAATCAGTGTTTTCTCATGTGAGGTTGTTCAGTAACAAATCATCAGTGTTTTCTCATGTTAGGTTGTTCAGTAAGAAATCATCAGTGTTTTCTCGTGTGAGGTTGTTCAGTAAGAAATTATTAATGTTTTCTCATGTGAGGTTGTTCAGTAAGAAATCATCAGTGTTTTCTCATGTGAGGTTGTTCAGTATCATCAGTGATCATTAGTGTTTTCTCCTGTGAGGTTGTTCAGTAAGAAATTATCATTGTTTTCTCATGTTAGGTTGTTCAGTAAGAAATCATCAGTGTTTTCTCGTGTGAGGTTGTTCAGTAAGAAATCATCAGTGTTTTCTCATGTGAGGTTGTTCAGTATCATCAGTGATCATTAGTGTTTTCTCCTGTGAGGTTGTTCAGTAAGAAATTATCAGTGTTTTCTCATGTTAGGTTGTTCAGTAAGAAATTATCAGTGTTTTCTTATGTGAGGTTGTTCAGTAAGAAATCATCAGTGTTTTCTCATGTTAGGTTGTTCGGTAAGAAATTATTAATGTTTTCTCATGTGAGGTTGTTCAGTAAGAAATCATCAGTGTTTTCTCATGTGAGGTTGTTCAGTATCATCAGTGATCATTAGTGTTTTCTCCTGTGAGGTTGTTCAGTAAGAAATTATCATTGTTTTCTCATGTTAGGTTGTTCAGTAAGAAATCATCAGTGTTTTCTCGTGTGAGGTTGTTCAGTAAGAAATCATCAGTGTTTTCTCATGTGAGGTTGTTCAGTATCATCAGTGATCATTAGTGTTTTCTCCTGTGAGGTTGTTCAGTAAGAAATTATCAGTGTTTTCTCATGTTAGGTTGTTCAGTAAGAAATTATCAGTGTTTTCTTATGTGAGGTTGTTCAGTAAGAAATCATCAGTGTTTTCTCATGTTAGGTTGTTCGGTAAAAAAATATCAGTGTTTTCTCATGTGATGTTGTTCAGTTGTTGATGTTTTTTTCACTCTGAATGCAGCTGAGGGATGCATCAGAGGGAATAACAAGCATATTAAATTACTTATTGTTATATTGCTTATAATGTTATTTTTTTATATATTCGAGGCAACAGTAGTGTAGTTTACCTATGATATTTAAATCATGATATCATAAGTCCATTCAGAACATATTAACAACAGTAACAATACAACGAGCCTTAATGCAATGTAACCTATGTAACCCAGAAATTTACAGATTCTTATTTAAAGTGTAACCGAGTGTTACTATAGTGTAACCATTGTAACCACGTAACTAGTCTTGAAAATGAAGCCTGTTTATAAAAAAGTACCTATAATGGTTTACTTTTACAAATTGTGACTTGGATGGAGAGTTGTCTCATTGGCACTCATACCACATCTTTTTATATCTATTATAATAAATATTTAAATTGAAAGTAACCATTGTAACCTATGTAACCCAGAAATTTCCAGATTTTTATTCAAAGTGTAACCCAGTGTTAATAATTAATGTTTAACCAAGTGTTACTTTAGTTTAACCATTGTAACCATGTAACTGGACTTGTTTCATAAATGATGCAGATGCTATTTTACAAACTTGCAACCCATCATGTGTATACGTATAAATTGATGTCGAGATAAGGCATGAAAGTTGTAAATAAAGAGCTGCGCCATGAGCACATGATACGCCCGACTCTGTTTCAAAGAATAAAGTTCCATAACTCCTCAATGTCATATCAGAAATTAGAAATAAACCAGTCACCAAAGTTTCATGAAAACTGCTCAAAGCACTTTTGAGTTATAGTCCGAAAACTGGAAAATCCCCCTTTTTTAATGAATAAAACCCCATAACTCAGAAACGTAAAATATAAAATTTATAAAAATCCAAAGGAAGCTCACATCAATAGATATAAACAATTCACCAAATTCATACAACATTTAAACAAAGCCATTGACAAAACATTAAGTCATTTGGAAGCCACTGTGACCTGGAGAAATACGTTTCTTAACCAATTTATAGACCTAGGCCTATGGGAGACAACTCCTGATCAATTTTTGTTATTTTTTCAATTTTTCAATTACATTGATATTTTCTTAAAAAATGGAGTGCAATAATTCAGATAAGTTTGAAGTTACATATTCATCTCATCAGATAACTTTGAAAACATTTTGAATTTACAATTTAAAATAGACAGATGTTGAGATCTGGTATTTTTCAGAACAGGACATTTTAAAAGAAAATGTAATTCATCTTCAACTGCTTTCTTAAATGTACATAGTTTACACTTTCTGTCTTCAGCTTTTATACCAATATACCTCCCTCTTTCAATTTCAAGGTCATGACAGCTAGTTCTAAATCTTGTAATTATTTGCCTGTCTTTTTTTAAATATACTCTTGAATATGGTTCAAACATAAAAATATTTAAAAAATTTCTGTAAGTTCTTAATGTATTGCCCGACTGTATATTGGTACTCTTCCCAGAATTGCTTTCTAAACTAGCTACCCAAATTTCTTTAAATTTTATCGTTAGAGAATTTTTTGCTTTTTTTAATATATGGTTTTGTTTAAAGTTTGACTGGTTCACAAATAGATAGTATAATATTATCTAAGAATTCAAATATATGTAACATTTGTAACCTTGTACATGTTGTAACATTTGTAACCTTGTACATGATGTAACTGGACTTTAGGAATGTAAACAAATATATGTAACATTTGTAACCTTGTACATGTTGTAACTGGACTTTAGGAATGTAAACAAATATATGTAACATTTGTAACCTTGTACATGTTGTAACTGGACTTTAGGAATGTAAACAAATATATGTAACATTTGTAACCTTGTACATGTTGTAACTGGACTTTAGGAATGTAAACAAATATATGTAACATTTGTAACCTTGTACATGATGTAACTGGACTTTAGGAATGTAAACAAATATATGTAACATTTGTAACCTTGTACATGTTGTAACTGGACTTTAGGAATGTAAACAAATATATGTAACATTTGTAACCTTGTACATGATGTAACTGGACTTTAGGAATGTAAACAAATATATGTAACATTTGTAACCTTGTACATGTTGTAACTGGACTTAAGGAATGTAAACAAATATATGTAACATTTGTAACCTTGTACATGTTGTAACTGGACTTTAGGAATGTAAACAAATATATGTAACATTTGTAACCTTGTACATGATGTAACTGGACTTAAGGAATGTAAACAAATATATGTAACATTTGTAACCTTGTACATGTTGTAACTGGACTTTAGGAATGTAAACAAATATATGTAACATTTGTAACCTTGTACATGATGTAACTGGACTTTAGGAATGTAAACAAATATATGTAACATTTGTAACCTTGTACATGTTGTAACTGGACTTTAGGAATGTAAACAAATATATGTAACATTTGTAACCTTGTACATGTTGTAACTGGACTTTAGGAATGTAAACAAATATATGTAACATTTGTAACCTTGTACATGTTGTAACTGGACTTTAGGAATGTAAACAAATATATGTAACATTTGTAACCTTGTACATGTTGTAACTGGACTTTAGGAATGAAAACAAATATATGTAACATTTGTAACCTTGTACATGTTGTAACTGGACTTTAGGAATGAAAACAAATATATGTAACATTTGTAACCTTGTACATGTTGTAACTGGACTTTAGGAATGTAAACAAATATATGTAACATTTGTAACCTTGTACATGTTGTAACTGGACTTAAGGAATGTAAACAAATATATGTAACATTTGTAACCTTGTACATGTTGTAACTGGACTTTAGGAATGTAAACAAATATATGTAACATTTGTAACCTTGTACATGTTGTAACTGGACTTTAGGAATGTAAACAAATATATGTAACATTTGTAACCTTGTACATGATGTAACTGGACTTTAGGAATGTAAACAAATATATGTAACATTTGTAACCTTGGACATGTTGTAACTGGACTTTAGGAATGTAAACAAATATATGTAACATTTGTAACCTTGTACATGATGTAACTGGACTTTAGGAATGTAAACAAATATTTGTAATAAATGATAAAAGTGTGTGTAACCATTGTAACCAATGCTACCCTTGTAACCAATGTTTCCATTGTTACCCATGGGCCAGCATTTGCCTTGAACATGCTTCTTCTTCCAAGTAAGGAACCAGATTCAATATTTGAATGTACATGGTTCCGGGCAAAAACTTTGCGCAGTGTCTGGCAACACAGAAAATTCTCTCTTGGCTATTTACATTTAAAACATTCGCAATATTTTAACAATTAAAACTATGTACATATGGGTGTTGCCTATTTCATTTCAGAGCATGCCTTTTTGACGTTAAAACTCATTTGCCATTTATTTTCCCAATCTTCCAGTGATGTTAAATCTTTCTGAAGAAGGTTGCTCTCTGTTTGGTTGGTGATGGTTCGATAGAGTAGGCTGTCATCGGCAAATAATTTGGTCTCTGATGTTGTTGCTGTTTCTGGCATGTCATTGATGTAGGCCAGGAACAGTAATGGTCCAAGAACTGTACCTTGGGGTACACCAGAGAGTACTGGTACTTGTATGGAGACAGCTCTCCCTCTAGTATGACACTCTGCTTTCTGTTATGTGGGAAGGAGGGAATCAATCTGTTGGTTTTAGGATTGACACCGTAATATTCCAACTTGTGAAGCAGGCAATGATGAGGCACCTTGTCAAATGCTTTTGCAAAATCTAGTAGGATGATATCTACTTGGCAGTTACTTTTTAATTTTGATGCAATGTTGTGGATGGTTACAATAAGTTGGGATTTGCAAGATCATCTTTTGTGGAAACCATGTTGTGCATTCGTAAGGATTTTATTTCTGTCGAAGTGGTTCATTATGTTACTGTGTATGATATGTTCTAAAACCTTGCATGTGATGGATGTAAGAGATACTGGTCTGTAGTTTGATGCTAAGTGCCTTTCGTCTTTTTTGAAAAGTGGGACTACATTTGCATCTCTCCAATCTTATGGGACGTCGCCAGTGTTCAGTGATGTTTGATACAGGACTGTAAGAACGGGAGCAAGTTGGTCTACTGCTGCTTTCAGTATAAAAGATGGTATTGAATCCGGACCAGCATGACCAGTGGCTTTATGTGGTTTAACATTTTTCAACAACTATTAGTGCTAATTTTAATATCCTTCATGGTGGAATATGGACTTCTCCCTTTATTTGGGAAGTTATTAAGGTTTTCTTTGGCAAATACTGACTGAAATTGATCATTTAATATGTCAGCTTTGCTCTTATTGTCACATTGGAGAAATCCCATTTTATTTTTAAGGGTGCAACTCCTGTCCATTCTTGGCCTCTGTTCTTGATGTAAGACCAGAATTTCTTAGCGTTGTCTTTATAATCAGAGCTGACTCCCTCAATGTACTTCTTATTTGCTTGCCTGATTTCCCTTGAAAAGGTATTTATAATAATATGGGGACGAAATTCCCAATAACGGTAGAAAAATCAATAAAAAAAAAACAATCTACTAATGAACTAAAAATATTGTTAACCTTTTTTTTCAAACTTTTTTATTTTCCCACATTTGCACAGAAATCTTTTTCTTTCTTCCATGCTTGTTTGTCACAAGACTTTGAATAAAATATATATTTATCAGTCTAGTAAAATATAGGAAGGAGTACAATAACAATTTTATTTTAATATTTCTTTGATATGAAAAACGTTACCTGATGATAGCATTCTTTGTTTACATTGAAAATGACATCACAACTAAAATCCCTAACAACAGGACCAACATCGGAAGGAAACGTTTCCGTATTTCTGTTTCTTTTTCAACAGATTCTGAAGTTAAAATATGCTTGAATTAAAAAAAATAATGTATACAGACTTGTCCCCTTTTAGAGGTAACGTCTGCCTCATATTAAAAGTGAATGTAATAATTGTAACTAATGCAACCATTGTAACCCCACATTTGCTTGATTCTAATTTGTTACTCTTGTTACCTATTCACGGCTATTGTTACCATTCTCATGTAGGGGTATGATATGTTGTTTTTAATTTTTATGACACATTTTTGGACATATCTAGTTCGATAAAAAATGTCACGCGCATAAATGAGGGTAAAAAAGTATTTTAAGGTAAGGTTCAACTTAAAGTTTATGTTATACCAACCAAATGTATATACTTTTCCCCCAGAACCACGGTTTTAGTCGATATTTACGATATGTGTATCCTTTCATGTGATGCAGGAAGTCGACAAACAAAAATAGTATCGAGATCTGTTCCGGTTGAAAATGTTCTATCCGCTCGCGGTACAAGAAAAAAGTTTAAAAATAAATTACGAATATTTCAAAATAAATCTGTTAAATTTATTAAAGATATCGAACGTCTGTAAATTTTAAATTTTAATGTACTAAATAGCATTGTTTTTTTAATATAGAAAATAGAGTCAAACAAGGTTAGGAAAAAAAACGGGACTAAAAAAATAGAGATAGAGTGAAGGGGTGATGCATTATAAAGAATAGAGAACAATTGACAGAAGAATACAGAATAGAGTGGTCAAAATATAAAAGATATAGAAATATAGAAACGATGATCTGACCCCTCCCCCAAAAAACCCACTACCACTCACAATCGCATATATACCCCCCTAGACATTGAGGTTCTGGATCCGCCCCTGCCAAGGTATTTGATATTTCTTGATCTTTCCAGCACTTGTCTCTTAAGCGTGTATTAGTGTTTTGTTTGTGAGCCTGTCTGGTGGTATTTGTACACTGCACTTCTGTGGGTGAAAGTCCATGCCCCAGGTTTTCCCATATTCTGCAAGTTTGTAAAGATCTTCATAATAATAATAATAATAAAATTCTTTATTTAACGAAGGTAACACATTTAACAATTACATGTTAATCTTCCATGAGGCCTTCAAAAACTATTAATACAAATAGAAAAGAAAAAAGAAAAAAAATACAAACAAAATAAAATACATAATACTGTTATACATAGCAGCTTAAATATTGAATAAGTACATATGCATATGCATTCAATAGAAGAAGAAAAATACATTAGAATCAAGCATCTTCATTCTGTACAGTTAGAAAATAGTTTGAACATTTGATCTTAAATGTATCTAAATTATTTATTTCTTTAATATTATTTGGTAAATTATTCCAGGTAATAAGACCAGAATATTTAAATGTTCTTTTTAAAAATTCAGAATAAGGTCTTGGTACATGAAGAAGTCTTGATGTTGTCGACCTGAGACAATAATTATAAAGATCAGTACAAGCAGTAAATTTAATAGATAGATACTCAGGTGCTAGACCATTCATACATTTAAATATTAACACAGCTTTAAAAATTCTTGTAAATATAGTCATCCATGCAAGATTTTTAAACATTAATGTTGATGGAAAATCAAAAGAAACAGATAAAACTAATCTTGCAGCACGTTTTTGGAGCTTATGTATCCTCTCCAGATTACAGTTTGTGGTAAGACCCCATACTGTACAACAGTAGTCAATAATGGGTAATATATGGCTATTGTAAAAAATAATAAGACCCTTTGACGGTAAATAACGTTTCAACCTTTTTAACAGGTATATTCTGGTTGAAATAGTTTCGCATATTGCTTCTTGCCCTCCCCCAAAAAACCCACTACCACTCACAATCGCATATACCCCCCCCCCCCCCCCCCCCCCCCTAGACATCGATGTTCTGGATCCGCCCCTGCCAAGGTATTTGGTATTTCATGATCTTTCCAGCACTTGTCTCTTAAGCGTGTATGAGTGTTTTATTTGTGAGCCTGTCTGGTGGTATTTGTACACTGCACTTCTGTGGGTGAAAGTCCATGCCCCAGGTTTTCCCATATTCTGCAAGTTTGTAAAGATCTTCTTGTCTTCTTGTAGTATGTTAATATCAGCAGGAGATGTTATTGTTCTGTATACTATGCAATCGTCTGCAAATAGTCGTGTGTTAGATGTTACGTTGTCAGGTAAGTCGTTAATAAATAGAAGGAATAGTAACGGTCCGAGTACCGTCACTTGGGGGACTTCACTGTCCACGTGAACTTTCTCCGAAGATTCTCCCTCAACGATGACTTGTTGGGACATTTATGTAGGAATGGTTGCATCCACTTGTGTGTATATCATGCAACTCCGTAATGATGTAGTTTGTTTAGCAAGCGTCTATGTGGGACACGATCAAAGTCCTTAGAAAAGCCAAGGATAACCATATCAATCTGCTCCCCTCTATATAGAGCTGATGCAAGTTTTGACATTGTGTGATGAGTTGAGTATCACCGCTTCGTCTTGCTCTGAAACCAAGCTGGCAGTTGGTAAGTATTTTGTAATTGTTTAGATGTTTCAAGGTGTTGCTGACATAGATGTGTTTGAGGAATTTACAGTATAGACAGGTGAACGAAACAACCGCGCTGAAGTACGTCCATTATTCATTTTTCATTATTCAAAATTCAATAATGAATAATGAAATCGTTCATTATTCACTATTCAACGTTAAATGATGAATAATGAATAATGAAATAGTTCATATTTCAGTATTCAAGCTGAAAAGTGAATAATGAAATCGAAAATTTATTTTTTGATTGTGACACTATATCCCGTATTTCTGAATTCGTCATTTGGTGTTATTTAACAAATATTCAAATGAATCTAAGAAAAAATAAATCAAAACACTCTTTGAAATTTTTATCTTTATTTATTTATTTAGTTTCGGAGGATAAACTAGTGGGTTTCCCTAATTATTTTTATGAAAAATTCCTTGTTTTAATGTATGGACGACCTGAATACCAAAACATATATAAAAATCAAAATACTATACGTTGTAATTATTTTTATTTTCACTGGATCTTTGCTATTCTTCATCCCCTGATTATAGATATAGCTTATCGATTGTGCCGCAATGCCCATTAGAGGGGTTACGCAGGACCTAAATGCCAAAATACGCGTGAAAATTAAGAAATAGCCAATTTTGAATAATGAAATGGATATTTTGAATAATGGAATGGACTGCTGCGACCCTTCAGTCCCTAATTACAGATATACCTTATACGTCATTCGAAAGCTTATCAATAGAGGAACAAAAGGTATATTATAGTCAATATGTCCCGCAACGCCTATCAGAGGAGTTTCGGAGGACCTAAAGGTCAAAATACGCGTCAACAATAAGAAATAGCTTATTTTGAATAATGGAATGGACTGCTACGACCCATCAGCACCTAATTACAGGGAAACCTTATACACCATTCGAAAGCTTATGGACAGAGGAACAACATGGTTATAATCAATATGTGCCACAATGCCCATTAGAGGGGTTACGCAGAACCTAGATGCCAAAATACGCGTGAAAATTAAGAAATAGCCAATTGAAAACAATGGTAGACATCAATAAGTATGCAAACTGGGTCAAATGCCAATCAGTAAAATTACATAATATTTATAACGAGTATGAAAAAAATCGTTTTTTAGTCCAAATTATATGTGTTCACGTATTATTACAGCTTTTTGTCACCATAGACTGTTCCCTCGAATAAACAAACCCGAAGATCAAAAAAGGTATTTTCTAAAAAAAAAAAATACATTTACATTATTTTTTCTAGTTTTTTAATGACTCTACCGTTCATAACATTATACCTCCATATTTTGAACCACCTAAAATTTCTCATACGTGTACAAAAATCCAGTACAAGTTTAATTTTTAATTATACGTCAGTTACATAAAACGTCAGTATAGAAAATAATGCTCCTAAAAGGTATACACATTCTGATTAAAAAGATAAAAATATTGTCCTCCGTCGAAAATAAATTGGAAAGTGTGTCGTCAGGTCATTTAAGATTCTCTTTCATCCTATCGTAAAAATTGGTATAAACAAGAGAAATCTCACAAAAAGTCACTTGATTCCTATTTCAATATTAAAATGTCTGAATATTGTAGATATCCGCATATCACATTTTGAAAGTAATTTAGAAATAAACAAAAGTAAGTAATACTTCCAATTATAGGACTAAAAACAAAATTTAAGTAATCGCAAAGCATTTTGTGTTCGTACCGGCCGACAAAGCAGCCAACGATGTGGTGGTGATATGACGTAAATACTACACGGAAGTCCTTAAAGGGAAATAACACTATTTATACTACTAATAATAATTCATTGAAATTTTGCATGTAGACAGATCATACCTATTAAGATATTTTAGGCGAAAAAAAAATTGGGGTCACCGATGTTGTTTTCGAGATATGACGTCATCAAAACTTAAAGAATCGCGATATAACGAAATATAGAAATACCGCTCTAAATTGTTAAAAAAGACAAACTTATTGAAAAACATGTTTAACGGGAATAGCAAAAACAGTCAAATGTAACTTGTACCTTATGAACATTTATTTGTCTCGGTTTCCTTATTTTTGAAGGCATTTGAACATTTCCCGCCATTTGTAATTGCTATTTATGATAGATTTTTCTTGAAATAAAAAAAAATCTACTAATGTTTTTCCCTTCAAACTTCTGCAAAAGTTGCAGCTTCAGGGAAGATTTTAAAAGCATAAATAAAAAAGGGGGGTCACCGATGTTTTAAATCCGCTAAAACGGAAATAATCTTTTTTATTGAATTTTGGCGGGAACTATAACCTTTTAACGTTATAGAACGACGTTGCTGGCATAACAGCATTTCTTGCAACGCTTGGGTTGATTTAAACCTTTTCACTACAAAATATAATATCATTTTTGAACATTTTTTAAGGTATTTTGATTATTCATTGATATCTTTATCAATCTATCGAATCGTTAAACATAGATACAATAACAGTTTATAATAAAGTAATGGTCAAAGTTGAAGTCATCTCATTTTTTTAATTGCATTTGTTGTATGGGGAAAACGAATGTTTGCCTCATGCCGTATTATAGAAATAATTTTCGGCTTCCAGACAAAGAATCTTCTACCTCGGAAGACTGAGGGTATCCGGGCTGAAAAGTAACACGTTCCTTTTAGACTGCAGGCAGAATAATTTCGTTACCATAATTTCACTAGCTTGTCCATTCGCACCGGGAAGATAAAACCTGAAATGCCGTGTTAAAAATGCCACAAACTCAGCACGTTGAAAGAAACCTATTTTCGGTAGGAATTTAAAATTGGTTCCGTAATTACACAACGCTTCATAATTTATTCGAACTGTGGAAACCAAATTTTTTTCTGAGTTCTATCATCCCGCACCCATTTTTCATACATCGTTTCATGT